GGCGTACGCGCGTAACCACGGGCCGGGGGCCGGCGCGGCGCGGCCGGGTCGTGTCGGCCGCCGGGGTTACAGAATAGTTTACCATTTTTAGAATAAATATATATCAATTGTTATCGTGTAAAATAGTGGAAAATTAATTAAAATAATTTATATTATAATGAACTATTTTTTTTAAACATGGAATAAATAGCGAAGTATTTTCAATAGTGTATGTAGCAGTTCGCGCCGTGCAACAGTCTAGGACGAGGCTACACATGTACTGTACATGTACATGTGCATCTATCATGCATGCATGGTGCATCGATCACCGCACGCGCACTTCCTGTAGGCTAGGCCTGCGCGATCTTCTGCATGTTCGTTGTGTCATGGAGAGGAAGGTGCAAAACATTGTGCACTCCAAAGTTCCACGCGCGCTATCGTCATACAATTGAGGAGAAACGGTCAGAAATGGTTTCAAAACGTATTTAAAATACATTTCTATAGATTTTAATTATATTTCTTCCCTTCAAAAAAAATAAAAAATATCCAGGGTCGGCCGCATTTTTAGGGTCGGTCGGGTTACGCCAACATAACACTTTTTTTTTTTAGGCCTTAGTGCAAATATATGAGAGTCCAGAGAGGCCACATAAATCTTATTCTCGATCATAACCCCTTCTAAAAACACGTTAAAATTGTGCAGCAGCAGAATTCCAGTCAAACCAGTGAGTTTGGCGGTTTTGAAACATCATCTTGTATTGAAAAAAAAAACTTTTTCATTTTGCCGACGCGCATGGCTACGGCGACGCGAGCGCATACCAGAAACCGGAGACTTTTTTTTTTGGCCTAAGTAATAATGATCAGAGTGTTCATCAATTAATAAATAGGGGCCTACATTAATGTCATACATACGTTGAGTCATTCAACCTATTTGAGATGCAAACAAACTGTTCTTTTCACTCTGTGGGCACGTAAGATAAATTAGACTCTTTTCTGATTTTGTTTTCGCGTGCATCATTCAAAAAAACCTTGAAAGTGATAAAATATAATGGATATAATGTCAATCGAGCTCACTGTCATTTTTTAAGTTCTGGCAGGAGCTTCTACATGTCACCTGATGGTCGGTGTGCCTGTCTGTCTGTCCCCGAAAATTGAGCAAGTGTGGTGTTAAAATGTGTGCCATATCAGCGTCAGATTTTTCGGCGTCGCATTTATAAGCTCTGGCAGAGATCAAAGCCCTATGTTCTGTTTTTAAACACACATGGACGTCTAGTTGTCTCTTGCTTTTTGTTTTCTTCGTCGACGCTTCAGGTGTGTGGGGGTTGCTCAGTAAAGCAATTTATAGTGCTTGCACTTTTCCCACTCTACTGGTTCGTTTTGTTTAATAATCACAACAACAACAACAACAACAACAATTTGATCGATTTCATGCAAGCCGTTTATGCAAGACTTCTTGCAACACGGCCAGAGCTTATTGTGCACTCGCGCAAGAGAACAGTAAGAGTCCAGTTTGGTATCTTCTCGTTTCTGTCAACCAGTATCTAACATAATGTTGATATAAGAAGAGTGCACGCTGTGGGTTACTTGCAAGTAAATTTGTTCATTAGAGATTTTAGATATTAAAGATTTTGTGCTTAATTTTGGATTTTTACGCTCCAGTTCAAAAACGATAAAACACCGACGATTGAAAAGGTGACTCCTCTGAGCGGCGTGTCAGGTTGGAATACATTCCTGATATTTTTTATTTCACGCGGATTTCGATCCACCTTCCATTTCTGGTTCATTATTCATGCAGCCATTTTTTTTTTTAATGCCCATTGTACCCCATATCCTAATTGCTATGTGCAATGGCCGATTTTTCCTAAAGTTTAAGTGGGCGTGTTGGTTGGTTATCTACAATATGACGTCATTTTGGTTGCGCTGTGGTGACCACAAGAGGGCGCTTTACTATTTTTTTGCTCATGTTTGTTCAATTACAGTATTTTTGGTAAATTTCTACATTGTTTTGGTCAATACTCATCCAACCGAACAACTTTTCGCATCTCAAATCACTAATAGAGGGCGCTAAACCTTTTTTTGTGGGCAAAATCTAGAATTGGAATTGTTCACCTAAATCGGCACTACGCCTTATGTAATTATGAAAGGTGGCACATTGCGAAGCCCGGTCCTGACAGGGCTGATACTTCTGCTCATAGTATACATACAGGGCGAGTCAAAAAGGAAGTGACCGAATTAAACAAGAAATATTTTATAAAAATATGTGGCTCACTCTATTTCATAAAAAAAAATAGGGATAAAGTATATGTTATCGACTAGTAACTGTGAGAATTTCACGTAATCTCCGCAGGAAAACGTGCAAAGATCGCCATCCATATTTCAGGGGGAAAAGATTTGATTAAAATTTAAAATTTTATTTGTATTTGAATGCCTGTGTGTAATGCTCAATAGCTTCTAATGGCATTCCATGGACTGCTATTTAAAAAATGGGTTCTCTTAGTATAAAACATGCATACCTTCCGACAACATGGATCAATTTCGGTAAAAGAAATTTCAGATGAGTGGAAGAACATGATCTTTTAAGACATACGTCATTGGTGTATCAAATGTGATTGCTTTTTTGGTATATAAAATCGTAAATTCGGGTTACTTTCTTTTTGACTGACCCTGTATATAAGATGTTAAAAATAAACCGCAATATAAATAGACCGTATAATACGAATACCCTCTGTGTCTTTTCGGTTTGCGGTAACACCATGTGGTAATACCTACTGCTCAGTAGATATTTAGTTCTGAACAGAACTTGTCCTGTTTATTATCAACTTTCGCTTAGAAGTTTTTGTTCTAATAAAAAAGTCCTGCTTTAAGTTCTAAAAGAATTTGTCTTTAGTCTCAACATTTCGACTAGCCTGCTCTTGTCATCGTCAGGAGACTGAGGAGAGTTGAAGATGCTGTTTCTTGAGTAGGCTGATATGTTAGGATTGGGAGTGATTGTGCTTGCGAATACTGTCTATTATCACGCGCTGTTTTTGTTCGTTTTCCAAGCAATCAGTGCCCTTTATTAGTTAAGTAAAAACAAACTCCATCGGCTAACATCCATACATACAATCAGCGTCATTCAGTCTCCTTTTTTTCTTTCTCAAGATGATGCCATAGTGTGATTCATTGTAGTAGTTTCGTGTTTCCTGTAGATTGTGGGCGTGCATTTTGGAGGGACATGAAGATTGTAATAAACGGGCCCTGGATCCCCCGAATTCAAGGATTGTAGTCATGGAGTGACTTGATACGACTCCTTCATTTCATTTTGTCATTTACACTACATTTTTTGCGCCTTCACCACATTTAGTCCTATATTTATAGGCATATGTCTATCATTTCGAAATAGTTGTTGTTTGATTTTTATATATCCATGTTTACGCCTCAGCCTCTGCAGTTTTAGTTAATGTAAAGCCGTTTTGATGGTATTTACTTTACTAGTACGTTTTCATATTGCATTGCAAGCTGATTTTCCTTAGTTTAAAAAAAACCAAATGTTTCTATTTGATAGGAACCAAGCTTTCCATTCGCGGGCAAATATTCACGGATATTTACGATCCCACTCCGAAGCCGGAAGATGAAAATCTCGAAGGACAAACCCAGATATTAAGGTAAGGCCTGGACTTTTCAGGCGGCATACCATACGTTCCTTGCCGCTGCAGTATCAATATTGGAGTTGCAATAGGCCTACTTTTGCAATACTGTCCTGTCCTCATAATCAAACCGAGATGCATCGCAGAATATAACTGTGCCCGCCATTTGTACATTCACCTCATAACCGGCTCCGGCGGTTGTCGGTTATATTACGGTTCAACCCCAACCCAACCCACCCACTCCACCCCCATGACTATTTGCCTATATGTACCATAGTTTGGCCTCCGAACTATTAGGGAGCCATTCTAGGAAACATGGATTTATTATAGACTTCTTTTATAGCATTAATTCTCCCTGGCTTTGGAAGATGAACGAATAAAGGTCAAAAGGGACTTCGAAGAAGAGTAGGCCTTAAGTCCAAACATCCTCTTGGACTTCAGATTCGCAGAGCCGCTTCGCCAAACGATTTGGGAAATCGTTCGCACGATTTGAGAATTCGGTCGCACGATTTGGGAATTCGTTTGCACGATTCGGGAAATCGTTCGCAAGATTGTGAAATCGTTCGCAAGATTTTAATTCGTTCGCACGATTGTAATTCGTTCGCACGATTTTAATTCGTTTGCACGATTGGGAAATCGTTTGCACGATTTGGGAAACTCGTTCGCTCGCTTGGACATCAGGCGCACGAGTTTACAACACATTACGCTCGCACGAGCACGTTTTACCTGCAAAGGTACATGCAATGTACTTTGCCCCCCCCCCCGGAAAAAAATCCTGTCGACGCCCATGTACCATGTGCTCTTATTAAAAGTGGATTGTTTTCTCTCAAAGAATTTTTAATTTGCATGTTTAATTTTAACCATTTCTCAAAATGGTATAGAGAGTTCAAATATATATATGAACGAGGAATATGGAAACCCAGCCCCAAAAACCTTGTAATATGCGCCCTGAAAACGGGCACATAATGCGTATTTGCGTAATGGCCGGTTATCAAGAGTGCCCCCTATTTTGGAAGATAAACCCCCCTACCCCCCCCCCCCCCCCCTACGCTGCTGCGCCATGCCTTTGGAACGACTGCCCCTTTTGGGTTATCCCCCCCCCCCCTCCCCAGTTTGAAAACCGTTCCGCCGCCGCTGCAGTGATAACCCACCCTTAATTTTCGTTCGATGTCTCATTCAATGTTGAAATAATTGAATAAATGTTGTTTTGCATTTCTACAAAAAAAAAATAAAAAAATTAAAATCTACTTTTCGGGGTGAAACTAAAGGCACAGGGAGAGCAAAATGACATCCGCTTTTTCCACGTATGAATTCACCTAATCCGCTCATCCTCGCCTCGTGATGTGAAAGGGGGTATTGCGCCCTCTCGGGTTATTTCTGACTTTTTGGTTTGTCCAAGATGGCAGTCATATCAACACGTGGTCTTGACAACTCGGCGACACCGGTGTTAGTACTTTCGAAGATCTGGATCAATACTGCAAGCAATCCCCCGTTATGGGATATATAGGTTGCAGGTGTGTGTGGCTGGCGGCGCTAATATTTTCTGCTTTTTATACTGGACAAGTTTAGTTTCACTTTCAGTAGATTTTCCTTAAATTATGCTCATACTAGTCCTAGCCTCATCATGCTCAGTAACACTATTTAAACACTAACACACAACAGATGCTGGGATGTAGTAGGCCGTAGGAGGAGTTTCCATTCGGCTGTCATTTGGATAGAATGGAACAACTGAAACTAAATCTGAACATCGAAAACGACTATTGGGGAATCTCCACGAGTCCACGGAAAGAATGGGGCAACCTGATGCTACTTCAGTGGTTGTGTACAAAGTCGATGGAGAGTCAAGAATTTTTTTTACAAAATTGGAAATATTTCACAGTCTCAGATTCATGTCTTATCATCATTTTTGCACTTACTGACCTTCATTGAGATAAAATATGAAGAGAAAAACAGCGTCAGGTTGTAATATTCTTTCCATCTCCACGAACAGAATATGACCAAAAACACACACAAAAATGGCAATTGTGTAGTTACGGGCCCCTCTTTACTTTCCATCAAAATAGCGTCAAGAGTGTTTTTTATCATTCATAAATGACCTTTTCAACCTTAGCAGACTTCTCTCAATTCTAATATAAATATCACCATTTTTGTATTTTTGAACAGTTTCTTTGGGTAGAAATTAAGTTTTTCAAATGCAGAGATTTGGCCAGGATTTGGCCAGGATTGTAGCTCCATATATAATGCTTTTGAAACTCAGTGATAATTGAGACGGAGTGCTGAATGGTAACACCAGGCATGGATCTGGGGGGGGGGGGGTGTTTTGGGTGTAAAAAAACCAAGCTCGGTCCAAACAAAAAAAATTCCCCTAGAAATTCATTAAATATAATGCCACCCCAACCCCTGCTCTGACACCAAACAAAATTATACTGGTAATAATTTCCGTCTGTGCACAAAACACGGACACACCCATCAGCTTGGTTTGGGGTATATTTACACTATTGTGTCACAGTGTTCAAAATCGTCAGATTTGAACAGCACCCAAAGTGCTACACGTATATGTTCATCAAATTTTAGTTCCGTTTGGCTGCAGTTTGGCTATCACGAGGCCATTAGCAAGACTGTCATGAGAATATTATTAAAAACCAATTGCACTAGAGCGGACTCACTCCTCATTGAGTGGGGAATTCAAAACAAATCAAAACCCCACCCCTCCAGCGTACGGGCCTGATATTCTGTGCATATGAATAACCCCAATTTATTTTCTTTTACTTGTAGGGTCTACTGGGGAAATTATGCATGTGACCCCTTTGATCCAGCAACCGATGAACTGTAAGCTAAATTTAACGTTACAATAAAAGTGAAATGAATTATGACAAAAAGTGAGACTTTCTGCAAAGAAGAAAATATCAGGTCTGATGATACACTTCAAGAGCTATCATCAATGGTCTAAATTTGAAAACCCTTTTATAAATTTTAGCCCTGAGCTAATTCATTTTTTTTTTTTATTTCTGACATCTTCTTGTCTTACGCATGTAGGTATAAAATTGCCCTGGATGATCCAAACGGCAGTAAGGGGGTCATTGAATGTGCTCCAAAAGGAACATATGTCGGTGAGTATGAAAACAACAAATGTAAGAATTGAATGTTAGTATTGCTAAGGAGTCAAGTATTTAACTACATGCAAAATCTTTGGTAAATAACTGGCTTCAAAAACAAACTCTTTCGAGCACAAGTTTATAAGCCATATTAAAAGTGTTCAAGTTCATAATTTTAATATACTAAGGGCCTGTCCTACTCTCAATTCATATCCTGGCATTGCGGATATTGTATCGGGTCTAAGTTGCAGGATTCTGAACAACTTCTCCGCAATCTTCCCGTAATGAAGTTATCAGTATTGGTGAGTCAAGCAGTTGCTAATGAAACTTTCACCAGAACATATCTTGGACAAATGCAAAGCTTCTTCTGGACAAAGTGAATGACTCTACCCGCAACTTGTCCGGAACTTGTCCTAGATATGAATTGAGACGGGCCAAAACCCATTAATTGTTTTTTTGACTTTTTAAGTTCTAGCAGGAGCTTCTTCATGACACTTGGTAGTCGGTGGGTCTGTCTGTCTGTCTGTCTGTCTGTCTGTCCTTGTAAATGCACTCTTGCCAAAAGTTTTTGAAAGACCGGCTTTGTTTTGATCGATGCGCATGCGCATTTATTTTGCATATGTCTGTCCCTAGAAAATAAACCAATGGGAAACATAACCATGGGAAACATAATTATGGGAAACATAACCAAACCTACCAAATTTTAATTTTCAATTTTTTTTTAAAAGCAAACAAAATAAATAACAAAACTTGTTAGTAAGTTGTTTATGAACATTTTGTAATTGGAGGCAAAATATGTGCAGTAATGTTAGTCACGTGGTACATAGCGCAGCGTGATTTTCACATTCGGACAGTGGCCTGGGCTTGTATGCACAATTCTTACATTTCATGGAAGACTTGCATGCAAGATGGCCAGAGCTTTATATTGTGCACTCATACTTGTTTTTATAATACCCAGTTGTCATTTTTGGATTACATGTTTTTGGTACATCTTAGCACTTTATTTTGTAGCCTATGAATTCAACACTTGTCATAATTACATTATTTATCAGCCTCTCAGACACTGTCCTACCTGGTGTCAGACAGCTATGGCCGTTCCTTGAGTAAATCAGACGCCCTCCGTGTGAGTGGCAAGAATGAGCTCTACCACTTCCAGACCCATGCTGGTGAGTGTCATCCTCAGAGGGAGGAAGGTTAAATGTTGTATCCTATGTATTAAAGCCAGTAGAAAAAGTTAGTTCCTTCTTCATGAATATTCATCCCAGAGGGAAGCCGTGATTGGTCAGTGGGTCAACACTGACTTCAACACTGACCTATGTCTCGAATAGCTACCGATGCATTAAGTCCCGCCCCATGAGGTGTTGACCAATCACGGCGCAGTCAAAAACCCAACAAAATTTAACGTGTGGTCTTACATATAAATCATGTGGCTTGGTCATTGTGGCATTGGACATGCACACATCTTGTTACAAATGAGCACAGTTAATGGTTCCGTCTATTTTTATATCAGGTCTTAGTGAATCTGCACAGTTCTACTGCCTTTTCATTTGTTTTATCAGAACTAATACACGTATCAGCATTATTTGCCATTTCTTTTGGGTTTGAAATGATATGAAAATAATAATCACCCTGGATTGGACATTTGGGAGACATCCCCATAGACTTGTGCACACAATTTTTCAAACTTAAATGTGCCCTAACCCAACATTCCCTTTTCATTTTTCCACGAATTTCAGTATGTTTTATAGACCACGAGCAACAAATATAACCTAATATGGGCAATAAAATTGAGCCTCTAAAGGGGGGCTGTGACATTAGGGAGACATGAAAATGTCTCCCTAATGACCGATATCTCCCATCGTGCGATGAAATTACGATAAAGTGTCTCCTTAGTGGTACCATTACACTAATAAAGCAATTATTAAAATTAATAGGACAGATTATAATATTAGCTAAACTTTGTCATGGGTCATGGACTTCATGGAAGAACAGGAGAGGGTGCGTTTTGACCACTTGGCAAAGTCCATCACAAGTCTATCACAAGTCTGTTTGTCTGCCTGCCTGTCTATCCAAACTGCGTGTTGCACTCCATAAATATGTTTTTAAAAATTAAAAAACACTTTTATTTCTGCTCTGTTTATTTCTTGTTTGTCTCCTTTTGCTCTTGCACAGATATTTTGAATGTTGAACCACAAGTTGGAAGCCTGGAAGGGGGCACCTTGCTGACTATCACTGGAAAATACTTTGATGGATATGCTGCGTCTGTGCTGGTTGGCGGTATGTGAATGAGGGAACAAATGTGTGCTTGCAGGTCTTCAACAAGTCCATTTAAGAGCAGCTGGGGGAATGGAGGTTGATAGTAGCTCGAGCCAAAGGGGAGGGATATTATTGGCGACCAGGCCCCCGGCTAGTCAGTCTTAAACGGACTTGTTTAGTACCGGCCCAGGACACATTTATTTCCATTCATAAATACTTTTTTGGTCAAAAAGTCGAAACAAGTCCAAAATTATAACTTTCCAACGATTTTGTTTAACAGTTTCTCTTCATTATAAGATGGAATTTTGCGTCGGGGTGATATAAGTCAAATTAGGTTTTGCCCTTCACCGACGTTTTTAAACACTGTATATTCAGTGTGTTACCTCCCGAGTGAAAGTTGGAAAAAATCACTCGGGTGGGACTCGAACCCACGACCTCCTGCTTTCTAGTGCAGATGTCTAACCACTCGACCACCGAGCTAACGGGATCGGTTGGCCGGTTCGAATCTGATGTACATAGCAGCGGGTACCGCATAAACTATTATAAGATGGAATTTTGCGTCGGGGTGATATAAGTCAAATTAGGTTTTGCCCTTCACCGACGTTTTTGAAGTTTCTCTTCATGTTTTTTTTTAAACACACCTCTAGCTATGTTATGGTATTGGCCTCTCGCGAGTAGTCGTAAACAACTCCTTAATAGATTGGTGTACATTGTGGTACAGAATGCAGCTGTGCCAGTGTAGCGTGAATTTAGGACTATCAAATACTGACTGATGGGTAGTATTGTGCATGCCTAGGTGAGGATTGCGAATGTTCAACCAATAAAAGGGTAAAAGGGACTGGGTTTCATAGGAGTCTAAAATTCATGTGACACTGGAAAAGTGTTTAAGACCAGCCAGTCGGTGTTTTATCAACCATTTAAGACCGGCTACGTGGCGGGCTCTCGACCAATAGGAATGGGTAAACCAGTGTCTTAGGTATTTATGAATGAGAAATAATAAGTAAGAAGTCTTTGAAAAATGAAGTTTAAACACAGCTGTTATATTGTTTTTATTCTTTAAACTTTGATAAACGTGCATTTTTCCCCACTTTTTTTCAAATGGATATTTTGCTTTTTGGAAGTAAACTTTTTAATTGTCGTTATTGCCTTTTGTTGTCAAAACAATTGTTTGTGTTTTTTTGTGAGTTAAGGAACGTGTCCAACAATGGATACCATATGTAATGGAGCAAGTGTGTGTTTTTTTGATACAGGTGTTCCGTGTGAGATCTCAAACATCACTTCAACAGAGATAAAGTGTGTGACAGGCCCAGCTGCGGCTAACCAGAGTGTTTATCCGGGGGACACAGGAATGTTGTATGAAGTCTGGAACGAGACTACTGTATCGTAAGCTGCATTTTATCCCTTCTATTTTTATAATTTGCATTTGTAATCAATGTCAATTAACATGCGGTGCAGCAGTGGTGCACCCAAGGGGGGCTCGGGGGGCTTGAGCCCCCCAGAGAGGTTGTAATTTTTTTTTTTTTTTTTTTTAGTCCCACGATTTGACCTTGGTGCAATGAATGTGGCCTATTTTCAAGTAGTATAATAGGGGTGTAAGTGGCACCACCAACGTCAAATAGTCCACCCCCCCCCCCAAAAAAATCCAATTTGTTTCTGCAGCCAAACAGTTTGGGCAAAATTTTTGTAACAAATTTAACTCCCAAAAAATTTGAAAAAAAAACACTTGTGAAGATTTGACCGCAGCTCTGTCATTTTTAAGTATGTCCTTTACCTTAAAAGGCTTGATGAAGCAGTGTGGGACACCAGCGCAGCGGACTACAACTTCATGACGGTTCTGGAAGCGCGCTCCCCTGAAGAGCACCAATTTGGGGAGGAAGACCATTTCGTGGGTCGGCTGAGGGGACTGTTCGTGCCGCCTCGCACCGGCAACTACCAGTTCAAAATTGTAGCAGACGATTATGCTAGGCTCTATCTCAGTAAAACTGGTGATCCTAATGACAAGGTAATTAAGTTAGTATTTTTAAAGCAGAAGGGATTTTTTATATAATCATTATTGTTGAAGAAGTGTTTGTAAATTTGATATGTTTTTTCCTCCTGACTTAGATTCAACTTGTATGTTTTATTTTAACCAAAAGAAAAATTTCTTCGACTTGTCTTTTTTGGGCGTCTGTAATCTTTTAGAAAAAAAGGTCTGTCTTTTTTTGCTTTTGCAACACAAACAAATCTGCCCTGTGAGTAGACTTATTCCCGGTCCCTGCATTATTGATTCTAATAGTTGGCAGGGACCAGTCTACCCAGCTTGAAACGAATTATTGTCGGGCTGCAAATGGTCAAAATTTGTAATGTAATTATTCCGTAACTAAACGTGGACAGATGTTTTTCCTTACACGTTAGATTCAAAACTTAATAACTTTTGTAGTGCTAGCTTAAAAATAGCAATTTAAAAAACTTTTTTTTTTCAGGGTAAACCTTGGAAATAGTGGGCAGTATTTTTTAAGTTCGTATAAATCTTAGCACACAAGCAGGCACAGACCTTGTCTAAATCCCGCAATGCACTGATTTACGAGATGAAAGAAAATAAAATATTTTTAGATTTATATCTGGGTTGATTAATGGCACAAATTAGTAAAAAAGGAAATTAATATGTCGCCTCGTTTTTTGGTAAGGTCATTTTATGACATACAAGGATTGTTCTAATGGGCTAAATGATTTTTTTTTCTCCAGGAGCAAATAGCAATTCTCAATCAATATACCAGTGACTGGGAGGCAAATAAACAACAAGCGTCAGACAAAATCCAACTCACAGCTAATCAGAGGTGAATGTTATAAGCATTTGTTAAAAAAAATTTTTTAATCAACACATTGTGAAAAAAACTCCCGTCACGAAAAGCAGAACAAACTATATTTATTTATGTTGTGAATAATTCTGCCATATTGAGCCAAGGAGTCCTCAAATTGCACAGACATTACAACTTGAAATCCTGAATAGACGTAGAGAGAGAGAAATAGAGAAGGTGAAATAATCGTCAGTTTAAAGGGCCCATTCAATGTAATGTGGCAATCCTTGATAATGCACCTTTATTTGTGTCCCATTTAACCTTATTTTCAATTTTCATTTTGCCGTTTTCAAGGGTATTTTAGTCCTTTTTTGTTTTTTATGCTAAGGCAAATTTCAGTATTCATGAGCAAAAGTGTGATGTCATTTCAGGCAGAAACCCTCAATCATACAGCTATTTCAGCACAAAAAAGTTTCCAAAATTTTGGATATTTTGCTGTCCTAATTTTCTTTTCTTTTGTGATTTGTTGTGTCAGTACAAGGCAGGTCTCACAGATGTTTTCAGTGAGCATATTTTTGGGAATGAAATGACGTCACAATTGAGTAAAGTCGACTCCGATTGGCTGAGGCGCGAGATCGCATAAATCTGCATGCTTTGACATATCAGACGTTATATAGGAGACTTGGCTCTGTTGATAACGGGTGATACTCAGACTACCCAATCACCTTTCCGTCTTAACAAGTTTAAAACATCAAACTGTGACCAGGCATATCTGTCTATAATGGATTGCCAATATCGTCACAAAAATGCAGCTACACAATGTGCTAAATTGCATTATTTATGATTTGTTCTACTACAATTTTGTTCAAGCTACTACCTGGAAGCTGTGTACGAGGAAAATGCAGGCAACGATTTCCTCAAAATCGGTGTCGTGTTCTTTGACGTGCCCGTGAATAAGGACGACACCACATACGCCAAGAATGAGGTGCAGAGGATCAAAACGGAGTCGGTTGTGGTGTTGGAAAGTCAGGTAGGAATTCTTCAGCATTTGGTCAGAAAAGTGAGAAATCGTACATGTGCTAATAAAGTTTCAAAAGTGAGCAGTAACTCACGTTATAGTTTTGGTACTTTTTTCTTAATGAATAACATTTAATTTTATCATTCATTGTTCAATGACATACCGTTTTGAGCACCAATACTGCTGGATAGGCTCTATGTGTGCTTTATAAGAAATATTATTTACAAATATTTTTTAACAGCTTTTTTCCTGAATGTGATTTTTCATGTAACACATTTTCCTCATTATGAAAGTAGAAGTTTAATTTATTTTGACTATGTTTTTAATTTTGCCCCACTATTCCAAGTTCTTTATATAAGATGCCACCATAGTTCACATTGAAGTAGAGTTTGTAGTTAATGATGGTAATTTCAAGCAAAGGAAGTCCAAAACATGGATGTTGCAATTTTTTCCTTCTAGTTCATAAGAATACTCACCAACTCCAACGGAGGTTGAACAAAATTAGGATAGTTGAAAAGGTTGAAAAAGTGCAGACTACATTGTCTTCAATAAAAATGGCATGTAAAGCTTGATGTATTTTTAATCAAGTATTTTTTTCATGAAAAGAATTTCAAATGAAATTATCCAAAATAAGTGTTTTAGCTTGTGACTGGTGATTTTGCTTGTGATTCCATTTGTGATTGACATGTAGCAGACTTGACAACAGCTTTGAAAAACCCAAAGAGGATCGTCTCGTTAATTAAAATGTGTTTCAGACATTGACAGTAGAGGGCGCTACATATGAGGTGCAGCAGGTTGTCGTTAAGACCTCGACTTGTTCCACCAGTTGCAACTACAAGCTACAGTTTGGCCAACTGCTCACAGGTATACACAGCATTCGAGAGTTTACAAAGAGACTGACATGGTTTTAAACTCATGCTAGTAGGATAAGATTTGGCACACTTGCATTTTTTTACAATGGGAAACTCAAACTTTTTACGGAAATTGTGTAGTTTAGGACACCTTATATTTTATAAGTTCCATTCACAAATCAAAAGCCTGCCCTCTTTTCACAACTATCTTTGAAATTATTCATTCTGGCAAGCTGTCATTTTGAAGAAAACAATGAAAGAAGGCCTTTCCAACGATGTGTCTAAAGAGTCACCGTTGGAAATTTCCATTAGTAGTTTGTTTTTTATCCGGCGAAGCGTGCGCAAGCATTGACATGACACACGCGCGCGCGGTTGCTATAATTCATCGGATCCACGCATGACATCGCGTAGCTGCAGTCAGCTAATTAAAGTGAGAACGTGTTTCGGACGCTGAATTCAGGCCCAATTCAAAACATGATTCAGCAACTTTTGATTTGAAATCGAGATCCTAGAATGTTGTGTTTCTCGAAATATACAGCTGAAGCTGAGCTGAATTTCATCAGGTTAGTTGTTCAGCACCCTTCTTTAGATTTTGAGCCCTTTTGTTGCCTCAAACGAACAAAATGCACAAATTACAAATAATTGACTGTACCTCTAAGTCACTCAGTGAGATTGATGTGATTAGGAATGATCAGCTTTTATACCATTCTCTTTTTATTTTGCTCCATGTTTTCATCGTAGGTGAGTTGAGCACGTCATCAACTGCAGAACAAATGGAGACGGCACTGAATCTCCTCGTTAGTCCGGATGCAGTCAGTGTAACCATGACAACCGACAGTGACACCAATACCTATAGTGTAGAGTTCCAGTCAACCCAGAGTAAGATACGTTTCTGCTCCTCTTCAATCCTAGCTGCGGAAGAAAAATTAAATTGCTTTTGATTTTATGAACTTTATGAACCTATTTTGGTTATTATAAAACAAGGATTCAATACAGAGGTGTAATGTTAACAGCAGGCATCTAACACTACGTCCACTGTCTCAAAATCACATATACACACAGTTCTATTGTCAGACATGTCAGCAACTATTAGCAATCTTAATATATTCTGCTTGATCCTTACTGAAATTCTGCAATTTTGGATGCCAGTGGGTGAACTTACTGTACAGTAATGTCTTTAGTTACATCCAATGGGTTGTCTTGTAAGAATGACTGAATTTATGTCTTATTATTTAGTGATTGCTGTGCCTCTCATTTTTTTTGAATACTACTCTTACCAGCCAGATCTTTCAAAATCCACAAAATTGTTTTGGAGGATTTTGTAGGATTGAGGAAGAAATGGAAGTCTATTCAGGGGACTGGATGCCAGCGGCGGCGGAACGATTTTCAAACTGGGGGGCATCACCAAAAAGGGGCCCAGTAAAAGGCATCTTCCATCGGTGCAGCAGCGTTCCAGCATTTTTTGTGTCGACACATCTTTTTTCACCTTGGCCTCCGTAAATTCAAATAGTGCCGGGGGGGGGGGGGGACGCTCTTCAAAACCGGCCATTATGCAAACTATATGCATTATGTGCCCATTTTCAGGGTGCATTGTGAGGGTTTTGGGGCTTGGTTTTTATATTCCTCGTTCATATCAGAACTCTCTATAATACTGAAAACAAATTATCCGAAATTTTATGGCAAGTTTTTTTTTTCATCTCGAGGGGGCACATTTGTGCTCGAGGGCCACATTTATGTCCGCAAGAGGGGCACTTGGGTAAATCGGGGGGGGGGGCAAAATCTGGGTGAGAGTTTGGAATAATGAATCACTTCCATCTGTCTGCCAATCTCATTTTTTTGTCTAGACAATATCCCACTGTTGAAAGTGGTGAAGGACGACACGAGCCTAGACATTACCATTAGCAAGACTGTGTCCTTCACTCCCGTCGATCTGAGCAGTTTCAACATCCTCGTGGAAGGGACTGCTACCACAGATTTGTCCTCAAGCTCGACAGCTGAAGAGGTCAGTTAACATTAAGGGATCAAGCATGCTTAAAACCAGGTACGGGCCTGGTTGGGGATAAATAGCCCTCGCCTTCAACTAAGGCCATTATCTGGCCAAACACATATTTATTTCCATTCATAAAATCCTTTATCAAAACAAGTCAAAAATGCACAAATTACGAACGCCTTTGTTCAACAATTGTACCTCATGCTTTGAGGTACAAAGGATACCCATGCAATCATGCCCTCCCTCCGATATCAATAAACGCCCCTTTGGCCATGTATATGGTACAAGCATGTGCCTCGCATGCATAGTGCAAAAAAATGTCCTTTTATGGAGATTGGTGCGCGCAGCGCATTCTGCGTGATGTGGCGCTGAACGCAGCGGTGCAGGAATAAAGTGTTTAAAACCAGCTGGTAAAAAAGGGGGAAAATCAAGCGCAAGTTATATACTGAAGTCATGATAAAGATCTGTGTGTGTTTTTTTAGGGTGGGGTTTTTTTGGTAGTATTTTACCAGAAGATGAGCGAAGACAACTTGTTTTGAGTTGTCCCTTTTTTCCATAGATTTTGAGAATTAAGAAAAGGGGAAAAGAGCGCCCCTAGCATCAAATGAGATCCAGCCCAGTCCCCCCCCCCCACCTTGTCCCCCCCCCCCCCACCTTGTCCCCCAAAATTAGTTCTGGATCCACCCTTTCTGCCCGCCAGATGATGCTAAGGCTCGCACAGCTTTTTCAAACACAATAACCATCTCTGTCCTCATTGGTACCCATTGAACTCCTGGGTTGGATAGAAGCAATTAGTTGCAAAGCGTCTTGCCCTTGACACAGTAGCTACAATCCCACAGGGCTAGAGTTGAACCCAAAATGTGCAGAGAATAATAATCCAGATGAGTTCAACACTAGCCTGCCAGACCACAGCACTTTGTGAACCTCTTCTGTCCAAGCATACCCATAAAATCATGCTCTCACTCCATTATTTGAAACGTCTGCGATTGCTGTTCATATTTTACTTGCCCACAAGTATGGGCCTTATTCAAGAGTCGGCCATATTGAATTGAAAGTGAGGTAAAATCTTAATTTTTGGAACTTTCGAGGAGAAATGAAAGTAGTTAATTACTAATTAATTCCAGTCTGCTTCAGTGAATAATTTTAAATTTGTAATTAAAAATTCCCTAATGTTTAAAGCCAGATTAAAAAAAAAAAAAAGACAGTAAAATATGGCTGCATTGTGCCGGCATAAATAGTCTGGCGCCATCCCATTGAACAGTCAACACTTAATGACATACATTCAGGGAACTTGACAAAAATGGCCAACTATTGAATAAGGCCCATTGACATGCTGTCCCTCCATGAAATCAGAGAGAAATCCAAAGATCACCAGCATGGCAGTCTGAAGGTTGCTGGTTCGAATCCCAGCCAAAATCACATGTCTCTCTACCTGACGCCCTGCAGGTCAAGAGCGCCCTCATGGACTTATTCAGTGTCCAGTGCGAGAAAGTGGGACAGACCACAGGCCTCTATGAGCAGGACTTCGAAGGTGATGCCGTTGGGGAAGTCGACGATTTGATCATCAGAGACGAGGAGCCCTTTTGTGGGCGTGCCTCAGTCAAGAACCCAGACTTGATCTTCCGTGCCGGCAGCACGTTGCAGCCAGGCTCCTCCAAGACTATGAAGGCTTTTGATGTCAGGTACAACAAGAAGGTAGGTTCCTTTTATGTAGACATTTGTGTGTCCGGAGAGTATGTATGTGCATTCATGAGTGGACCTTAAACAATAGAGGACAATATGTAGGGTCCTAGATTGGGATAAGGTCCTCGGTTGGAAATCGCATGCAAAGCAATCCAGTTTCTTTTTAACTCTTTCAGTGCCAAACTCGTAAATGTACGAGGTACATTTGTTAGTAGTAGTAGTGGCCTATCCCGTCGAATACGACGATGTAGCTCGGTGTCTAGCTGCACGACGATTCTCGCAATCAGCAATATAGGCGGCAGAGGAAGCAGAGCGGCCAAGATGGACAGCGGATCGCCAATGAGTGCGGTCCTGCACCACGGTCTGCCAGGAGGTGACTGGGATTCGGAAGGTTCGCAGATCACGCTTTAGAACATCCTTGTAACGGAGTTTTGGACGACCACGGGGGCGAGGAGCATGAGCCAGCTCCCCAAAGAAGATGTCCTTCGGCAGTCGACCGTCCTCTTGTCTGCAGACATGACCAGACCAACGAAGGCGGCGAGCTGACAGCAATGTGAACATGTCGTTGACTCCTGTGAGCTCAAGAATGGCAGGGTTTGAGACTCGGTCTTGCCAGGAGATTCCAAGAATTGAACGTAGGCAGCGGAAATGGAACGCGTTCAGTCGGCGTTCCTGACGGCGGTAGGTCGGCCATGACTCACTGCAGTAGAGTAGCACACTAAGCACACAGGATACGTAGATGCGGATCTTCAGCTTGATGGAAAGGGCCCGGTTGTCCCAAACACGAGCACGGAGTCGGCCAAAGGTGGTTGCAGCCCTACCTATTCGGGAGTCAAGTTCGGTATCCAGGGAGTTGGTGCTGGTAACTGTAGAACCCAGATACTGAAATTTGTTGACCACGCTCAGAGGTGTGCCATTGATGGTGATCATGGGAGGGGGACCTGGGCCTTGCGATAACACCATTGTCTTGCCAAGGCTGATGATCATGCCAAACTCCGAGCAAGCACTGGCAAATGAGTTGCAGAGATGTTGAAGCTCATCTGCTGAGTGGGCAACAATGGCAGCATCGTCAGCATACAGGAGTTCCCGGATGAGAACATGCCGAATCTTCGTCCTGGCACGGAGACGGGACAGGTCGAAGAAATTCCCGGAGCTGCGTGTGTGAAGTAGGATACCAGATGGTTCGGGAAATGCACGGTGTAGCAGGGCTGAGAAAAAGATCCCAAACAGGGTAGGAGCAAGTACACACCCCTGCTTGACGCCCCGACGAACTTCAAACTTAGCAGATCTTGAGCCATTGAACTGGACTGTGGCGTGCATGTCGTCATGAAAACACATCAGAATAGACAAAAGCCTATCTGGGCAGCCCAAGCGCTTTAGGATGGAAAACAGGCCTGAACGACTCACGTTATCAAAGGCCTTAGTCAAGTCGATGAAGACCATGTACAGAGGTCGCCGCTGTTCAACACACTTCTCCTGGAGTTGTCTCAAGGAAAACACCATGTCAACAGTGGAGCGGGATGGGCGGAAGCCACACTGGCTTTCGGGAAGGATTCTGTTGGCAATGACCTGTAGCCGAGGTAACAGCACTCGAGCAAAAACCTTCCCAGCTAAGCACAGCAGTGAGATGCCTCTGTAGTTATTGCAGTCTTGTCGGTTACCTTTGTTTTTGTAGAGGGTTATGATGTTTGCATCCTTTAGATCCTGTGGTATTAACTGGGATTTCCAGCAGGTCAGGAGAACAGCGTGGAGCTCTGCAGCCAAGATATTACCACCCTTCTTAAGTACCTCTGGAGGGATGCAATCAGTGCCAGGAGCCTTGTTGTTCTTTAAGCCGTTGATGGCATGTTTCACTTCTTCCAAGGTGATGGAATTGTCCAGCTCTTTCAGGATGGGAAGCTGAGGTAAGGTAGATATTGCAGAAGTACTGACTGCAGCATCGCTGTTGTAAAGTGAGCTATAGTGCTCTACCCACCGGTCAAGCTGTGCTGTTTGGTCTGTGAGGATGGCACCAGTGGACGACAGTAAAGGAGCAGATTTCTTTGGGGTAGGACCAATTGCCTCCTTAATGCCTTGGTACAAGCCGCGTAGATCACCAGAGTCGGCACAACGTTGGATGCGATCACTTAGGTGAGACCAGTAGCGTTGCAAAGCTGCTCGAGTAAGACGCTGGACAGTGCTCTTGGCAGCCCGAAGGGCAGCTTTTGAGGAGCGTGTGTTGATCAAGCGGCATTTGTTTCTGGCTGACCGTTTGTTCTCTAGTGCAGGGAGCAGTATGTCCGCGCTGTCCCGGAACCAGTCAGGTTGCTTTCGTGAGCAGCGACCAAAGGCAGACACAGCACTGTTGTAGACTACTGAACGGAACCTAGACCAAGCACCTTCAGGGTTGGCAGAGATTGGTGCTGAGCTGAAGTTACCAGAAAGGAGCTCTTGAAACTGAGTAACATGACTGATGTCGTGAGTTGAGACAGTGTCAATAGCAGGCAATGTACATAGCTAGTTATGTACATCATGTTAAAGTGCAAATCACTGGCTTTCCAATGATACCAAACATATTTCTGTAGCTTTTTTCATTCCAAAAATACGCCGCAGGAAATTTGACAGTGTCCCGCTGAAACTTCGCCGACCTCATTTCGAGAAAAACGGCCTTGCAAAAATGATACGCATTGCGCCGCCAACGGCAGTGAAAAAAAGGTTTTTCAGTTTTTTTCCACTTTTGGGGTATCTTTTTCCCAACAAAAACGCACAGTGTGAATCTTGGATACCTTGGCTACCAAAAATCCCCCCCAAAAAAACACCCCAAAAAATCCATTTTGACCGGAATTTTCAATGTATATACCCGCCTTCAGGTGCCGATTACTCAAAACAAGGTTTTGGGGGCATTCCTCATTTTGCCTCAGTAGGTGACAGTTACGAGTGTCGATGCAACTTTTGCCAGGAGCAACTTGTGATATTCTAAAGCTGAATGCAGAATATTCAAAATCACATATTTCTTCCTTGGTCCATTTGACACTTAATTGGGATGGAACGGCAGCTTTGCCTAGCCCACCGGGGTGGAATGAAGTCCAGAATCAACCTGCTACAGCGCTGGGTGGACGACAACAACAACGAGCAGTTGAACTGGCAGTCGTACGTGGATAATTCACTGATTGATTGGACATCTACTGCGTGAGTATTTCTCTTGGCAGTAGATCAACGAAACCTACATTATGAATATGAGAATGACAATAACTATTTATCAGATGGAGTTTGCATCAGGGAGATGTGAATTCAATAGTGGGTTTGCCCTTCACCTTCGTATTTTATAAACCATGTATACTCAGTGTTGTCCAAGGGCTTGCGAGAAAAAAATTGTTGGCCTAAGCTTACTTAGGTTGGGTAGTATGGGAATCGGGTACCCAAGTACCCGTTAAAGAATCCCAACTCCAAAATTTAAATCTCAGAAGTTTCTTTTCATATTGCTGATATAAAGGTCCCCATTACAGTACTACGGCATCAGTGCGTTAATACAGCAAAATACAAGCATGTACAGCGAGCTCTTTAGCTTTACGGTATAATTGCATTTTCGCAAGCGTCATAAACGTGAATCTGCTTTGTTTTCCCATGTAATCTGGTTTCATTTTTGAAAATATCCCATACATGCTATTCAAAACCTCTTCTTTTCATTGGCTGAGAAGTTACTAAGTAATGCAAGGTTGGTTATGGGTATCTGATCCTATAATCTGGAACCAGTTCCTGACATCAGCAGTCGGGTGCTCGGTTCCAGTGCACAGCCCTACTTTAGATACAACACATATATTGTTTTTATTCTTTAAACTTTCATAACCGTGCAAATTTTCACCTTTTTAAAATGGATATATTGTGTTTTAAAAATAAACTCTTGTAATTTAATGTCTGTCTTTCTCAATTCTTGTAGCTGGAAGTTTGAGTGCATCGACATAAATGAGATTGCAACCAAAAGTTGGTTCTACGACAGTCACAAGGAAGGCTACCCACTGAAGGTTGAGCGCATCCGATTGTTCGAAGCAGACGGCCAAGATTTCTTTATAGATAATATGTACATTGGCAATGACGAACCAACATGTAAGCTAAAGTCAATTCCTTACTGTATGTTTATCAATACTGCATTCAGAAAATTAATTATTAAGACACACCAAATTTGTGTATGACTATAAAGCTATCTTGTAAAATTCTTCTTCCACCACTTTAATTCATCTCTCTGTAAGACGGCAGCATTATTAGGTAGTATTTCAATTCAGTTGGTCTTAATAATACTTTTTTGATAAAAAGAATTCTTTTAAAAGGGAAGATTTATCCAAAGACAAAATGATCGAATTATCACAAAATTCTTTACTGGACTGTTAGGGAATGGCAGTCTAAAGCATCCCGTACAATCATGACTTCTGTTGTGCTGACATTTTTTAAGTAATGTGGTATTTTTGTATCAACTTCCAACGCTGGTCATATTTAGTTATTCCGTATTTTCTTTGCAATTGATTACACACCTGTGAAGGGTTACAAGCCAGTTAGTTTTGTTTCCTGAAAATCATCCAAGAGAAATAACCGCATGCTCGTTTCTGTGCCTACTGCTAACAGTCTCTAGCTGTGAAAGGGATGAAAGCCTAATAAGTCAAAAAAAAACCCCGAAATTGGGCCTAGAGGTAGCAATACACAATATGCAGCATGCATTATGATACTGCACAAAAAAAACAGTGCGTATCAGAATTTTGTGAAATCAATGCACTGTTAATCAAATTAGGTTTTGCCCTTCACCGACGTGAAGGGCAAAACCTTTGAATATACTGTTATGACTATTTTGTTAGATACACGAACACAAGCAGCCGTCCAGCCAAATGGTATTACAGTGACGGAAGTGAACGTCAACAAGCGAGGCTACAGCTTTGACATAACGTTCACGTCTGGGAAATGCGGCTTTGGCTACCCGCTTCTGTCCATCAAGGATGCCGTCAAAACCACCGATGAGACAGACAGAGCCGTCTACACCAGCAGCGCATGGCCATCTGGTGTCAGCATCTCCGTTGTCCGCCCAGACAAAGCGACGGAGCCGATCACCGGGACATTTGATCTTGGTTGGAATGTCACTAAGACACAAATCAAAGGTCAGTCATCACACATTTGTTTAAAGAAGTACTGAAGTCCTTCAGGATTACACAACATCATCAACAGTGTCGGATCCAGGGGCACCCCCCCCCCTTCTTTCTCGGTAGTGACCGAAATTTTCTCAAATATCATCCTTACTCGGAGCAGATCTGGCCCTGCAGCCTTATTAGTCACATATTTTTTTTAAAGAAGTTCTGAAGTCGTTCAGGAGTACACAACATCATCAATGGTGCCAGATCCATGGGCAACCCTCCTCCTCAGTAGTGACCGAAATTTTCTCAAATAAGACCATTTTTCACTTCTGCCCCTCAGCACACCCTCCGCCCCTCAGCAGTAACCTCTCTGCTTCTGCCCTTGACCAATTTCAGACTGGCATTCCAGAGTCACGCCAAGTCAAATATTTCCTTAGTTTTGAATTAAGTTCTACATGTGAAACAGGAGTAGCTACAGGCACCAGTATAAGATGAATATTTATGTGGCTTCTATGTAAAATCATGACAGTGATGCAGCAAAAGAAAAGTTTTTTGATTGGACAGTACCGTATATGAGCAGATAGAAAATATATACGTTTTTAGTATTGGACCGTAGACATAAACTCTTAAAGTAAAAATTTAATTGCCATAAAGTTGCTCTACATATTCAATTTCTTTTCTCTTAAAAGCTAACTTTCAATTTGTGTGTTTCATTCAGACAGAAACAGCTTCCTTATGCTATTTTTGACATTTTCAACCCTCTAAAAATACATCTTTATTTTGGGTTGCTTTTGCACCCATAATGCACGCAAAAGTACTCCTAAAGTATTGTCGCAAGAACAAAATTTGCTTGTTTGTTCGGTGACTCATTAAAAAGTGAATAACACTTGTATTGCTAGAAAATAGCAATTTAAAATAAAATCTATTTTTGGGGGTGAAACTAAAAAATGACACAGGAAGAGCAACTTTAATTAAACAATGACTTGTGGGCCAATATTTAGGCTCCGTTATCTCTAGCAGTGACATTTTGAGCTGATAATAGCGGCTCACTATATGCAAAGAATTGAGAGATCACTTGGAGTTTTATGTTTGAAAAAACAGTTTCATCAGACGCCACAGCCGAGAAGCTGAAGGAGATGCTGGAGGGTAACTTTGATATAGGTACGCTGAAAGTCACCAGAGAGGGAACATGTGCAGGCTACACATGGAGGGTGGAATGGCTGTCCAAAGGTGGTAGCCAACCACTCTTACAGGTTAGTATAGTAGAACAGTGCTATACTGAACACTGCTATAAAGAACATTTGGCTATAACGAACATCACCCTTTTGGCTCCCAAATTGTATGTACAGATATACTAAACATTTCTGAATTTTTCGGATTTTCTGAATTTTGCAGAGCCCAATTTCATGGCTCCGCTCACATTTTGCACTTATGATGACATTCTGTGCTAACAGCATGCACTAGCAAAAGAAGTTCTGCTTATACCCTCTAAGCACCGAATCATTAGATACGGGATGTGCGCATGTGGCTAATGCAAAATTCCTCGCTAAGCCATGGAGTATGCTAACCGGGTGACGCCTAAACATGCTAATCCCTCGTGTCTTTTGTACACACACAAACTCAGTGAGGTCTGTGGAGGCGGACTGTGTCTTGAATTGGCCGTTGTGCACGGCCTATTGTTGTGCAATTTACGCACCAGTGAACACCCCGAGTATTGGCAAGAAATATCTTACAAATACTGTAGAAATTACTCTCGCAAATCAGTATTTGTGGCGTTTGGCTGTATATCAGAAGTTGGCTGGAAAATTGCCTTTTGCGAAAATCGAAATTTTTGGAGCAAAGTTGTAGACCTCTAAGGAGAGTAACCACTTTCAGTTCTACTCATATGTTTTTGAGGGAGGTGGTGGGTTTTACATTTGCCTCTAACCCCCTCCAGCTTCTGGCATTGTAGGAGATGAATTCCATCGAAAGAGGTTTGCCTGAAATGCTTCACGAATGACCTTCTTTTATTTCTTCGTTTTGATAGGTGAACGGTGATGGCCTAAGCGGCAACAATGTAAGCATCTCTAGCTTTAGGTCCGTGGAGGGCCAGCTGCTCATGGGGCCCATCCCTGGCGAGTTCCTCAGGCTGCCCTTTGAAAAACCTCAGGTGAGTCGTAAAGCCAATAAAGCAATCAAATGGTGGCAATCAAACAGGAGGTGGTGTCCGGAAATTGGGCACAAAGTGTATTGTACATACAATATGTTTAACTGCGGCGCAGCCTAGATTTCAGATACAGATTTTTGTTTGGCCTTTTTTCCAAGTTTTTCCCCAAAGGCTAGTTGCATCTTCGCATATACCGGGTGAGTAAAAAAAAGCGGAACCCAAACCCCCAAAATTATATCTCATATTTTAAAAAAATATGTAGCACTAAACAAAATAATGACTGGAAAGCCAATTTCATAAGCTACTTTTAGATGAAAAAAATACTTAAAATTGCTCAATAACACTCTAAAACCTCTTTCATCCAAAAATGCAATTTCAAGAATCGTCATCACAATTGTCTTCAACAGCACTAGCGATAAAACCTCAGTTTAAAAGTTAAAAGTATTCAACAAAGTCCTTTTGAAGGCCCGTCTTTAAAAAAAAGTGGATTTTATAAATCATATTGTTTGCCTAACCAGGGTTGTTTATAAAAGTGTTGTGTTCTACAGTTGTTAATAGTTGTTGAAACAAGTATTCTTTGTCTTTGTTGTTCCAAATAGGCAGAATACACAATAAACGCCTTTTTTTAACGAAACAGGTTTTAGGGTCACTACGTTTAAATGGTGATATTCTTTGAACAGATTGAGCAATTGCAATAATTTTTTCATCAGAAAGTAGTTTATGAAATTGACTTTCCAGTCATTATTATTTTGGTGCTACTATTTTTTTAAATATGAAATATATTTTGGGGGTTTGGGTTTCATTTTTTTTTTACTCATCCTTATTTGTTGCAGAATCTGAAGGTTTAAAATGTAATCCGTTACAATGGTAAATTGTCATAGGATTATAAATGCTTGGCTGCTTGAGTTAACCAGTCTTATCGACTCAATCTGTGTTAAAGGGAAAATATAACATTTGCAAACATCAAAAAAATAAAACTACCAAATCATTTTGAAATACCTTGCTGGACTGTTAGTGAATGACAGTGTAAAGCATCCTGTAAAATCATGGCACTTGGTATACTGTCATTTTCAAGAAAAGTGGTATTTTTGTATCAATTTCCAACGCTGGTCGGCCGACCAGCGTTGGAAAAAACTGGCTTTTTTTCAAATACTGGCCCCAATTGACCATCGCACTTGTTTGCAATCGATTACACACCACACCTATGAACGGGTACAAGCCAGCTAGACTGGTTCCCTGACCTTACAATTCTGCAATGTATGTAAACTGCTCTGTTTCTTCTTATATGGAGTCAGGGAACCAGACTATACAGGAAAATGATTGTTTTTCTTGGTTTTTATAGCATTTTCGAACCCAAAACCTCAAAAAAGTCAGGGTAACTATATTTGCTATATATTTCCAACCCCCCCAATTCCATCCATTTCTGAAAATTACAGCAAAAGCAAATGATGTATATTCCCTTTAATTTGTTCACCAACAGGTAGAGGTTATTGTCAACACAATCCCTTCCAGCTGTTCCGGCGGACAGTGCACATTTGAGTTCAGCGAAGCCTCCACACCAACGGTCCAAACCTCCTCACCGGCATCAGGTAAGCAGCAACTTAGAATGAGGAACATTAGTTGACCATTGGTTGATTCATGACCAATGTTGTCTTTGGACTCTGAACAGGAGCGTAAATCCCAGGGGGATGGGGGTATATAGCCCCCACTTTTTGTTGACCAAGGAGGGATGGGCTATTGAATCATCCCCCCCCCCCCTTTTTTTGTGATGAGAAAAAAAATGCGGATTTCGAGGTAATTTTCAAGCATCCCAACAACCAAACTGTATTCAATAGCACTGAAAAGTGGAGAAACAAAGAACAAAAACTTTTAAAATGCGCCGTTTTGATGTAAGCGCGAGCAGACATTTTGATATACTTCTATATCCTGAAGAGCTCCCCTAGTGTAATGTGTCCAGCCCCCCCCCCCCTTTTTTTCGAACGGCTGGGCAATTTTTTGATTTTGGTTATCCCCCTTCCCCCCCCCCCCCCCCCCCACTCACCGGCACAGATTTACGCCACTGCATATTTGACTCTGAATATTAAAGTGAAAACATATATCAAATCAAACGATTTTCAAATTTCACCATAACTGGCTGGCTGCCGTTCAATGTAATGTGCACAGTTATTGATTATCAGCATTGAGCAATTTCAGCCGAGGGCCTTTGGTCGACTAGTGGTTGGTTCGTGACGTAACTTACACCTGCACACTAATAACAATGACTGAATGCCTCCGGTCGAATGATAGTCAAAACGTCATCACGAAACCTCTTGATCGTGGCTCCAAGTTGTGCTTTATGATGCCTGCAGCTATTGTAACCAGGGGTGGAACCGTGCCCTGTGGTCGGGTTCTAAATAGTTGACTAGTCCAATCATCCATGGTTCGATCGAAGTTAATAGTCGAACTAATGTTAACTGTAGTTCATACCCAAATTGCTCAATGCTGTTGAATGAAGAATGCTGGTCCCAACAGTCAACTACAGTATGTCCCAAAAAAATTTCCGTCTGACTGTTTTTAAGATAACTACAAAACCGTGAGGTCAATTTTGAAATTTGTTGGTTGTGTAGATACTCCTAAGCCTTGGCCTCCACCCCTATGAGTTTCATTTAATTTCAGTCAAGCATCACTGCACAATTGTCAATTGATCTCAACAACATTTTTGGACACTGACCAAGTTCTATCCCTTAATCAATCTACGAATGGGTGCATGCTAGCATTGACACGATGCACACGCATGCGGTTGCTATTATTCATCAGTTCAGTGCGTGACATCGCTTCGCTGCAATCGGCTGTATGAGAACAAGAATTGCAACCGAAATCCTTGAATGCTGTTTTCTCAAAATATACAGCATTCACAGAGCTATTACCTTCATCAGGTCAGTTGTTCAGCACCCGTCGTTAGATTGTGAGCATTTTTGTTGCTTCAACCAAAAAAATGCAGCGATGACAATTGATCTACCCTACCTTCAGTGCGAAGGATCTATCGTGTGAGTGATGCTCTGTGTTTTACCCTTCCAAGGTACTGATGGCACCGCTCTGATTTTGACTGGTTCTGGGTTCAGCACCACGCAAGAGCTGAACGTTGTGACCATCGGTGGAGTCGGCTGTGATGTCACATCCGCTAGTGACACGTCAATATCCTGCAGTGTGGGCCAGGCAGCCGCTGGAACCCACGAGGTCAGATTGGAGGTCACAGGAGAAGGGCTGGCTAGCTATCCAAATGGTGAGTGCAGAAAAAAAGAGAAAACATTGGATTTTTTGCGATCTCACTTTAGTCTTCATACTTGAATGAATCTTTGTCATGGTAGTTCGGATTTGTAATGAGCCACTGAATTTTGTGACTCGAGTCGAGTCGATTCATTTTAAAGCTATAGTCCATCATTTTGCAGCCATCCGAAAAGTAACTGGCGTAATTATTGTTGAAAAACAAACTTGGTTGAAAGATAGTAAAGGAACTAAACTCCCTGTGAAATTATACTTTCTGGGAAGCTGTCATTTTGAAGTAATCAACAAAAGAAGGCCTTTCCAACGGTGCGTCTTATAACGCACCGTAGGAAAATTTAAATTAGTAGTCCGTTTTGTTATTCGGCGAAAGCGCGCGCAAGCATTGGCACGACGCACACACGCGCGCACGGTTGCTATAATTTGTCGGATCAGTGCGCGACGTCGCGTATAGCTGCAATTCAAAACAATTCAAAACATGATTCAGTAACTTTTGATTTGAAGTTGAGATCCTAGAATACTCTTTTTCTCAGAATACACAGCTGAAGCTTAGCTGAAACTTCATCAGGTTAGTTGTTCAGTATCCTTCATTAGAGTTTGAACACTTTTGTTGCTTCAAACGAACAAAATGCACAAATTACAAATGATGGACTATATCTTTAAGGAAGTGACTCGCGTCGAGACATTAGTAAAGTTTCATTTGTAAAGTCAGTGCTAACCGAAGAATGTAATCAGTTTTGATATCATGTGGAAACATTTTTACTTAAAGTTAATATACAACATTCCCCCCAAAAAACTAGCGAATTATTATGAAATACCTTACTTGACTTTAAAAAAGAATAGTAGTCTCAAGCATCCTGTGAAATCACAGCACATGGTGTGCTGTTCTTTTCAAGAAAAGTTGATTTTTTTTGGATCAATTTCCAACAATAGCCATCCAACCAATGTTAGGAAAAAAACAGACTGTTTTTTAGATACTGCCTGCACTTTACCTAACTTAGTTTGGCCCACATTGTGTTTGCAATCGGTTACACATCCGTGAATGGGTGCAAGCCAGCAAGGCAGGTTGCCTGTCCTGACTATTCCCAACATCTATAAATTGCTCTGTTTCGTCTGAAGAAGTGTCAGGGAACCAGACTTCAAGAACATCTTTTTTTGTTGGTTTTTCCAGCATCTACGAACACCAAACTTTAAACAGGACTTTGTAACAGTATTTGCTCCGAAATACAAACTCCCAAATCCACCCATTTCTGAAAATCACAGCAAAAACAAATGTTTTATATTACCTTTAAAATGTTTTTGAGTATTCCTTCATAAGCTCAAAGCCGCTTACATTAATTGTTAAATATTTCTGCCATGTTTTTAGGGCCCCTGTCATTCCAGTTTGAACTTGATGTTACTGGCATCAATCCAAGCTCCGGAAGCCTTGCTGGTAAGTCATTGTTTTAATTGGCTGGTACTATCCCTCATACATATTAATAAGTCTGTGTCATTCTTTCATTGGTCGATTCATCAGCTTCTAATAGTTTCTGTGTGCTTCCAAACGAAAGCCATCTTTAAAACAATTTTTATAATAGTGTTTTGTTTCTTGTGGGGAAATGTTTTTACAAACTTGTCTTTGAACAATTGTTATCAATTTCTCACATTTTTGGAGATGTATTCGTTATACATGTAGTCCACTTGTGATTGTATTAATCGTGCTAAATACAATTTTAGCAAATGTTAAAAATAGTTATATAAAATACATTGATTTCTTTGGCACGGTTTGAAGAATAATCCATTTTTTTTAAATTCAATTTTAGGTTATGTTGGAATGTGTTCTATTTGAATTATTTTGTTTTGCTCACATTGTATAGCAATTTATTAATTTAACCCTCCTGCTATCTGAACAGTCACAAACAGTCCAAAAAAAACAATCCTCTTCCTCGGCCATACCTTTTTACACAAGCTAAGTACCAACAGTTGGATCATATTTCAAGCAAGCAATGTGACTCGTAAAATTTAGTCAACAGACAAAAACAGGCAAGTGGTAGCCACAGTTCGCTTATCACTCACCTACAGTCAACGCATAGCTGTATAAACAGTCACGGCCAGTCAATCCTGCTTTGTGTAGGCTGGGCGCTCTTAATTGTTGAAAACAGTCACTTAAATTGATTTGACCGAAAGGACAACTTGGCACAGAATGTATGTTTGCATGGGAGGGTTAAAAACAAGCTAAATGTTACCATGGTTTCTTTATATTGTTTGTTGACATTACTTATGGATTTCTGTGTAACAGTGAGAACATTTCAGTAAGATATTTTGACAAGTAGAAATTATTTAAATTTGTGGTTTTTTTCCCCTTTTTTTCAAGGCGGAACATCAGTTACAATTACAGGTAGTGGTTTCGGCAAGGAAAAAGATAATGTCACTGTTTCTGTCGGAGATCAGACATGCAACATCGAGTCTGTGATTTACAGTGAAATACAGTGTGTCATTGCATTGAATACGGAGGTAAGAACAGCTAAAGTATCAAAAAAGAATGCTTTTTCTGCAGTGATAGTTTGATATACTTTTTTAAATTTCTATGAAACATTACCCTCTCATAAATGAAATGTTAACGTAACTCCTCACCAACAGATTGTTTCTGTCATTTGGCGAAAAGCATGTTATACAAATATTGACTGCTTCAAGTGGTGTAGTAAAACTTGCTACCAGAGGTGATCCATGAAGCATTCTATTTTTCCGTAGACAAAGCCAAGGGATAATAGAATGCTCCATGGATCACCGAGGGAATCTTGTTTTACTATACCATGAATTAAAGCAGTCGGTATTTGACTCCCACAGATTTTGCTTGATTTTAAGAGATAACTGATTAATTTAATCAAAATACAATTAAAAGTTCTATTTCAATACGAAACTAGTTGAAACTTGGAAGGCTAGTTTTACTACACAACACAAAGCAGTCAATATTTGGATACATTGTCATTGATATCAGACCATTGATAATGCTATTTTCTAGCCCTAGCCTGCCCGCGAATCTTTTTTTTTCCCAAACGACAACCGCTTTCCATCTTCGGATTGATCCATTACATGCATATCTAATGCCTTGTTCTCCACAACACAAACCCAAGATAGGCTTTACGCCTTGTGAGAAATGTTCCTTCATCACTTTACTTATTTAAAAAGGTAAAATAAGAAGAAATGAAAAAACCACTCACTGAGATTCGAACTCGGATCACCTGATTAGAAGTCAGGACTTCTTCCAACCAATCCACGAATCAGCTGCCAATCGTCGGTGATTTAAACACTATTATTCCTTGTTACATGTATATAACTTATTCTCTCAATTTCCCAGCTGGACATCATGAATATGCATAACAGAGAGAGCGCCCTCTTTTGATATTGTCTGATCTCGTTTGGGAAAGGAAATTTCGCAGCCTGCCCCATCTCATGTAATCATGAATTGTTTTCTTTGCTTGATTTTAATTTGTTTTCTAGGCACCAGCCTCTTCTACACCTGCAGACGTGACTGTGACTGTGAATGGACAATCCAAGGCTCTATCAAATGCTTTCACTTTCAACCCAGCAAACACACCAATAATTACTGACATAGAACCCAAGAAATCTCCTGTAGAAGGTAAAGTTCTTTTCCCAGTATTACAGTTATCAACTATATAACTTTCACGAAAAGTTAGTTACAAATCTGAACAATGTCTGTAATTTTTGTCTTTAAACTGAAATGATTTATGGAAGCCTCGTAAGGAATAGTCGTTTTTTAATTACAAAACAACCATTTTTAACTTGGGGCAAGTTTGCGCAAGAACTATTGTTGACCAATGGTTAACCGAAGTTCGACTAAAGCTAGCCGGAACTCTGTCTGGTGGACGATTGTTGACAAAGCTAGTCGACGATTGTTGACTACGCTAGTCGACTATTTGGAACCAGTCTACTGCAGCTGGTGGCGCAACGATTTATAGCTGGTTATCAATAGCAATTTCCATAGCACAGTGCAGAGGGGACCAATTGTCAACAAAAATGGTGGAAAACGAAATTGTGAGCGCTAAATTTCATTTTCATTGCACAGTTTTTCCATGTTAGTTTACGATTATGTCACTTTTGTCACCATTGTACAATATTATTGGGATTACGTAAGATGTCCTTAACTATACACAATTACTACTATTGTGTAAATAAAGAGAAACAACAAGTGTTGAATAATTGTGCGACAGCCATTTTCTGACTGTCGTTGACATGAAAATAGTTCGACTAGAGTCGTTTGCACTTCAACTTCAGTGCGCATGTGCTAGGTACATCACGAACCAACCACTAGTTAACCACTGGTCCTTGCTCGAACTTGCCCTTAAATGTAGCATATCAAGAAAACCTGTAGAAACTGAGGAACCTATAGATGAAATTTCAAATTTGCACTGGAACCGAAGGCCTCAGTGCTGTTTTTTGTTGCGAGGATTAAAAAAAAGGTCCTCAATTTATACAGTGGCTTAGCACTCAGAGCCTTGGTTTCAATGCTAATTTGAAATTCCTCTACGGGCAATTTCTAATCCATCATTTGTATTTTGCCCCCAGGCGGTGGTGAGCTGACTATTACAGGCACTGGGTTTGGTGCTTCTGGAGCAACGGTCTCAATCGGTGGAGAAAACTGTGACGTAACAAGTCAAAGTGCGACGGAAATCAAGTGCACATTATCCGAGCACGGCCCTGGCACTTTCAGCGTTGAGCTCACTGTGAATAACCAGGGGTTTGCCAATACAAAGTAAGATGTCGGGAAGTGTTTCATAAAAAACTGATAATTTTTGGACCAGAACAGAAAAACCTGTAGCAGCCACCAACAGAGAGCATTTTGAATCTCACATTTTTTAATTAAATAACTGAAACTTTAAATTATTCTTTAGATGAAATTTTGCGTAGGGGTACCCAATGCTATGTACATCAGATTTGAACCAGTCAATCGATCCTGCAAGCTCAGTGGTCGAGTGGTAAGACATCTGCACTAGAAAGCAGGAGGTCTTGGGTTCGAGTCCCACCCAAGTGATTTTTTCCAACTTTCACTCGGGAGGTAACACACTGAGTATACAATGTTTACACATCGGTGAAGAGCGAAACTTAATATTGATTTGAAAATTCAAAGTTGCTGTACCCGTGCTCTTCACCATTCAGTATTTTTTCTGGACATGTTTTCAGTTTGCGTGTTTTGTTTAAACGGATAAAAAGTATGTTGTCGTCCCTCTGAAAATATGTTTTTATTTCTGTTTGCTCTTGGACCCAAAATGCACAAAGAGATGATGCTTGAATTGTTTAGCAAATAATTTGAAAGTTGTAAAGTAATTATTTCAATACAAAACATGGGCAAATTGTTTTGTTCCATGTTTCTTTAAAAAGTAAATAACTTTTGTATTGCCAGAAAATTTAAGAACAAAATCTATTTTTTGGTTTGAAATGCAAAAAAAACCCCAAAACACCACTGGAAGAGCAAGCGTACAGTACCAAAAGTGTAGAGTTTCTAAAACAGATTGGAAGTTCAACTTCTTTGTATTTGGCCCTTGATGATTGGCCAAATTGGCCGAATGGCTATAACTGAAAAGCCCGTAGTGACAATAGATAACAGGCTTTTTAAATCTCATCGTGTCCATGTTATGTCAAAATATAACAATGCCTAGCTTCAAAAGAAGGAACATTCAAAATGATGTGCAGTTGCTTTTATCAGTTTTTGAAATTCATAATGCAACTTTTTGATATGATCGTTCAACCTGAGTATTTTATCTGAGCAATTTTGAGAATCATGTGCATTTTCAAATTTCCACTACTTGTAAAGTCTTTGTGAAAGACTAAATAACACACCTTCATAATAATCAACTGTTATTCTTTCTTGTTTTGCTGTATTCAATTTGCAATGTTCCTTCTTTAGTCCGGTTCATTCTTTGCGTGAAGTAAAGATGAAGCAAATTGGACATCACAAAACATGTGCTGTGAAACATCCCTGGAGTTGAAATGTGTTGAGCTTTTGCGAATGTGTAGCGCGAAAACTTGCCACAGACACAAATTTGCATTCAATTTCTCTTTCGCGATGAATGTGAACCGGCCTTTACTCTCGTTAGTCTGGTTCCTTAAACAGCGGGATAACTTTCCAGTATGAGTTGGAGGTGGCCGGTTTGTTCCCAGACCATGGCTCCCTGCAAGGAGCAACAGAGGTAACCATCACGGGTTCGGGTTTTGGCACCAACGCCAGCGACGTCGCCGTCATTCTCGGCGATTTGGAATGCGAGATTAAGACTGTCAGCGACGACTCTATTCTCTGCACCTCCGCGAGCTCAGAGAAGACGTACAGAGTGGACAACAACGGGAAGCACGATTGTAAGTTTGTAATACATTGTATGTGCATCGAGCTACAGCACAAGTAGTGAGCTGTGTTGTAGTCAAGGCCATCACAAATCCAGTCATATGTAAGTCACAATCCTGTGACAAGTCCTGGTATTGGTCATTGGGAATGACCAATAATGTCTTTGTCATGGCATATTTGAGAAGCTTGTCACTTGACTTGTCACAAGACTGGATGACTTTGGACGGACTTGTTAGGACTTGTGATGGACTCGACTAAAACACTGACAGTCAGCAAGGTTAACCAAGCAGTATTGGTTAACTAATGGCTCCTAAATACCTGAGACAGTTTACATTCCTATTGGTCCAGAGCTTGTCACATGGGTGGTTTTAAACCACTGTTTAAAAACCTCCGAGTAATATTGAAAATGGGCAGTAAAGGTGGTCCATGAATCAGGACAAATTTCTTTTTTGTTGAAGAAATTAAGACTATAATTTCTGCAGCTGCTGCTTTGCACACGCTACATAAAGGCACAAACAAACTCACAGGCGGCTGGTCTCGCTGGCCAAATACACCACATTGCCCATAGCACTTGTGCAGGATCCCTTTAAATTTGCTCCAAACTCCACTTTTAAGGCCTTTTCACACTATCTCCGTTTCGAACCGTGTTGAAACCAATCCGGATCCAACCCGGTTCAGCCAGAGTTGTTTTCGACACGGATCGGAGAGACGCAACGTTCACACTGTTCTTTACGGGAACCGGAAACCAGTTCCAACCCGGAGATTTTGGACAGTGTGAAAAGGCCTTTAGACATATTGCCGAACTTTATTTACCTTGCAAAGTTGGTAAGAGTAGGCCCTAGGTGTGTACATGAACGTGAACATGTGACACTACTCCCAATACCATACTACTCACAAAATGGCTACGCACTTTGTTGGTTTAACGTACATCATCCCCCAAAAAAGAAAGACATGAAAAGACATTGTTCTCTCAACCGTGGAAAATCCTCAAATCACATTGTTTTTTCTTGCCAAACAGCATACGGCTTGGGCTACAAATGGAATCCCCAGATACTGACAATCACAGCCGGTGATGTGGTGGTTTGGCAGTGGGCCACCCCGGGCTTTGTGACTGGGGTTGGCTACTCTGTCCACCAGACAGCTGACGGCGACTCCGTGTCATACGATGGGAAGGGATTCTACAGTGGCACTACAACTCCTGAAGGTACATTTCAATTCTCGGTGGTAATACGGTACATTTTTACTGGACGAGGGGGTGGTTGGAGTGAATAGCTGCCCCTTTCCGCCCCCTCCTCCCCGACTGACCAATATATTATTGATTATTTACATAATGAAAGAATCTCAATTTCTGTTAAGGTTCCCTGAAAAACATCATCCTTCAATATTGCAAATCTGGATTTATTGCCTCTGGCCTGTGGTCTTTTTATTCATTCAATGTTTTATCCTCTGCTTCCCCCCCCCCCCCCCCCAGCTACCTCGCGAAAAAAACTTGACTTAACACCCCAGCTACGTTAAACCCCATGGAAATGCGTGTATCCACCACTGCTGGATATCATTGGTTTATCAATGGATTTGTTTATTGCACCGAAAAAAGTATTGAACAAGAAAATAGAAGCCATTGAAATGAAACTTTGGGTTGGATTGTAAGATGTAGGCCACATCTGTGTTTTTTCTTTCATATCTGTGGAATCAAGAAATCAAACCATGCTATTTATTCAAAGGGTCCTTTTGGCATGTAAAAAATCAGTTTGCACCTTAGCAGAGTTGTAATCGAGTAGGGATTGAGGTCTCACAAGTCCTCACAAGTCCCCACTGGTCTTTAATAATCCTCACAGGGCCTCACTTCTCACTTTTCCTCACTAATCCTCACAAGTCTTCGAAAGTTCTCACAAGTCCTCACTTTTCCTCATTAGTCCTCACAACTCCTCACAAGTCGTCACAAGTTCTCACTAGTCCTCACTTGAGTCCTCACAAGTCCTCACTATAGTCCGCAAAAGCCCTCACAAGTCAATCACAAGTCAATAACGGGTCCTTCAATCTCTAGTCAAGTCATTGCTCTTCAAATGAAACGTATCCAATGCATTCATTTGTCACTGATTTGACTTGTGCTTCAGGGGCGAGTCTAGCTTCCAGGAAACGGTGGGGGGATTGATATGAAGGGGTTGGGGGCTAGGGGGGTCAGGGGGCCTGCCCGCGTCCAGAAAATGTTGAAATCTACAATGCTTTCTCTTTCATTCTAATGCAATTTGAAACAAATGGAGTATTTGTGGCCCCATTTTACTAGTATCATAAAATTAGTCACTGGCTGAACAGGGTTGCAACCCATACCATGCATTATCCTGATCACCTTTCTTTAACCATCTAACCTAAATGATTCTCAAAATCATAAAAATTTCTGAAATGTGTACGCACACCACCAGAGTGAAGTCAGGATATTACATTCTATCCAACTTGACTACAACCCTGCTCCTTAGTATTGAAAGCATGTCATTCCAACAGGTACGTTCGCTTATCGGTTCTCTACTCCCGGCACCTACTACTACTCGAGTGGAGAAGTATCTGCAAACAGCCAGCTGTACATGAAGGGAACCATCATAGTGAAAGAGCCGACATCGACCTCGCATAAACTAACTGTTGAAGTGTCTGGATACAAAGCACAGCATAACACTGGATCAGGTACGAAATGTTTCGTGTCACCAAATAACCCCAAAAATCACCCGTAATTCCCTTTGCGCGACCTGAAATGGATATTTTGAATTGAAGTGTGTTTAGCATTGTGCATTACCGGTTACGTGTCCATGTGAATTCTTAAAATCCATGTGTGCATGTTTCTTTAAACATTTAAAGCTAGGGAGGGCCCCCCGTGCTTTTGGGTGTGGCACCCTGAACAAAATTACAAATTAATTGACTGTTTGTTAGCATTACAAAAGTTATGAACTTTCCAATGAGACATTGAACAAAACAATTACAATTTGAATTGACCGTTTGTTAGTATTACAAAAGTTATGAACTTTCCAATGAGACATTGAATAAAACAATCGGTCCACGCTAAGTTACAAATTGTTTCAATTCAAGTCTGCTTAGACTTGACTCAAGTCAGACTTGTTGATATCCACAACACACACTGCCATCACAACTCAGTCCTGAATTCCATCATTAATGTCCTGTCCGAAGTGCAACGTGTGCCATATTAAATTCGCTTACATGTACACAGGCCGTCGCCAGCCCTGAGCGTCAGGGGGGCCAAAGTACCAACTAGGGGGCCCACTACCTTAAAAATTCAAAATACACATGTTTGGCTTTTGCCGTTGGGGGCCAATTGCTCGCCAAGGGGGGCCCGGTCCCACCAGGTCCCCCCCCCCCACAACTACTTCAGTGTGTGTACACAAGCACAATTTTTGACTTGGGCCTAGTCTAAATTCTGCTTGAACGTGAAACAAGAGCAACATACAAAGCTCTTTTTTAAAGGAATCATTGTTTCTGAATGCTAAACAACCAATTTATTCGTTGAAGGACACAATATTTATAGAAAACTACATTGAAAGTTTTAAAACTCATGGGGACACTAACGGAAAAAAACATGGTGGATTTTCAGCCTTTAATATTGGAATGAAAAAAAAAAATTCCGCTGCGGAGAATGCTAACATGACGGTAACTTACTGGCCAACATAATAGCATTTACTTCATTAGATTGCCGTGTTTAATATTTTTTTATTGACAACTTGAAAGGCGTGACTGCTCCAGTGAGTCCAGATGCCTGCCCTGGCGGCGACACTACGATTTCAGAATGCGACACTCCTATGTCTGCTGGTGACGATGCCAACAGCTTCTACTTTGCTTACTGGATCTGCAGCACCCCAGTTATCACCAAAGTCACTCCAAACCAGTAAGCACATTGCATTGGAAATCGCTCAAGCGGCACTCTGCAATGGGTCTTTCCATTAACTGTGTGAATTACATTGGAACAAGTGAAAAACACATTGCCATTTATAATCTGTTGTATCTCTAATTTGCATGCATGGATTTTCGTCAAATTTTTGCTGTGATTATACAAACAATACACTCCAAATAATATACTCCATCAACATGAAATGCTCATGTTGGATACTTCTTGAGAAATTGCACAATTGCTTGCACAATTTTTTTTTGGGGGGGGGGTCACCCCACACATGCTCTAATAAATCTGATGATTTATGTGATTATATTTTTATGTATTTCTACGCATGACATTCAACTATAACATTCAACTTAACTTGTAACTTATTTTCTGAAAATGCTGACCAGCTTAGGCCCAAAAAAAAGAGTGTCCGGTTTCTGGTATGGAGCTTGCCCAAAAAGTGGTGCGGCGACGCGGCTTTTTTTTTTACCGTTGTTTTTCTTCAAATGTTGTTTTTCTTCAAATGTCGGCTGATGACTGCAAATGGTGCCCAACTAAACTTATTGCAAATAATATGGCAGTCCAGAGAGGCCACATAAAGCTTATTCTCGATCATAACCCCATCTAAAAACACGTTAAAATTGTGCAGCAGCAGGATTCCAGTCAAACCAGTGAGTTTGGCGGTTTTGAGACATCATCTTTTATTGAAAAAAAAACTTTTTCATTTTGCCGATGCGCATGGCTACGGCAACGCACCGGAGACTTTTTTTTTTGGCCTTTTGAAACTTGTGCAGAAAGTAGAGTTTACAGTAATACAGTAAAATAAATCTGAAAACACAGATACTTGGTTTTGTAGTTTTGAATTGCCATTTCTGCATAAAGTGGAGAGTTGTAGGGAGACTACCAATATGAAATGCATGATGAATCAAGATTTTCTTTTTTTTCTTTTTTTTTTAACAGAGGTGATTCCAGCGCAAATGTTACAATTCAAGGGACTGGATTCAGCACAGTGAAATGTGAGAATGAGATTTTTGTTGGCGATTTCTCCTGCGACGTGCAGTCCAGTACAGATACCGAACTCACATGTCTGATAGATCCAGCGGGTAGCATGTCAGTCGGGGAGCCGCGCTTGGTATCAGTCGTCGTCAAGAATCGTGGGCAGGCTCTGAATCAGATCGGGTCGACGGCCGAGCAGGGATTCACACTCAAGCCGCGCATTGATGATTTGTCGCAGCACGCGGGGTCACTCAGTGGGGGCACAAAGGTCATCATTACCGGGAGCGGCTTCGCGGCAGACTCGACTAACGCTGTGTCGGTACGCATCGGCGACCGAGGATGCGTGGTCCAGTCTGTGACGTATACAGAGATAGTGTGCGTCACCAGCAGCACCGGCGCGCGAAGAGATCGCAGAGCTGCGGGATCATCAGATGTGACGCTTGAGATCAATTCGGAGCAGGCCGTCTGTAACAGCGACTGCAGTTTCGACTTTGCGAGCAGTCAGACCCCACAGGTGGACAGCTTTTCCCCAAAAACTCTCTCTGGAGGAAGTACCCCAGTCACCATCACCGGTTCCCAGTTCGACAGCGACCTATCCTCTGTTAACGTCACTATTGGCGGTGTGGAGTGTGCCATCAGTAGTACCACCGAGACAACGATCCAATGTGACGTCGGCTACGTCCCAGCTGGAGCTCAAGAGATGGTAGTGAACATTGCAGGGAGTGGCAATGCCAATTTCAACGTGGACAACACCGTGACAAGTTCCAGAATCATTGACAATGTCCTGCCGTCTGCCGGAAGCACGGCAGGTGGACAAGTTGTAACAATTTCAGGAAACGGCTTTGTCAATGGGGACACGGTCGTTAAAATTGACGGACAGGTGTGCAATATTCAGAGCGTAAGCCTCAGTGAGGTCAAGTGTAAGACACCATCGCATGATGCCGGTACAGTCGATCTGGTGGTGACCTCTAACGGCGGAGACTATCCAGCCCGGGATTATGAATATTCATCCGCTTCTACACCAACAGTCACAACAGTGACCCCACCCAAAGGTCAGTTCTTACTATTTCACTTAACAGAGAATGAAGCATTTAATGATTTGGTTAGTCCACATTTGTAAGTTTTATCATTTTTTTGACACATGAAGAAGGTAAAAAGTTGTTAACTGAGATATTTTATCTGGCCTATGGTCACAAGTAATGGAACTCCTCACTCAGTTATAAAGCTAGAGTGACAGTGTTGGAGAGACACTGATGAACACATTATGGCTGTATGCATTTGTACGCATTCAGAATAACATCCTATATTTAAAGATCCTATGCTGTCTGTCTGTCTGTCTAATGTCTGTCTGTCTGTCTGTCGGTCTGGCTGTCTGTCTGATGTCTGTGTGTCACGTTTTTGTGATAAAGGCCTTAAGGAGTACACGTAGACACAAAATGCAAGGAAATGCAAGGGTTTATAGTGAGGCTTGGTTAAATGCAATTGCTCCATGGTTGTTAAATGCTCTGAAATGTTGGCTAACATTTTATGTGTGTTAGAAACAGAATGCAGTTACGAGATCAAAGAAATTAGCCTAATCCCTTTTTCTCAAAATGACAAGACTTTCAACTCTATACCAGGTTCAAGTGGCAGTCAGATCACGCTCGGCGGTTCCGGATTCGGTACAAGCGTCTCCGAAGTCAGTGTTACACTGGACGGCACCAGCTGCAGTATCGACTCAGTGCCTGACGGTAATTCCATCGTTTGCACATTGGGCCAACACTCAGCTGGCACGTACCCCGTTGTGCTGCACGTACAGGGCAAGGGATTGGCAGCTGGCGATACCCAGTTTGAGTTTGAACTGAAAGTGGACTCGGTTGATCCAAATGAGGGTGAGTTCACATCATGCCAACATCCTTCTCTTATTCCTCAACTAATACCTCTGGCTATCATTTCTTGGCAAGTGAGACCTCCTCAGTTATTTTCCTTTTGCTTTTATAGATTGTGCAACCCTGTAATTTCATTGGTCTAGAACGGTCATGGTCCAGTTCTAAATGACTGTTTGCTTCATATACACTACCTTGCTTAAATACATTGCCTCATATGCACTGCGTTGCATATAAATGATCTCATATACACTGCGTTGCATTTATATTGCGGGCGCAAAGGATGCATGTGTAGGGCCCACAGGCCTCGCAGCAGAGAAGTGCAACTAGTCTCAATTAACTAGTGATTTAATTTATTTCTTGAAAAGTGAGTTAAAAACCTTTTATCTTTTTGACTTATTGGAACGATATAACGAAACATTTGTTGGGTGCTGTGGTGTGGGATATGTCGTTTTAATCCACATGGGGCGTGAAGCCTCATATGTTTCAATACCCCAAGGTGTGCACTAGAGCGTAAATTGTAGAACAATAGGCAGTGTTCAGCGGCTAATTCAAGATCAACACACTGTCCACCTCCACAGACTTCACGGACTGTGTGTGTGTGTGTACAAAAGGCATGAGGGATTAGCATGTTTAGATGTCACCCAGAGGCGAGTCGAGGCAATCTTGACGTTTTAACTCGTCAGCCGTACCTGTGTATAAAAACAGCCAGTGCGTGTTATCACGTCCTCCGATGCGAACTGGTTAAAAACTTCATATCCCACATCACAGCAGTCAACAATTGTTAAATGTCGAGGCCTGACAAGTGATATCTATTTCATTTGAAGGGAGCTTCGGCGGTGGTCAGGTCATGACAATTCAAGGAACTGGATTTGATGACACTGCTGTAGTGACCATCTGTGACAATGTGTGCTCCAATGGCATTGTGAGCTCTTCAGAGATAACGTGTGAGGTACCATCAAATTCAGGTCAGTGTGGGACAGTGAGAATGTATCTTGATGTTGATTTGGTGACATCATCTTTTGTTTGAGAATCCTAATTGTATTTTATTGATTGTACATAAGCTATGTACAGTGTATCAGACGCCTTTAAAATCAACTTTGCGTAAGACAGATTTTGCACTAACAAACAATACTCACTATAGGAGGGGGGAAAATCACTGATTTTGTTTTTTGAATGAAACTTAATATTGTCGTTTCCTGTAACATAAAGAATAAAGGTGAAGTCAGATTTTTAATAGTCTATCCATAATATGTCATTTTGCCAAATTATCAAAAGAAAGTAGATTTTCTAGCCTCTCCGCTTAAAAAAAAATATCAATGACATAGTTTGAATTCTTTATCCCCTCTGAATAACGCATGAATAAGGGAATGTCTCAAAAGGCAGAACGTTCCTTTTCCGTATGGAACATTCCTTTCAGGAACACTGTGTGTTCTCTTTGGGAATGCGCCATGTTCCCAACTTGAACAGGCCGTTTTTGCGGCAATGTTCAATGAGGTAAATGCTAGTGCTGAAAATGAACAAGTGCTAAAGGGTTCTAAAAGTAATTGTTATCTTCACTTGCAGGAACTGACGACCAAGCCTGCGACGTCAAAGTCTCCCTGGCCAGTGGCGCTTCTGCCACCAAATCGGCCACCTTTACCTACAAGAAAGACCTGACGCCGGTCATAGACGCCATCAAGCCTGGCCGCGGTGGAACACAAGGAGGAACTAGATTGGTTATCACTGGATCGGGCTTTCAGTAAGACTTTGTGTACTCTGTTTAAAAACCGACTCTTTCAGGATTGTTCAATTTGACACGTCCACTAGTAATTTCAAAGAACCAAAGGTGCACTAATGCACTACTGACTCTGTGCAAGAGTACCCCCTCACTTGGTCATAAAGAGAGAGTCAGGTGGCACTTCAATACTTTACTGTCGTATGCCTGGCACTCGCAAGAAGATAATACTACTTGATTTATCGCCGTTTGTGAGTTAGCCACGCCCCTTTGACAACCCTATGGGATTTTTGTACGCTAAGTTTTGTTTGTCTCAGATGTTGCGCGTTCCGCATCCATTTGGATATCATGTAATTGGACAATATTTCACAAGCTGCGTTGACGCGATTCTAACGCGATTCTACTGCGATAGGTTTGTGCACATTCTGAAAAAAACTTACATGGATACTTTGCACCATACATGTGCAAGCCACTACAGAAGCAATGTGTCAATTTGACGGAGTTGTCATGAGTGGACACTTCATCACACCATCTGCTGTTCTTGAACAAAGTCCATTGCATAAGTTTTGCATCTGACTGTTTCACTGGAAGTTTTTTCCGTCTGCCCTTACAAGCAGATGGTCATGGGTTAGAATTCTGTTCAAGCAAGCTTGTGAGTTCTTGCTTTTTCTTCTAAGTTTTTATCCAGCTAAGCATGAACAATGCTTATAGTCCAGTTGTTGCGGTGTTTGACTCGTATGTACGATGGTAAGTGGGTTCGAACCCTGCCAGGAACATGGTGTTTGTGGCCTAGGGCAAGACACTTAACTACAATTGCCTCTCTCCACCCAGGAGTTTGAATGGTTGCTTGTGAGGGTAGAGGACCCAATGCGGGCTGATATCGGCTGCCACGTGATCTCGTGGCCTGATGAAAGGGGAATAATTGTAAAGCACTTTGAGATTGTTGATACGATGGAAAGCGCTATACAGGGTGGCACAAAATAAACGAAACGGCATACTTCCACTACCTTGAGACTCAAACAACCTAAACCAATGGATGGAGAATCTTTTTCGAAGAAATAAGATACCAAGATCTATTTTTTACCCGCTGCTATGTACATCAGATTCAAACCAGCCAACCGATCCCGTTAGCTCGGTGGTCGAGTGGTAAGACATCTGCACTAGAAAGCAGGAGGTCGTGGGTTCGAGTCCCACTCGAGTGATTTTTCCAACTTTTACTCGGGAGGTAACACACTGAGTATACAGTGTTTAAACGTCGGTGAAGGGCAAAACCTAATCTGATACCAAGATCTCCCGATTCGGTCCAGTAGTGTTTGCTGCAGAGCCTATTTTGTGAAGCACACATCTCTGATTTGGGTATCATGACATAACAATTAATCTCTTTATCCAGTTAAGTCGAATTCGTGGGCGCGGAGAAGTAATTGATAGGGGCAAAGTGACTCCCAACTTTGTTTCACAAAATAGAACAAAAACTACTGTAACAAATCTGGTGATTTTGGTATCATTTTTCTTTCAATAGAATTCCTTATACATTGGTATAGGTTGTCTCAGGGTAGCATAAGTACACCGTTCCAGTTTTTTGGGACACCCTGTAGAAGCACTACAATTTTATATATTTTTTTATAAAACTTATATTGGCTAAGGGCAAAGCCCAATATTAAAGTTAACTCCCTTTAAAGTTAGCTATAATTCTCAGTCAAAGTTAACCCAGGTGTCCCTGTACTGCCCAAAATGACCTGTCTGTTACTCCTTAAACCGCCCAAAACTGCCCCAGCTCTGTATTAAAATGTTTTGGCTCAAAGTTGATGTTAACTATCTTTGCAATTTTCCTACACGACGGCGTAAAGATTTTTTTTAATTGCCTTGTTAATCAGGTCTGGCAGCAATAAGGTGACAATCGGAGGCACTGAGTGTACCATCACAGCCGAAACGGCCACTCAGATCGACTGCACAACTGAAGCTCATGGACACTCAGAAATGACAAAAGTGAGAGTCGAGGTTGGCACCCAAGGAATTGCCACACAGGTGAGTTTTGAGTGTCAAACGTGAACAAGGATTTGGGAGGTTTTTGCTAGGTAGAGTTGGGGAGAGTGGTAGTAAACGATAGGTCGAAATGGGCCTCTTAAAATGTCAAGACCTGCTAATGAAGAAATTAATCCTAATTAGGCCAATTTCAGTAGAGCTGCTCGGCACGGAAATTTCAGTTTCTGAATTTCTCATAGCACATGAACATAAAGGTAATATACAACAATTGCAAACATCAAAAAACAAAACTACTAAATTATAATGAAATACCTTACTTGACTGTAAGTGAATAATAGTCTCAAGCATCCTGTGAAATCATCTGGTGTGCTGTCACTATTAGTGGAACATTTTTGTATCAATTTCCAATAATGGTTGGCAAAAATGGTCTTTAAGACTCATTCTGTGGGCTTCGGTCACATTTGTCTTCGCAGGAGAATGCCAACTTCTATTACATTGATGTGTGGTCGTCTCAATACACCTGGGGTGGCAAGGACCCGCCAATAGAGGGGGATTTGGTGCGGGTCCCAGTAGGCCAAACTTTGCTGCTGGATGTCACCACGCCTATCTTGTCCATGCTTCTCATTCAAGGTGGGTTGACAGCAGGGATGTAGTTGAGTCTGTAGTGAATTCTTTCTTTTGGTGTACAAATGGCCAAAGCATGCGGCCCGGTGGTTATTAATGAAGACGCGACTCCAGTACTAGCGTACAGAAGACTGCCCTATTCTCCACAACTCCTGGCGTGGAACGCGAATATAAAAGGGTTAGGCATGGGCCCCACCACACCTCACTCCGCCTACAACTGATTGCCCACGCAACCAGGCGTGACACACCCCTCTCATTACTCTTGGACAAAAACAACCAACCTACAGAACCATACCGAAGAGGTGGCGCACTTATGCGAACCTATCAACAGCAACTTCTGGACGACCTGAGGATGGTTGGTACGGACCTGACTCAACTACACCAAGCTCAACAGTAGAAACGAACAATTAATATGTTATTATGCAGCCACTAAGCAACGCCTGTGCGCTGCTCGCGCACAGACGTCACCATGATGATGATACACCAGAACAGTGCTATTTCTTCTAGCTTCTATTTTATACTTTACGGCTGCGTGGGCTCTGAAACAGGCTCGGTTGCGTTTGCCCCTCACAGCAGACGAGTCTACGTGTCCTTATAGTAATAATAGCACTCCACACTAACGACGTCAATTTTGCTCCACACCGTACGCGCCCATACCCCAGATGTCAGACAAACTTTCAAACAATCACACGCGCACATGCATGCACACCTGGGTGCATACATTCGCATAAAAATGGTACTGCAAGCGTGCGCGTAATCTTCACAAGTTCGTACGGCATGCTTGTCTGAGATCCGGGTACTTGCTTCTATTGTTAACATTAGTGCGGAGTGCTATTAGTATAGACTCAGCATCTGCAAGCAACTTTTCATTTGCTACTTATATTTTTAGTGAACCTCGGCAGTTGCAGTCCATCACAACTCCCTGCAAGTCTATCACAAGTCCTCCAGTCCCAATTCAAATCACAAGCTGTTCAAATGAGCTTTGACAAAGGCATTCCTTTGTTGTTGTTCATCCACTGTTTCTTGTGACTGGACTTGTGAAGGACTTGTGATGGACGCAACTACATCCCTAGTCTACAGTACGTACAATGTATCTTTGTCTCATAAAGGCTACTTTTCAACTCTCTGCATGTTGGTTTTGCCATTAATTATCTGCTTTTCATTCTTGAAGTGTTTCCACATAAGCACAACGTATTCAAAAGCCGCATTAGTTCACATAAAAAAAACACTGGAGCTTGTAGCACCCTTATTTCAATGAGTCCTTGGTGTATATCAAGGGCGGGTTCAGGGGGGCCAACGGTGACGTTGCGTACACCACCATCTTTTCCTCAAAAAAATTGGTTAAAGTGGTCAGAAATTGCCTCGGATCGCACCACAGAGCTCAACGGGTGGCTTCGACACCACGAATCACAATGGACGTAAAACGTCTGCGAGTGACAACACCTGATGATGATGATGACAGAGCATCTAGGATCCAAAAGAATTTTGGGGCCCATATTTACGGGCCCCGAACCTCAAGCTGTGAATTGTTTGAGCCACTTTTTGGGGGACCAAAATTTGTTTTCGTCCCCCCCCCCCCCCCCAAAAAAAATATATAAATGTGTGTTCTGGATCTGCCCTTGGTGTATATTATAAAATGAATGCAGTTTAACTTTAGTTATTAGTTAACTTATTTCTATGAGTGGTGATTAATTGCAAACATTCTGTGGTTTGTAGAGCAACATATTTTGTCCCTCATTTCGAAGATTTAAATGGTGTTTTTGTTTTCCTTAGGTGGTACGGTGATCTTTGACGAGGCTGACATTGAGCTCCATGCCCAGAACATCTTGATCGTGGATGGTGGCCATCTTCAGATCGGCACAGAGGAGAATCCTTTCCAGCACGAAGCCACCATCGTGATGCACGGCCACGTCCGCTCCACCGAGCTGCCGTTGTTTGGTGCTAAGACCCTGGCCATCAGGAACGGAACCCTGGACCTGCATGGTACGGTTACAAAAAGGTTCTTGGGAAAATAGTTTCAATGAATCAGTTGGTGACTCAGGCTTTAATACTTGTATTCTTTTCAAGAGACGCTTATCATCAGATCGCACAAGATGAGCTAAAACGGATATTTGTTTGCACTTGATAGTTTTTGATGGGCATTTTAGAAAGTGCATCTTCAATTCCTCATTTTGATATAAGAGGCTCACCCGCTTCATGAGGGGGGCAGCTTAACCGCCTGCCTCCTGCTTCGCGGGTGAGTCGCCCACTTCACGGGCAAGTCACTAGCTTCGCGGGCTATCAATTCGTGAACAATTTGTGAACAAACACACCCTTTGTGCTGTCTAGTGTAGTATTGATAATTCGGTTTGTCTTGATTTTGATTGTGCGAGATTCGTTTGAGGTCTTGTATCTCAAAGTATTTCTTCAATCTCATATTGCTTTGAGAGGTCAAATTTTGAGACCTTTAAATCCTTATGAGTAATGAAGCTGTTTAGTTGGAAAAAAACACAGAAATGACTGAATCAGGATTCAAACCTGCTAGCTCCAGGTTCCAACTGAGCTATCCAGCCCTTTATTGGCAGCTTTTCCAATTTGTCAGTGTCTTTGAGTGATCCCTGATTGTCATTTCTCAGGTTTACAGCACTGCCTATGTTGCTGACATCGTGTCTGGCCTGTGACAACGGCTCGATCCCTGGCCACGCGTCGCATACATGGCTTCTGAAAAGTGCCCTATGAACAAAGACATTGACACAGCCAAAATTATGTTGGAAAGCTCAGTTGGTAGAGAGCCAGAAGCATATCCCGGAGGTCACAATTTGAAATTACGCTCCTGTCAATGCCTTTGATTAAACTCTTATTAATTGAAAGCAAATCACTTTCAATTATTATTGAGTAATTGAAAAATGGTCACAACATTTAATCGTCTGTTTGTCTGTGATCGATTACTTCATTCAGGAAAGCCTGTTCCTATGACTTGGACACGCTTGGCTGAAACGGCCAAGGAGGGAGAAACCACCATGAAACTTGAGACGGAGGTGACATGGAAGGCTGGGGATGAGGTTGTCATTGCGTCCACGGGGTATCGACACAGCCAATATGAGAGTGAAGAGGTGACGATCACAGGTAAAAGCCACAACCCTGCATTTTTGTTGAAGCTAATTTAAGGGACCAGGCTAGTTGTTCCACAAGCTTGTCGGAAAGAGATGATTAAGTCTACGGCTATGGATAGTCATTCTAAGGCATTAATTCCCATTAGGGACCATTCGACTACCTAGCGAGGAACGGCCCACATGGTAAGTCCCCGATCGTATTGTGGGTTTCCCAACATCTTCCTGTGTACTTTAATGTAAAATTTACATACCTTCATGATATGCGTCAAGCAGCTGCAAGATTATCGGCCATGCCTTTTGGTCTAAAATGTGACATCCCTTTGTGCCACTTGTAGATGTACATAGCAAAAAATATCGACTGGCACATAATGGTGAATAGACCACTCAGAATTTGGCAGTCCATCATGAATATGTACGATGAGGTGTAATATTTGCTCTCATTCAGTCATTTCTTTCCTCTCCAGCCGTTTCACCCGATGGCATCCAGCTAACATTTACTCCAGCCCTGAAGTACAACCACCATGGCATAACGCAGACATTAGAGGGCGACATTACCCTGGAAATGCGTGCCGAAGTGGGGCTCTTGACACGTAACGTCAAAGTCCGCGGTTCGGTGCAGGAGGAATGGATTGAGAGCTACGATGCATGCCCGCATGACTTTGACACAGGTTTGTGATACGGCTTCTGACTAGCAACCCCAGAACAAAGACATTGACAAAATGGGAACCACCAAAATAGGGTTGGATGCAAATATATTTGCATCACGGTAAAGTTATTGACTGTATTACGCGTGCCTGTAACATATCACATGATTAACTAAAACTGTCACCTGATTCTGAATAAGTTCTTATAGTTTATATTCCACGATGGTCAGCGTGGTTTCGCTATAGCCTTCTGGGTTAAATGACTGGTCTGAATGCTGGAGGTTCCAGGTTCGAATCCTGGAGGAAATTTGACATTTTTTTCCCCAAAAGTGAATTTTCTTCTGTAAATTGGGTTTATTCAAGTCCCGATGATTGATAATATGATATTCAGTCTTTTCGTCTCATTCATGGCTCTGGAGGATTTTTTTAAAAAGAGAAGTTAAGTCCGAGTACCATTCCGTTACTAACTGACACATGCGCATTATGGTCATTGACTATACTTGACTGCAGAAAAAGTAATGGCAATCTGGAGGTCTCAGGTTCAAACTCCACTCCAGTCAATTTCTTTGTTCAACTGTACATGATTATAATACTTCTGGTCAGTTTCCCTTTGTGTTTTTATTGAAATCCAATAAAAAGGAAAAATTCTTTACTTATTTTCTAGGTCAATTTGCAACTCAGACATGCTTCCTGGGAAAGTTGGGCGAAGAAACAGGCAGCGACCAGTTCGGCTCCCAGATCATGTTCTTTGCTGCAAATCCAGATGAGCATCTCGTTACTGGTCGTATCGAGTATGTGGAGATCACTTACGCTGGCCAGAGCTTCCGTCTTGGCCGCTACCCGATCCACTTCCACATGAGCGGCGACGTGTCAGGATCGTACGTTCGCGGTTGTGGCATCCACCGCACTTTCAATCGCGCAGTCACCATTCACGGCGTGCATAACCTCCTCGTGGAGCACAACGTGGCCTACAACATCATGGGCCACGCCTACTTCTTGGAGGACGGCATTGAGACAGGCAACATCATCCAGTACAACCTGGGCATCTTTGTCCGTCCCAGTAGCAGCTTGCTGAACGTAGACATCACTCCGGCCACCTACTGGGTCACCAACCCCGACAACGTCGTCAGGCACAACGCGGCAGCTGGAGGCTCGCATTTTGGCTTCTGGTACAACATGCCCATCCATCCTGGAGGACCGTCTTTCACATCCTCCATCTGTCCCCGCAACGTTCCGCTTGGAGAATTCAGGAATAATTCAGCTCACACTCAGGGCTGGTATGGACTTTGGGTCTTCCCGTCCTATCACCCGAAGACGGGCGGAGGCTGCAATGCCGGGGACGATGAACCTGCCAAGTTTTACTCCCTGTACGCCTGGGAGACAGAGCGTGGGGCCGAGGCAGTGGATGTCGGCGCAGTCCAGTTCCACGACTTTGTTGTCTCGGATGCCGACCAGGCAGGGGTGGAGTACCAGTTGATCTCGGCCCCTTGGGGTGAAGGTGGGGCTCTCATCAAGGACCTCGTGGTGGTTGCCCACAGCCAGATATCTGAAGACAAGAAAGCCGAGAAATGCACAGTCACCGGTGTCCATGGCCCGCAGTTGGAGGGCCTGACTGTAGATGGGGTGAAGTTTATCAACTTTGACCAGGAACGGTGCTCCACGCTGGCGTACTGCTCCAAATGCCGAACCAACCAGGGGGGCTCCTCTGTACGGCTCAAGGGGCTGGAGTTCTACAACTCAACCAACAAGGCAGCCTTCAAGTGGGAGCATGAGTGCTGGTTTGAAGACCTGGATGGCTCTCTAACGGGGACCCCTAATCACATCGTCCTCCCCAGCAACCCCAATCTTCCCCCAAGTGCTTGCACCCAGGAAGACGAGTACGGCTTTGGTGCGGTGCCGGGTTCGTCCTGCGATGACACCGTCCGTCTCCACCGCCTGTCATTCAATAACCCCTCGCCATCCTCCCTGTTAGGCAAAGCGGCGTTGTTCACCAATGCCCACGGGACCACAGTTGCGCCGTATGATGAGAAGAGAATCACCCATCCCAAGGGATGGATGGTTACGCTCATCGAAGGGGACACCTACGACATGGCCTTTGAGGATGCGGGTCATGTCACCAACATCACGTACGATGCCACCTTTTATGAGTACCAGGATGGTGATTATGTGTTGATCAGCCACACATTCACTCAGGAACCTGACCGCTTTGCCATGAACGGTGAGTTCCGGAATGTTACCGACGATGCCTTGACGTACGACGGTAACCAGAATGGTGACATGCGCTTCGAGAATGACACCAAAACTCTGACGTACATTGGTGAGTCCAAAACTATTTGTTTCTCTATTTCAGTTAACCCTAACCGCCCCGAATCCTTCAAAATCCTCTTTGCCAAAGTGGAGGAATTTTGAGAATTGAGGTTACATGGCAAAAGTGCGTTACTGATTTCATAGGATGCACTTGGTCAAGGTCTTGGGCCGGACCTTGTGTTGTTTTTGCTCAGCCATGCATAAATATAGTCCTGGATTACGCTTGAAATCCTCCGTACTGCTCCTGTATGTCACTGGCCAAGCCTCAACATATTGACGGTCACTGCCGCAGGATTAAGACAGTGGCCACCCCCCCCCCCCCCCCCCACGGACCATATTCAAGAAATAATAGAGGAATATGCAAGATTGAAGCTATACTAGTTTTCCATGAGGCCCATTGAAGGAGTTTGCAGGATTGAGGCTACATCCTTGCAAAAATGGCCTAGGGAGTTAGTGTTAATTATTTAATGACCCCTTTGATGCTACAATTTTTTGGAGGGCTTCCCATGTTCACTAAATTTAAGAGGCCTGATATTTCTTCCCTAGAAGATTGCTTTTCAGTAAGTAAAAAAGCAGGAACACACAAGCATGGATGAAAGGAAGAGAAGAAAGGAGACCGAGTCGGGGATACTGGTTGGATGGAAAGGAAGCGGAAGATAGAGAGGAGAGTAGGGTATGAAAAGCAGGGACATTAAGGGGGAGGAAGGAATAAAGGACGGTAGGAAATGATCAAAGGGGAGAACCTTAACCCTAACCCACCTCACTCCTTCAAAATCCTCCTGGCGGTTTTGGAGGATTCTAGAGGATTGAGGATGAATGGTGATTGAATCAAATGAGGATTCTGGTGGATTGAGGATGAATGGTGATTGAAGCACATGAGGATTTTGGAGGATTGAGGATGAATGGTGAATGAAGCACAAGAGGATTTTGGAGGATTGAGGATGAATGCATTTTGAGGCAGGACTGTCTGATGATTTTGAAGGATTTGGCGTTGGTTATCCTTCATTTAAACACGAGTGCAAAGTTTTGGGATGAGGAGGATTTTGGAGGATTGAGGATGAATGCATTTTGAGGCAGGACTGTCTGACAATTTTGGAAAATTTAGGCGGAGTTGAAAAATTTTGGAGGATTTTGGAGGATTGAGGATGGTTGTAAGCAACAAGGGCCTAGGGGGTTAGGGTTAGCCCCTTAGGGACGGGGCGTAATGGGGACATTCCTCCATACATAGAGCAAGCAAAGCACACGTATCTACCAACAATTAGGTACTCCAAGGTGCTGGTAATTATGTCTATTTTTAAAGACAGGTAAATGAAGTTTATGAGAAACATGAGACCCATTATGTAGCACCTTTATAAAGGGTATACAAGGTGCTGCGGCACATATTGCAGCCACTGCCAGAAACACCGGGGCAAACCCCTTCTCTTAGCGATAAGTGTTACTGGGTTCCTTAACGTGCATTACACAACACACGGGACCTACGGCTTAACGTCTTAACCGAAGGACGAAGCAGTAATGGTAAAGTGCCTTGCTCAAGAGCACAAGGACCATGTTCCCACGGTCAGGATTCGAACCTGTGTACCACAGAACACGAGTCGAACACCATAACCATTTGACCACATCCGATATCCAGAAAGAGAATGCCTTATCTTTTTCTCAATTCTTTTAATTGTTATTAGTTGCAAAAACAATGACTTGCTGTTTCAGTCAATATAGTTTGACTGACATCAGGAGAATGCTGAAGCTCAAAGAACTACATTTTATAAAGTGAATTACATCACATGTTTTATTTGCTAATTTCTTCAAGTTGTACTCTCCGCATGACCATGGAAAGCCTCAAATCACATCAAACATTATGTGAAAATGCATTTTGTATTCAATTTTTTTTTTTTTTTTTACTCTTTTTACAGTATCTGGAAAAGGTGAGTCAGAGCTTGTGGACAGAAAAATCCACCCCAACGTCTACACCTGTTTCTACAAGGACTGCCTACCGTCTGTCCCTAAACCGCCCCCAGATACCCGGCCGGACGACGTCAAGTTCTGGTCACATGAGCAGTCATGGGAAAGTGGTAGCCTGCCTGTCGATAATGAGGATGTGACTATATTGGCATGTGAGTTTTAAAGCTCGGTCTGCTTTACCATAAAATGTTTTTTTCATCGGGACTTGTCCAGTATTCAAACAAAAGGGCATCCCTCTCCCACATTTATGAAGAGAAGTCTAGCACGTGGGAGGAGAAGTCTCTCCTTCGTGGACATGCTGAAACGGGACACCAGCTTGGCCTCCGCTGAGGAGCTGCGCTCCTGCATTCTGGTCCGGGACATCTGGACCAAGATCAATGGGCAGGCTCGAGCTGCCATAAGGCCTCGACTCGATTGATTCAAGTCCAGCATAAAGGGGACGAACCTGTGTTAACAGGAACGGAGTGCCCATCTCTTTTTCTGTAGCGATTGGGCCAGACTCATATGCTACTGCGGGGGGATTGCCACACCTCCTCCACAGCGAGTCTGTTACCTTCCCGGCATTGTATATTCCGGTACCCATTTAACACCTGGGTTGAGAGGAGTAATATGAGGTAAAGCGCCTTGCTCAAGGGCACAACATGCATGGCCACGGCGGGGCTCGAACTCACAACCTCACGATCATGAATCCTGTGCTCAACCGATCACCACACGTGCCCATGCTGGACTTAGAAGAAAGTCCAGCATGTGTGGTGATCGCTGGAGCACATCCAGAGTATATCCAGATTGGAAAATTGCGATATTTAGGGCAGCAAACAGAATTAGCCTGTTTTCTTACGTCATGCAACGGCTCTTGCACTTAAAAATAGTCCTGGCTGCGTGCCTGCCATAGCCTCATGGCGTAAGCATCAGGCGCCATTGGCAGTGTGTTCAAGATCCCTACCATGGTCTCACCCAACTTCTTTGTGCACAAAGTCCATTTGTTGAAGGAGCACCAAGTGCCCACGTATAACTTGCATGTGAGTGTGGTTCCAACTTGTTGATGGCTTCTAACTTTGGTCATCTAATAAGTCTTTTACTTTTCTTACCTGCCGTAGCTGATTGGATGGTCGCCGACGTAGAACTTCCCGTCATCAACAAACTCGTCATCTACGGTGCCTTGGAGATCGACGACAGCCAAGACAACAAGCTAGAGGCCACCTACATCCTGATCCAGGGAGGCCGCTTGGTCATCGGATTCAGCGAGTCTAATCCCTTCCAGCACGAGATGAAGATCCTGCTAAATGGTCACCACCTTACTGAGCAGATGTCTCTGCCCAACGGACCCAACCTGGGATCAAAGGCTCTTGGTAATTAGGATCTGTTAACCCTACCCCATAATGTTTTGCCCATCACAGCCAAGACTATTTTATACAACCAAATTTCTGACAAAAGTCTGATATTCTTCCACTTACACATAATGGTCGCGTTCAACTAGCTCACCCAGATCTACTCAGGTTAGCCCCGTGCCATTCGCTTAGCTCTGACGTCATTCTCAAGGCTCACCCGGGTCAGCCACCACAGACCCTGCTCGTGGAGCAGAGTCAGTGATGGAAATAATCACACGCATACATTGTTCATTCCAAGAAACGGACAAAAATGGTGGATGGAGAGCGGAAATCTGAGGTGGAGTCAAAAATTAACTTTGTTGAAGTCTTAAGGTAATTATTTGTTGAGTTCATTTTTTTCAATTGACGGAAAAGCAGTAAATCTCAAACTAAGAACCAGTGCAAAATGGGCGTTTTTCCAGTGCAGTGGCTATGGTCGTTGCTACGGACATCACGTGAGGATCGTGATGGCCGCGGTTCAGCGTCCAATTAGCCTGGCTGTTGTGGCCGACCCGTCTCCCTTTACCTGAGTTGATCCGGGCGTGCTACTCGAACACACCCAGAGTGAACGGCCGGAACAGCGTTAGACATTCGGTGCATTATGACATTGGGGAGATACACATGTATATGAAGTTGGTGGTACTTTTTGATAGTGTCCAAATTTCAAAGTGACACTGTGGATTCGAATCAGCCAGGATTGTAGTGAAGAGTTTACAAAACAAATGGGGGATTAGCGTATTTAAATGTCATCTGGAGGCGAGTCAAGGCATTGACATTTTAACCCGTCAGCCGTGCCTTTGTATAAAAACAGTCAGATCTTGTTAACACGTCATCTGACGCAAAAAGGATTAATCTGGGTGACTTTCTTTTTTTTAACTCGTGCTGTATCTGGTTCTTCTTCAGGTGTGTTTGGGGGCCTGGACATCCACGGGAAAAACCACAGCGTCTACTGGACCCAACTATCGGCCACCGTCAACCCGGGCGACAATACCCTGACCGTCAAGGATCAGACAGACTGGCAGGTAGGGGATGAGATCTTGGTGGCGACTACCTCCTACGAAGCTTGGCAGACTGAGACCTTCAAGATCGAAGCCGTCGACGATGCCTCTACCTTCAAGATCAACGGGAGCTTTGCATACAGGCATATCGGTGAGTATACAGCAGTGGGGTTGCTTATCTTACTCACAAGTGCAGTCACGGTTAAATCACAAAGTCAAATCACACTTCAGTCACAGTGGCAGGGGATTATCACTAAATCAAGGGAATGCTTTTGTCACACTTCATTTGAATAGCATGTGAGTTGACATGGAACTGGCCGACTTTGGATTGAAGTTGCACGTCAAGTTTAAAATATTCTTTCGAGTTGATTTGAATGCTTACATCCAAGTATGGCAGTTGCTTGAAAAAAAAGAAGCAGAACATCTCTGTTGAGAAAGGGAATATGAATTCCCTTTCTGGAACAATTTGGAGACTAACCACAAAATTGATAGATGTTTAGAAAACACATGTACTGTACATTGCCAATGTGTTAGGTATGGACAAAATGACATGCGAGTGTAGCATGATATGCGGTGTACCAGAAATGTAGTCAACTCTTCGCAAGTCAATCATAAATCAATCACAATTCAGTCACAAGTATACCGAATTATACCGAATTATACTGAATTAATATTCGGTATAATGCACGGTGCGACCATGCGTTATACCCATGCGTTATACCGTTTCACTTTGCGCTTGCTCCATGACGCGGTATTTGCGTGCAAAATGCATGCTGGTGTGCGCGTTCAGCGTAGCGCGTATTGTTTCAAAGAGCCAGCGCTACAGCGTTGGGTTCAGACATTTTCGTGAAGGGGTAGTTCAACATCTTTAAAATCAAAATAAATTGTAGTTTATAATTTACCAATCAAATGACGAGAATTTATTCAGGTGTTGTATAAAACAAATAACGAATGTTTTACGTTCGCCTCGTGGAATAGAACATTCAATCTGTCACCTCATGAAATTATTCTTTCCATCGCACTCACAAACATTCGTTATTTGTATAATAATATATACAAGTGAAGTGTAACAAAAACATTCCTTCATTTTTCGGCCCTGTTACTTTGCGAACTGATTTGTGATTGACCGGTGATCGCAAGTGATTGACGTGTGATCGACCTGTGAACGGCCTGTGATTAATTTATGATTGACTTAATGTTAAGTTTGTAACTGGCCTGACATAACTTTGTAGAGCACCATGCATTTTCACATGGTACCTAGCAGACCATCAGTTATTTCTCAACTCTAAAGCTCATTTTCCCATTGTTAACTTATCCATCCAGCTGACTACACCGCCGACTACGTCCTAGCTGCCGAGGTGGGTCTGCTAACACGCAACGTCAAGATTGAAGGCAATGACTACGAGTATCTCTTCAAGGAGTCCTTCGGAGCTCGCGTCCTCGTCGGCAGGTTCTTCCAAGACGGAACAGAATACAAAGGTATGGTACCCCTTAACCCCCCACCCCCTGTCCACTATGAGAAGGGTTGGGGCAAAGTTTTTTTTAAAAAGGTCATTGTGGAAACAGCAATTCAAAAATGTCAGATTCATAACTTCAAATTAGATGTAAAACAAAATGTTCTGTTTTCATTGGCTAATCCGGTCATTTTCAGTTGAGGCATTACCAGATAAAGCTATCTTTTTGATATACCCTTTAGAATTTTAACTTTCAGAAGGTTCATCAAAGAACACAGATATTGACTGGAGCTGGATTGAAACCAGTGACCTCTGAAACACCATATCGGGGTCGGACCAATGTTTTACAGGATGCGGGCTGATGTCCCACTCCAGTCAATTTGATGAAGAGAATAAATGTGTGCTGGGCGGGTTTTAAACACTATGTTTATGACCGGTTGCAGTCTGGTTGCTGATAATTACCTCAGCTGAAGGCGAGGGTAATTACCAGCATCAAAGACTCCGGGATCTTGAATTCTTTCACCTCTACACAGGTCACGCCCGGATTTCCAACGTGCAGTTCTTCCATTCGGGCCAGCTGGGCTGGTCCGACTACTATGACCCCCGCTACTCCCTGGCCTTCCTCGACATGGGTCAAGTCACTGAGACAACGTCCTCTATTGTCAAGGGCTGCAGCTTCCACAACGGTTTCAGTCCAGCCATTGGTGTGTATGGAACCAATGGGCTGCTCGTGAAAGACAACGTGATTCATCACACCGTTGGACCCGGTACGTGTGAATTATTGTTTATTTATAGACAGTAGATAGCACATTGCGACCACTCATTAGAGTGCAGACATACTGGAATTTGTTTCCTTGTGGAGACATTCCTTTGTTCTCGTGTAGTAAAGTTTTCGAGTTCGAAAGTGTAGTTTCAAAATGCTCTTATTTTAACCAGAATTCATTTCCTTGGCTAGCCTTGACCAAGGCGTTGGGCTTATCGATTCGCCGATAAAAAAAAATCGCCGATAAGAAAATCCCTAATCAACTTGGCAAGGCATAATTGCGTGCACATATCGATGCCCGTACGCTGCTAGTGAGAAAGTAACTTGTACCATACAGCGAGGCTATGCTTGCACGTACGCACGTACACACACGTACATGTACATGTACAGTGCATGCATGAGCTAGTCCGCGTAACCCAACGCCTTGATGGTTTTGAGTTGACCCAGCAAAACCTATTACGGTAATGAGGTACCACCCCCGCGTATACTGAATTCTCATTGGTCAGCCCGCGATAGGCTAACAAACACGTCGCATCCGCGAAGAAACGCTGCAATGGCGGCCCGTTGCTGTGGGTGAAAGTCGTTCAGTCCCAGTCTGTCCGAAGCAGTATTGAAGGCTCCAACAAATTCTGCAGGTAATGCTGTCATTAGACGATCGTTGCCCACTCAAATGAATTCATTACACGAGCCGAAAAACTTGAATCAATGTCAAATTGTTGAAAAAGTGACGAACATTTCGCTCTCGCTAAAAAGACATGGAAGACGCCATGATGACTAATGCATTATGCATGCCGCGCGACGTCACATGATTCTTGTGAAGCTTACAATTGGTCAGCTTCAAAATGAATTAAACATACTATTGGGAAGGTTGTTTCATGTGATTGGTCCAAGACGAACCTACATTATAATCACGGCATACCCGCATATCCTGAAGCCCGCCCATTTTTTTCCAAAACTGGACGAAAAGGTAAAGAAAGACATTAAACCCGGAAGTTGCAGACCCAACAAGGCGGTCGTTCGACAGCCCACGCGGCGCGTATATCCCCCACACGCACGTACGTACACCCACACGCAGAACACAGTAGGCCTACATTTACTGCCTTATTACACCATGCGTACAGTCCGTACTCAAGTGTGTGTGCTTGCTGGTTGTGTTAGCCGTTCGTACGGACAAGGGTCGTACACGCACGTAGCCGCGTTGATTGTGGGTGCAGGGCCCGATTATCTCCCTTCAACAAAAAGCCGAGAGACCGCCTGGAACAAGGCTATTCCTTGGCTGAAATTTGGACTTAATATCCCTTTTCTAAAACTCTTCCATTTGCGACGGATCAACGCACCTTGGAAATTCCTAGTTTTTGAGTAAAATCCATATATCTATTTTGTGATAACCTTGTGGAGACGTATACATCTATAGAAATTGCCCTGTGGAGACGTATACAATCTTTTGTTCCCTATTGTACACACGTATCCAGAGGTACGGTGTATCAGATCCGCATGTACGCACACATTCACACATGTACAACACAAAGTCACGACGATTTACTCTCAGCTAAATGTGCACTAATTTGTAGCATCTTGGCATGAGCATCTCATAAACAGTGGCATTAGCTTTAAGTCTGCATAATTCTTAGTAACCATTGACGTGGTGCACCGAATCCACAGAGCATTTTCCCCCTTGATAGAGAGCACTATTAGTTGGTGAAAATTTCACTTAAATTCATTTTCAATTCAAATTGCAATTCGTCTCTTTTCCAGCTAAAACAAAAGCAAAGAAGCATGTGTATGGAGTTATAAACAAATCCAAGAAAAAAAAATCAAGAGATAATATAAAACCAAAATCAGTAGCCATAATAAGCCCTTGCCTGACACTGACTGACAAACAGATCAATATACTGAAATTTGAAATCAAAAGCAATGGGTAAAGGTTGCAGACACACCATTTTGTATTGCAGTTTTCATTGTTATCTATGTTTGTCTATTTTGTTCATCTTGCATCAGCATCATTTATGATATACATTTCTACGTTGGATTCGTTTGTCTTTTGTTTTTCTGTTCTTGGTTTTGTTCTTGTGTTTATGTTGTTTAATTGTCCAGGTTTTTCCACTTTAAGCCTTGGCTTATGTGAACAGCCTTGTACTCTCCTATGTGTGAAGCATTCTGGCAAAATGAGATGGAACTGGGAACAGGCCATAGTGGAGAAAAATGCAAAAAAGCAAATGGGGGTCATTTTTTCTGATTTACAGAATTATTGATATTTGTAATCTTTGATGTGTCTACTGTACATGTTTCAAAGATATAGTATAAAAAAATCGTGGAATAACAGTGTTTTCACAAATACAAACTTGAAAGTTTAAAAGCATTTTCTCAGTATTTTACTTTTTTGACATGTCGATAACTTTGAACAGCCAAAACTTGTCAACGGAATGGCTGATTGAAGTGCAACAAACAGTGTTGTAAGGAGAATTTATTCTCTTTTGTAATACCAACAAACCCTCATTTTGACCTCTGCCAAGTTCTGTGTCATTTTGCTAGAACGCCTCACATATTACTGCTTCTTTTCATTTTCCTTATTTATTAACATTCATAACACTTATATAATAACTTTGCTTCGAAGTATAATTTTGTTACTTGTGCTAATAACCTACACTTTTTTTTCTTTACTTTAATATAACTTAATTGTACGTTATGTTACCCCACTTTGTATCATTTTATTGGAGAGTGCAAAATAAAAGTATGTTGAATTGAAGAACATAAAATAGCATCAAATTTAACAACCTGTTTTCCAATTCAGTTAGGGAAGCCCAGTTAAAAATGCTGATGAAGTGCCCCTTTTGTCCTTGTTTTAACTTTTAAGGTGTGATTGTATGGGGCGAGGGGAACCAACTCATTCACAACCTGGTGACCCTAGTGGTCTTCCCAGGGACCTACCAAGATCGCTTTGAGGAGGAAAACACTGACTGGACCGGAGGAATTGAAGTAGAGAACGCCAACAAGGCGGTACTGGTCAACAACACCGTGGCCGGCTCAGAGAAAGTGGCCTTCAGTATCAAAGGCGAGCCGTGCTATGACCCGCCGAACCCTGCGACAGACTGGGACGGGAATGTTGGCCACTCCACGCTGCATGGAGTCTACATGTTCTTGACCAGCCAGCCAGAGTGCAGCAAGATTGCCAATTTCTTGATCTACAAAAGCTGGGACTTTGGAGTCTATGCCCAGGTAAGAAATGTCTGATTTAAAAAGCCCAGGCTGGTTATTTAGCGACCGATTTCTTTGGCCATGATTGTAAATTAGCAGATAACTGAAAAAAGGTTGTGAAAGTGTAGACTGTGTGCATGAACAGTAGATTGTGCTTCATGACCTCTCATGAGAGTTTTGTGTGCAGGGGCTGATTTCACAAAACGCGTCTTATCATGTGAATTATCTTAGAACTTAAGCAAGACCCGATTCTAAGATCGATCTTAGCTAAGACCGATTTCACTAAACCCATCTTAAGCAAGACGCATCAGAACTGCCAATTTGATGGCTGTTTCATGTTTTGTTTTTACCACTTGACGAAACAGTTGTTAACCCCAGAGGAAAATATGTTGCTTAAGTCAGTCATGTAGAAATCTCCATGTGCGCGCAACAGTTAGTGCATCCATGCCATGAAATAATGTTTGTAACGTTTTTCGGCTATAGTAAGCACAACTTTTCTGCTAACTGTTATGTAGCGCCATGAAATTGGGCCAAAGCCACAAGTACTGGAGGATGAGAAATGACAAAAGGAATGCCTTTGTCACAACCCCTTTTGAATATAGCTTGTGATTTGATGCAAGACTAATGTATGAATTGTGATTGCCTGTGTGGACTTGGCCAAAACCTATGTACTAGCCTTGATCAAGGGGTTCTCACCATGACCTTTGACCTACCTCCCTTTGGTCAGATCGAATCCAGCATTCGGATGTCAGGAATGACATTGGTTGACAACAAGATGGCCGTCCTGCCGCTAGTGATCGGCCCTAACCCCCTCCGCCATCTGACTAGCGATGTCTTTTTTCAGTTGGAGGATTCGCTCATCGTGGGCGTCAGCGATTCCTTTGATTGCGAGGCTGATGCTGTAAGTTCACCAACAGATTTTCCATCATGCAGTTTGAAAATAATGTTTTTGTAGTTTGAAGATAATGCTTTTGTAGTTCTTGAAAAGCTCCCTGCCTATTACTCAATGTAGCAGCCAAAACCAACCAAGCACTCTATGGTTTTATTGATTCTTCAGTGAACAAATACAATGTAATACAATGTAATACAATGTAATACAATGTAATACAATGTAATACAATGTAATACAATGTAATACAATGTAATACAATGTAATACAATGTAATACAATGTAATACAATGTAATACAATGTAATACAATGTAGTACAGGTGCTATTCCTTATGGTTATCGATTATTAAGCTTTTAGTTTCGAACGCAGGCTAAATTTATGCCCTCTTTTTAAAAATCAAAAAGATACATGCCCACTTTTAAATAATCAGAAACAGTTTTGCATAATGCAAGTTGGTTTTGATGTCAGCGATCAGCGAAAACAATTCTAGATCCATAGCTAAACCAGATAAGATCAGCCTATAAGACCAAAGTTTCACTTCTTGTTAACTGTTACTGATACAAATGACTTTCTCTCTTGTCTTTATTTGTTATATGTTCAAATATTCGTGACTCGAATTGACTCGAGCTAAATATTTGTCTCGACTCGACTACACACTGTGCCTCGACTCGACTCAACTCGACTCTACCTTCTTGACCTAATGACTCGACTTGACTTGAGTCACTTCTTTAAAATGACTTGACTCGAGTCACAAAATCAGTTACTCGTTACAACTCTGGTTTTATTGATGTAGGTACAGACTTGTTTCACTGAATGACAACCCCCTTTGTGTTGAATGATGTCCAGTCCCCTTATTTTTATTGTTCGAATTTTTAACCCCGCCCCCTTTTGCCCTATATTATTCCGATTGTAGGTTGAACCTGAGAATGCTGCCCAGAGTGCAAGCTGCCGAAGCCCGCGCGCCCCCGGGAAGGGTCACTCTGGGTTTGTCTGGGCCAGTTTTAGCGCCGGGAAAAATATGGCCCCTGCAGAAAATCTGCATAATGTTATGAATTACCCTACGATAAACGGACGGAGCGAACTAAAGAGTGAGTCCAAAATACCTCTCAGAATAATGTAGACATTAATTGGAATATCTTTATGTAAACTGCATGTGTACTTCGCTGGTCTGACACTTTTTGCTGATGAACACAGCAATGGTTAACAATTGTCTGAGGTCCGACTGTAATGGACCTTTTCCTCTCAATCAAACAAATAGGCATTGACCACAGAGCTATATTACATATTACTAGAGCACTAACTCACTGTACAGAGTGAAGCCTGCTTGTTGCAAACATGTTTGTGCACAAGCCTATAGAAAACTCGAAAATTAGTATGGCTTTAGTACGGCTATTTGCATATCTGTGTTGTTATTCTTTACCAGTGCGTTATCAAATCCGATACACCGAAATCAAAATGCACAATTAGTAAAAGAGCATTTCATTTTGCTCAGCGCGAACGTGTGCAAACACAAACCCTGGGTGTAGGAACTGCAGATGATTTCTACCATGACGTATTTTAGCAGTCATACTCACAGGAAAAACGGATGATGTTTGCATATGTTGTACTTGCCCTTTGCATTGAGAGCACATGCATTATCCAAATTTCAAAATGCACAATTAGTAAAAGAGGGTTACATTTTGCTCTGCGCGAACTCACACGAACGGAAGCGTGTGCGCATAGGCACTGCAGACCATTGTGGCCGTGACGTTTTCTTAACCGTCATACTCACAGAAAACGCGCTTATGCTATTCACGTTAATGTTTTATTTGCACGTTCCATTTAGAGAACATTATCCGAAACCCATTCTGTGTGTTTTATAATGTCCCACAGACACTGACATGAATTCAAAATGTCTGGGCCCAGGATGGCTTCAGAGTATCTCTGCATGGGGAATGAGGAGCTAGCACTCTAGTAATTTAATATAGCTCTAAGGTATTGACTTATTAGATCACAACATTTGGTCAGGTGACAACAGTAACTCTGTCAAACTCACTCATGAACCACAAGTGCGCTGGGCTTATGGTCATCTCTGGAATGGTCCATTTCATCATCTTCATAGGCACAGCCAACAGTATTTCACTCCTCTTTTTTTTGCAATGTTTGGCGACAGATGTTGCATTCAGAGGATTCGGTACACACTGTGGGAAGACAGACGTTGCAATCATGACCAACCCCGGCAGCCAGAATGCCCAGCATCCTCTGACTACCTCAGGAATAACGATGGAGGACGTGGCTGATGGACAGAGGCTCTACATCCATCATCCATCTATCGGGTATGTCCCAACATAAAGCTTGTCTGTCTTGCGTGAAGGGTGTTTCGTACTCGATGTGAATGCGATTGCAATTGTGAATTTGTGATGTCGGAACAAGTATTCTGGCTGCAAATTTTTCTTAAATGAACACATTGTAATTTTTCTGCAAACGTTGCTCACTTTCTTTATCTAATATTCACTTGGCAATTGCTTTTATAGCTTGATGCTGGCGTTTTGGCACAAAGCAGCTAAAATCAATCGCAATAACCATCTCTGCCCACACAGTAGTCTAGGGGCTAGACGTTGTTATGGTTTGATACGCGATAACCCGCTGCCGCGATAAAGCGCCATTGTGAGAGGGCAATATCACGGCCAACCAATATCGACCACGGACTTGTCAGTAGCAACATCTAGGCAAATTTCTATTTGTTGTGTAACGCGCGTGCACCTGTTTGGCCTAATACATGCAGCGCGCAATTCAAAAAATTCGTATTAGTTCCGAAGCAAACTCTCAAATTTCTTCCAGTGCTATAAACAGGTTTTTTTATGACATCATCTTTCCACTTGTGGTTGGCACATTTGAGGGCCTCACCAAAGAATGCAAGCACTTTTGCTTAGCTGGAAATAACCCACGAATAGCCAACAACGGTGCCAGCTTGCTAAGCATAAATACGATTAACTGTCTGTTTTTTCACCATACTTATTAGTAAGGTGAACCCCGCAGACTGTGTTGACATGGACTGTGACGGCATGAAGAAGGCCATGATCCAAGACATGGACGGAAGCCTCCTTGGCACTCCAGGCACGGTCATACCTCAGTCAGAGTATGAGTGGGACGGCGACCCACGGCGCGGCCTGGGTGACTACCGCATCCCGAAAGCTATGCTGACTAGACAAGACGGGTCGAAGATCCCTGTCGAAGAGAAAGCTCCGAATAAGGGTGAGGAAAAGCAGATTTGGTATCGAGTTAGTCACAATCAGCCTCGTTGTCGTTACTATCCTTAGCCTTTATCAGCTCATGGCCATTATTGGCAGCAAGGCTCCTTAAAACCGGTTTTAAACCATGTGCTCATTTGTAACTGCTCCATCACACAATCATCCCACATCATTAAATAAAATTAATAAATACCTATGACAGTTTACCTATTTCTATTGGTGGAGAGCTCATCACGTTGCTGGTTTTAAACAGTTGATAAAGCAGTTGGCTGGCTGGTCTTAAACACTTGTCCAGTGTCACATAAAATTTGGACTGCAATGAAATCTGGTGCCAGCACCATTTTATTGGTTGAACCTTCACAATCATCTCGCAGGCATGCGTAATACTACCAGTGAGTCAATATTTAATTAAATAGTCCTAAATTCACTACACCGTTACATCTGCGTTCTGCGCAACACCATGCAAAACGCGTGACACTCGCTCTAATCTCCATATAAGGAGTGTGGTTTACCAGAGGACCTTACCATTGTATAGCTAGAGGGGTGTTTTAAACAAAATTGTCGGAAATTTATAATTTTTGATTAATTTTCACTCGGTGGACCGAAAAGTTTAGATTTTTTTTTTGACCGAAAAAGGTGTTTATGAATGGCAATAAATATGTGCTTAGTACCGGTTTTAGTCTGGATGCTGATATATTACCCAAGCTGAAGGCGAGGGTAATTATTAGCATCCAGACTCCAACCGGTCTGAAAGATAGTGTTTAACACCTCCCACTTACACATTTTATTCCCTTATTTAAACATGAGTGTACAGAAATACTGAAATTTGTATCCTTGTAGAGACATTTCTTTGTTCTCATGTAGTAAAGTTTTCGAGTTTGAAAGTGAAGTTTCAAAATGCTCTTATTTTAACTAGAATTAATTTCCTTGGCTGAAATTTGGACTTCATATCCCTTTTCTAAAACTCTTCCATTTGCTACTAATCAACCCACCTTGGAAATTCCTAGTTTTTGAGTAAAATCCATGTATCTGTTTCGTGAAAACCTTGTGGAGAAGTATTCATCTATAGAAATTGCCCTGTGGAGACGTATACAATCTTTTGTTCCCTATTGTGTGCATGTCTCCAGAGGGTACAGTGTATCCGATCAGTTGTTCACATATATGTTTTTTCTGTCTGTACAGGCATTTATCGTGGTCAGAACAATGAGTGCACATGGAAGGCTGACTGGCAGGCCTATGAGTGCCACGGCATCGACCACATGATGCTGGTAGCAGAAAGCATGGATGCTGACACCGAAGTCCGCCGTCTGTCACCGCTGGCCATGTACAGCGACAGCTACGTAGACTTGATCAACGGACCGGAGGATCACGGCTGGTGCAATGGGTAAATTGGTCCCAGTTTATATTCGGTTTTTATATAACCGGCATACAGATCCCTGTCATTTGATTGGTGGAACTTACATCACGTGATATTCGTTATTACTCCCATTCACGCCGGGGCTCAAAAAGTCCCAATCGCCCATGGGGAATGGGAAATACTATTGAACAGTTAGGATCATTCTTGTTCCATGACGCAGTATTTGTGTGCAAATGCATGCAAGTATGCACGTTGCGGGTATTGTTCCAAAGAGCCAGCGCAACAGAGTTGGGTTCAAACATTTTTGTGAAGGGGTGGTTGGGAAGAGAGAAATACATTTTCCACTTATTTCGCAGTGAAATAAAAGTTCAAATATATCAAATGACAAGGATCTATATGTCAGTTATATAAAACAAATATTGAGTGGCTTTAAATTGTGAAATGGGAGGAATATTATCGCTCTGTAAAATCTGGACTTTTCAAGTTTTCACTCTGGACTTTTCACTCTGGAAAAGTCCAGATTGAACCTTGCAATGATATTACTCCCATTTCACTCTGAGCCACTCATTATTTGTATAATTTTTCATCAAACTGATCTGCAACTGGAACGCTGCGTGGTTTGACTAGCTAGTCCAACTGGATCGACCTAACGCTGCAGCACTGTTTCTCTAGTCTAATTTGCAAGTTATGTCACTGTTTCAAGATGGCGGAAAGGCAAACTGGGGCAATTTTTTGTAAACCTTTATCTCAGTTAACAGTAACAATTAATGAGTAGTTTAACAATAAATTGTAGGTTTTGTTCAATGAAAATAAATCTTTGTAATAGGATAGTTAATATTTTTTGTTGTACTAAAGTTAAGCAGAGAAAATAATGGAAAATAAAAGTGACATGTTAGAGTGAAGTGGCATTTACAAACGGATCACAGATTCATCAAACTTGTCTGTTCATCTTTACAATTCAGTAAGCAAAACTTAACCCTGTATGCCCTGGTAGTTACTGAAAGACGACTTTGAACACGTGCGACTATTGAATCAGGTACTTACACAGTTTTTAGCTTACATGGCTGGCTTTTTCCTTCTGTTCCTTGGGGAAGTTGAAATTTTCAACAATAATGTTCGGTACATTTTGTGCACAAAAATCGGGAGCCAAGGATGATGTTCGGTATAGCCGAATGTTCGGTATAGCGGTGTTCTGTATAGCGATGTTCCACTGTAACAATGAAAGTCATTCCCTTACATGTATTTCTTGCCTTACATAGGTATACCTGCCAGGAACGCATCAGTACCTTCTACACCATGGTGGCCGGGAATAATGAATACGAGGTGTACTTCACCAGCACCAACCCCCAGGGAATGCGCTTCCATCTCCTCAACTCCGGCGAGAGCCAAGCGGTGGTGCTCGGCATCTGGTACATCAAACCGGAACGCTTGGACGTCTACTACAAAGTGAGTTGTTTGCGAAAGGGCCAGTTCCCCAACCCAAAATCATATTGCCCTGATGCAAGTTTGAAACTTATCCTGTGGAAGGATTCTTGTTCTTATAGTTTCATGAGCCACGAGTTTGTAAGTTAAAGGTATTAGTTTAGTCGGAAAAGGGGGTTATCGTGCACCCTCGGAAATCAATTTCTAATCAACGTTTCTAGGTCAGAAAAAATGCGTAGAAAACGATTTGATATGTTAAAAAATTCAAAAAATGTCCCACGTATTGTTTTTATGCAAATTAGTGCCGTCATTACCGAAAAATCTATTTGTAACTATATCTCAGCCAATATTGCAGATAACTGAACGAACCAGGTGTCTAAACCCATGTTTTCAAGGTCAGAGATCACAATAAAACTATTCTGGAAGTGACCACATGTGTCTGTGGCATAGGAATATGCAAATTAGTGCCGCAAATACCGGAAAGTCATGTTTTTGGCATATCTCGGCCAATATAGCACATAACTACACCAGTAAGGTGTCTAAACCCATGTTTTGAGGGTCAAGTATCATTAGACGACCATTCACGAAGTAACTATGTGTGTCTTTAGCATGAAAATATGTAAATTATAAAGTGTCGGTTTATCCGCTATTTGATTTTTAGCCAATATCTCGGCCAATATTGCACTTAACTACACAAGTAAGGTGTCTAAACCCATGTTTTGAGGGTCAGGTATCATTAGAAAACCATTCACGAAGTAACTATGTGTGTCTTTGGCAGGTAAATATGTAAATTCTAAAGTGTCAATTTATCAGAAATTTGATTTTTAGCCAATATCTCGGCCAATATTGCAGCTAATGTTGACAGAAGGGTTTTTGATAAGCAATAATGATCAAAGTTTATTTTAAGCCATCATATTCAAAATAAACTGTAATATTGGCTGAAATTGAATATAATTTGGCTGAACTTAAATCATTTTTTTGATAAACCGGCAATTTAGAATTTACATATTTTCATGCCAAAGACACACATAGTTACTTCGTGAATGGTCTTCTAATGATACCTGACCCTCAAAACATGGGTTTAGACACCTTACTTTCGTAGTTAAGTGCAATATTGGCCGAGATATTGGCTAAAAATCAAAGAGCGGATAAACCGACACTTTATTATTTACATATTTTCATGCCAAAGACACACATAGTTACTTCGTGAATGGTCTTCTAATGATACTTGACCCTCAAAACATGGGTTTAGACACCTTACTGGTGTAGTTATGTGCTATATTGGCTGAGATATGCCAAAAACATGATTTTCCGGTATTAGCGGCACTAATTTGCATATTCCTATGCCACAGACACATGTGGTCACTTCCAGAATAGTTTTATTGTGATCTCTGACCTTGAAAACATGGGTTTAGACACCTAGTTCGTTCAGTTATCTGCAATATTGGCTGAGATATAATTAAAAATAGATTTTTCGGTAATGGCGGCACTAATTTGCATAAAAACAATACGTGGGACATTTTTTGAATTTTTTAACATAGCAAATCGTTTTCGTCACATTTTTTCTGACCTAGAAACGTTGATTAGAAATTGATTTCCGAGGGTGCACGATACCCCCCTTTTCCGACTTAACTATATAGTCCATCATTTGTAATTTGTGCATTTTGTTCGTTTGAAGCAATAAAGGTGCTCAATTAAGATCTAAAGAAGGGTGCCGGACAACTAACCTGATGAAGTTTCATCTCAGCTTTAGCTGTATATTTTGAGAAAAGCAACATTCTAGGATCTCGATTTCAAATCAAAAGTTGCTGAATCATGTTTTGAATTGGGCCTGAATTCAGCGTCTGAGACATGTCTCACTGAGCTGTTTACAGCTACGCGATGTCAGGCACTGATCTGACGAATTATAGCAACCGTGCGTCGTGCCAATGCTTGCGCGCCCTTCGCCGAATAACAAAACGAACCACTAATTTGAATTTCCTACGGTGCTTCTTAAGAAGCACCGTTGGAAAGGCCTTCTTTTGTTGATTTCTTCAAAATGACAGCTTACCAAAAAGAATAATTTCACAGGGAGTTTAGTCCCCTTTATCTTTCAACCAAGTATGTTTTTCAGCAATAATTACACCAGTTACTTTTTGGATAGCTGCAAATGATGGACTCTGGCTTTAAAAAAAGAAGTGCAAAAATTGAAACTTGTCAGTGAATGAGAGACTGTTCAATCCCTCAAGCCCCAACCCTAGAGGAAGGGTCTGTAAAAAGTTGTTTTCGAGACATCTACAAGTGAATGACAACGTGGTTTTATACTGTACATGTGAAGTTTTGGAGGCTGACAGTCTTTTGTTTGTGTGTTACTTTTTGTCTTTTTTTTGTCTCTAGGATCGCTACGTCATCCCAAATAATGCCGAATTCAGTTCTTCTGGAGAGCTCATCTGGAAGGCCAAAGACCCAGCCCTCCCTGATAACCAGTTCAACCCCGACATCGGCTCCCAGGTCCATGGCGAGAACTACTTCGACCACGACACCAAGACACTCTGGGTCCTGGTCAGGGGTCCTGAGCCCGTAGAGATTCGCACCACCGCTGTTGTCATGGTTTCCTTTGGCGTCCCCGCCGTCTCCGTGGACGACTTTTACGAGAATGGAAACCTTGTGAATAATCTCGCGGCTCTGCTCAATTTGGACCCGTCGCAGATCCGCGTGGTGGAGGTTGTGAGAGAAGGCAGCCGTCGACGGCGACGTCTAGCCCAAGGCGAGTCCGGGGTGTCCCTGGAGATTGGACCTCAGCCGAGGCAGGAGATTGAGCCACCCGGTGAAGAGGTTTCCACAGAAGCCCCAACAACAGGTAGGTGTCAATTGACCACATGCATAAACAATAGATAGTTCTTTGCAGACAGTTCGTAGCTATGAGGGTGTGGGGGGCACACGCCCCCCCCCCCCCCATAAAAAAATTGTTGCCCCCCAGTCGCCCTCCCCCCCCCCCCCCCTCCCCACTGGAAATTTAGCAACTAGAGAAAATCACTGTACCTCAGCACTGATGAGATTGAATGCCCCCTCCCCCCCCCCACACTGAAACATCCATCCCCCCACTTGAACCCCCCCCCCCCCCCCAGGATGAGAACCCTGGCTCGTGGGGGGGGGGGGGGCACATTGCGCATGCACTGATTTGGGCAAAACTGTCTTTGTGTGGGCACCAGGTATACTGCAGAAATGTGTTTGTGTTCCTCCTAAATCTCTCTTTCTCTGTAACTGGGCTCCGGGGTACTTGTGCACAACGCCCATCTCAGTGCTCCACAAAGAGTTAAGCTCAGAGAAATAAGTTTCCAATGTCACGGTTGACTTTCTGCATATATTGTCATGGAGTCTGTGTTTATGAGAGGTATCACACAGACATGGGCATCGCCAGGATGGGACAGGGCCCCCCCCCCTAAAAAAACCAACAAACAAAAAAGGGAAGACAAAAAGGTGTGAAATCATATTTGCTATTAATTTAATACACTTTTAACAAAATGGGCGTCTGCAGGGGTGTCAATGGGGCTGGGGTGGGTAAATGTCCTCCACCCACCCTAGAAAAAATGATAAATTGAGAATATGCCAGAGAAAGTACAAGGATTGGGGGGGGGAATGAGCTTTGCCCCCCCCCCCCCCTTGAAAAAAATCCTGGTGATGCCCATGCACACAGACACATTAAGAAGCCTATTAATAAAAATCATCATTATTCTGTGATGAAATTCCAACTTCAAGCGTGTATTCAGAAAAAAAGGTGAACAACTTAAAGCTGTAGGCTTACCTGTACATTACATCAATTTTTCAAGGTGTTCATATTGGAGACTCGGAAAGAAGGGTGTGACATAAAAGTCACCCTGTCAGCTCTACAATTTGGGTTTTTTTTATCCCTCTTAGTTTCCCCAGGGTCAGAAATCTCCCTAGGATACGAGGACCTCCTGAAGGTGACTTCACAGCTGGCCAATTCCATGCAGGCAGGCGAGCTCTCTGATTACTTTGGTGTCCAGATCCTCGGTATGGCAATGATGGAGCCAGCTCCCAAGGCCGTTGACCCCACAGGAGGGGTGCGGGCTACCAACGAGACCGGAGGACCCCCTGAAGTTCCTCCAGGAACCAAACCGTAAGTGGCAAGTTGACTTGGAATCTTCATGGATGTTTTAGAAGAGTGACACTGTGCACAAGATTGTGGTCCCCAGATGACACTGGGTGTCTAAAACTATTCTATGAGAAGGTGTTGCTTCTGAAGGAACACATGGCCAGAGTATTTCCTCAATGTTTTTGGAAGCCAGGTGGGGCCGGGCTCTCCCTTGGCAAGCAATTGCCATTTGCTACCACAGTAGAAGTATCTGCATGGCTTCCAATACAACGTGGCTTCTGAAGAGGGTGGCAAAGAGTCTTAAATACAAACCAGCCTTAAATACAATCCATCGTAATTCACAGAAGAAAGTCTAACCTAAATCTCACACATCCAAAAAAGCACATAACATCATCTAAGGAGTGGTTGTTGCAGCCTAGTGCAGAATGACTAGCATTTGGTCACAAAAAGGCACTACCAACAGCAAGGTGGGGCGGCAATACAAGTAAAGTGTCTTGCCCAGGAACATGAGAACCATGATCACCATTGTACCTTCTTATGATGTCAAAACCATCTACTAGTATGTTGATTGCCAAAGTATACACAGATCTATTTCATAAAGCGATGTGGTTTTTTATTTTTATATTTCTTAGATATGACGAAGTGATGCGAGAGGAGGAGGAGGAAGAGAACTCCAAGGAAGGCGTAGAGATTGAGTACCGCACCCCAGACCACCTGGTGCTCCTCACCCAGCCAGGCGGGGCCTGGGAGGGCTGGGCATTCCACCAACAACCGTCAATCTATGTGGTGGATGCTTCGGTAAGCCATCTTTGCACAGTTGTATAGTCAAACCCATCACAGGTCCAGTCAAAGAGTAAAGCACAACTCCTTTGACAAGTCAAGTCACAGGTATCACGGGAAGAAAAACGGCAAAAGATTTTTTTTTCCAAGATTATTTGAATAGCCTGTGATTTGACTTGATTACTTGTGTTTGACTTGTGTAGTTGTGATGGACTAGGCTACAACTTTACAGACTCTTCCCCATTTGAGCACTACGCTGCTACTATCTGATATCGTGCCCTTTAGCCTAATAGGCTGTATTCACGAACCGGCCATATTAAATTGAAAGCGAGGTAAAATACTCATTTTGGAACTTGCGAGTAGAAATGAAAGTAATGAAATAAAGTTAATTGCAAATTAATACCAGTCTGCTCTGATGAATAGAGCTACTAAGCACACACTTTCAATTTCAGATAAGTTCCATATGTTAAGCACACCATTTCCATGGTAACTGTAAGCAGTTAGCGAAGCAATCACATTAACGTCTTAAAAAGTTTAGAATATTTTGGGACTTTTTATAAAAATTAAAACGACGTGCAGATCTTCAAGTGATCAAGTTATCAAATAATACCGACAGGGCAACTTGATACAGCAACTCGGATCTCCATCCAACCCATGGCAACTAACAGCCTCAGTCAGCCAATCAACACCCAACGCTGGCGCGGTCGAACTCGTCGGCAACGTGACCATCCCGTTTGACGGCAGCTGGGCCAACTTCACCGACCTCACCATCGCGGCAGCGGCGCAGGGAGTCGTCCTGGACTTCAAGATCACATTCCCAGGGTCCTCACCGCTGGTTGGCATCAGCTGTGATGCCTTTGATGTCATGGTCCTGCCATCTAAGATGATTCAGCTTCGTTTCTTGGCCGACTACGACGCGGTGGCCGCCGGAAAGGAGCAGAGCCTCATCGGTCACTTTGTGGACTACGTCATGGCAAAGTACGACGGCATCAAACTCAGTGCTGTCGTGATTGAGAGAGGTGAGTGCATTCCACAACAGTGTTGTATTTGAGTTTATAACACCTCACCCACAGATTCTGTGTCTTGATTGGCCGTCAGCGAGTCACATGGTACTCTCTATTTTTGCTATCTTTCAGTGCACGGCCAAAAGTACTATACCTGTAGCAACCAAAGTGCAATACCATTAACAACCAAAGTACTACACCCATGGCGCTGTATTTTTGTGCAAATGCATGCTGGTGTGCGCATTAAGCGTTGTGCGTAGCGGGTATTGTTCCCAAGAGAGCGCGCCACAGAGTTTGGTTCAAACATTTCTTGAAGGGGTGGTTTGGAAGAGAGAAATACATTTCCCAGCAATTGTTGTATCGAGATTGAAGTTTATTTTAACTGTGTTCAGATTTAAATAATTAAAAATATTAATACCAAGCAGAATCTGTGGGTGAAGTGTTATAAAACAAATATTGAATGCCTTATCTTGTGGTGAAGTAAAACTAGCCTCTCTCGGGTGTCCATGGAGCACTCCTATTTCGGAAGTTCATGGATCACCTCGGGAGGCTAGTTTTACTACACCAGTCGAAGCATTCCATATTTGTGTACCATCACAAGTCCCTTCAAGTCCACCACAAGTCCATCACAAGTCCCTCACAAGTCCCTCACAAGTCCCTCACAAGTCCCTCACAAGTCCATCACAAGTCCATCACAAGTCCCTCACAAGTCCATCACAAGTCCATCACAAGTCCATCACAAGTCCATCACAAGTCCATCACAAGTCCATCACAAGTCCATCACAAGTCCATCACAAGTCCATCACAAGTCCATCACAAGTCCAGTCACAAGTCCATCACAAGTCCATCACAAGTCCCTCACAAGTCCATCACAAGTCCATCACAAGTCCATCACATGTCCATCACAAGTCCATCACAAGTCCATCACAAGTCCATCACAAGTCCAGTCACAAGTCCATCACAAGTCCATCACAAGTCCATCACAAGTTCATCACAAGTCCATCACAAGTCCATCACAAGTCCAGTCACAAGTCCATCACAAGTCCATCACAAGTCCATCACAAGTCCAGTCACAAGTCCATCACAAGTCCATCACAAGTCCGTCAGTCTCAAGTCAAGTCACTAGCTATTCAAATGAACTGTGACAAAAGCATTCCTTTGTCATTGTGCATCCTAGCTGTTATTTGTGTGCAAGGACCCTTGAAAGACTTGACTACTTGTGTCCAAAAAGGAAAGGGGTTTGGACTTCATGAATTAATACTTAAGAGATTCACTGAAGTCTGGTTCGCACAACTAGCATAGAGGTATAGGCCTATGTGATATACATGAAAAAACTATTCAACTTGACCAGAGTATGGGTGCATGTCGGCAATGGAACTCATGTCCTTCAGCACTGCTTCTCTTTGTCGTACTTTGCCTTTGAGGGTTATATTGTGCAAAGAATCCTTGAAGGGAGTTGAATTTTTGTCAGAGTCCAGTTTAACATGCCTTCTCATTCACTTAGCTAGGAGTTAGTAGAACGCAGCCACCCTAGGTTCAAATCCAGCATTAACCACTTTACTTCTTATGAGCATTAATGCAAGTGTTTATGTTATACTTCCAGGATCCATCCTCATCTCTTGTGACATGAAGGGTGACGTGGATGCTGCCCTGAAGGCCATGTGGACAGATATTCTGGAAGGCAACTTCACCTTCGCCTTTGACGGCCAGACCTTAACAGCTGACAAGTACCTGCTCGTCAATGGAAACCCATATGGACCGATCGATGTAAGATTTTTTATCTGAAATTTCTGACCGGCTCATTTGCTGACCTGATGAGACTTAAAGATTTTTCAACTCCTGAAGTGGCACTGAATATGTGGTTGTATGCAATATCTACCATGAAACATGCAACATTGTCAACCTGGTCTGTGCGTGTTCCATGCTCAATCTTTGTAAACCATGAAGCCATGGGCAAGATCATGCATTGCAAATACAACTCCTTTTCGTGCGCGATGTGGCGCAGAATGCAGCTGTGCCGGTGCATTGTGAATTTAGGACTTTCAAATACTTACTCACTGGTAGTATTGCGCTTGCTTACATGAGTATTGTGAGCGTTCAACCAAAAAAAAAATGGTAAAAGGCACCGGATGTCATAGGAGTCCAAATTTCATGTGACACTGGAAAAAGTGTTTAAGACTAGCCAGCCAGTCTTTATCATCCGTTAAAGACTGGGCTCTTGACCAATAGGAATGGGTAAACTGTCTTAGGCATATATGAATATCATTTAATTGGAACAATACTTGCACTTGACCATTATTATTTCATAGTTATGACAATTTTGTCCTGTTTTCTCTCTTTTCTTGTTTCTGATAAAGAAGGTCCCTGATGAAGGGCTGCCGGGGTGGGCCATTGCACTGATCGTCATTTTCTCTGTTGCCATAGTTGCCATCCTTGTTCTCCTTGCCTACAAGCTCTTTTATAAGAAAGGTGAGACTTCAGTTTACAGGAAAGATTTAATTATCTGGGATTCGTAGAGTGCTTTTAACAATGATCGAAGTCCATTATATTATATTTGATGGTCATTTGGCCTGTAATATATTCCATATCTCAGCTCCCGGGGAGTATGCAGCTTAATACTGCCATTTTGGTACAAAGAGTGTTTATACAACGCCTGAATAAGTGTTCTTTCAGCAAAACGAAAACAATTCACATAGGGATGTGTGTAAATTGTTTTTGTTTTGCTGAAAGAACGCACACCTTTTGTGTGATCCGTGGACAAAACTTTAAAATGGCGGTTGTGTTTAAAATTCCATAACTTGAAAAGTACTTGAGTGATTTGAAAGATTCTTGTACTAAAAGAAAGCTTATGAATTGGGCTTTCATATCCTAGATTTTGAAAGTGCTACATGCAGAACTTCACTTAAACAATGGTCCCGACATTTGGGTTTCGTCTTTTTTGACTCGCCCTGTATTTCAATATTACACACATGATAACTTTCATGGGCCTATTTTTGTGTGGTTTCTTATTTTAAAAGGCTTATCTTATGCTTATATATATTTTTTTAAATAGTAATTTAATCTCGATGTGAAACTTGATACAAATGTCTGAAAACACTTCACAGTTTAATATTACCTCTGTTGATCGGGCCGTGAGACCAAAATTCTAAAGCAGCTCAAGATGTGGTCTCTACCCTCACATCATGTACCAAAAGTGTACTTTGGGTGGAGGGATGCAATTGTTAGTCAAGTGTCTTGCCCAAGAACAAAAACACTCTTGTTTAATCTCACATGATTCAGGCACCGTAACCATTGGACCACCGTACTCCACAATTCATTTTGAAAATTTAGTTTCAGGGTGTCATAAAAAAAAAACCCAGAAAATATGAACTTACTTAAAAATTTTCCTTGTATCGCTTTAGGGAAGACGTTTGAAGTGTCGGATGAAATACAGCTGACAGAGTCTGGAGCTCGACTCCGCAGTTTCTCGGGCTCGCGCAAGGTCCCAACGATGGTGATTGAGGGAAGTGATGCAGATTCCGAAGAAGATGTACAGTACGTATCTACTTGGTCGATTACCAAAATTTCGGTCTCAGGAGCAACTCCAACATGAGATGGAAATAAGGTTTTAGCTTGAATCAAGTTTACTAGGGTTATTTATCAGTCATCAGAAGTTGCTCTTAAAATTTTCTGGAGACTGTGTGGTATTACAAAATGCAGAAGTTTATCTCAATCTGTACTGTGGATGCAGGCACTCTTTTTCCGAAAATGACAATGCCAGAACTTTATTACATACCCTGTTCACTTAATTTTCTTCAAAACGGTGTGTTTGACAAGTACCTGGGAGAAGTAAAGTGTCTCAATGAAAACAAAAATCCTCCAGTGACGCCATTGGCCGATGTGCTGGAAGTGTTTACAAAGTCAGAGCAAGTTGTCGCTCATGTATTTGTATAATAATAATGCATATTTATAAAGCCCACGTATCCACCATCATTGGTGCTCAAGCGCTGCATCATTATTACCCCTCCATATTGGGCCAATGAAACATTCCAAATACCATCTCAGCTCCCTGGGAAGTATACAGCTCGATGCAGCCATTTTGGCACAAAGAAGCTAGATTCAATTGCAATAACCATTTCTGCCCTCACAGGTACCCATTTACTCCTGGGTGGAGAGAAGCAATGAGTGACAAAGTGCCTTGCCCAAGGGCACACACACCATAACCGCAGACTGGACTTGAACCCACAACCTGCAGAATTACCCGCAGACCACGAATCCAATGCTCTAGACCACGAGGCCACGGCACTCCATTTCCTAAAACTCAAATTGCTTGATTAATGGAGTACCGAAAGCGAATACGTCACGCGCACACAATGTGTGTGAAAGACATTAGCGCGTGACTCAGCCCGTGAACCAACACGCGCGCGTACTCCATTCGTTTGCACAGCACTTTTTGGTTGTAAATGACGTCACACTTAAATACTCCATTTGAATGAGTAATTACTGAAGACAGGTTTCAAGAATTAAGAACAACATTGTTTTACGTTTTCATTTCTTTTTTGGAGCTGGCCTGAACCCATAAGCACCTGTTCACAATTTTATTCAATTGTACTTATTCCTTGATGCATCCATGAAGCCATACATTGCTGGAGTGGTTTTGGCAGCACAGGGAGTAACAGGCAGGGCGGTTCGGGGCAGTGAAGGGACTAATGTTTGCATCAACATATTTTCCTGCATGCAATTCAAAAGGTCCTTCCTTAAAACTGATTTATCTTTGTATCCTTCCTAGATTCAACAGTCTGAGTGCCTTAAGGAGCCACGCTAACTCCCCTAGACGAACACCTGAGATCCAGACCACCGCTCTGCCACCGGGCTTCACCGAGTCTACAGGCCAGGAGGAACAAGGTAGGTTTGTCAGAAGTACTTCGATCAGGGTTCATCCTTAACGCTAGCCCGCTAGCGAAATGCGAGTCAAAACAGCGACGGGCTTGTCAAAACCATACTCTAAGTAGCTCGTCAGGTGAGTCAAAATTATTGAGATAAGGTATGAAACTTTTCCGCGTAGCACAGATTTCCGCAGCTTTGTTTAAAGCCTGTCTAAGAAAAGAAATAATCTGATACTGTCATGCATTCATTTTTTTTCCCATACTGTTGCACTGCCGGAAATTGCGCCGAAATCGCAAGCGTATAATATAAATTAAAGGAAGAACATGAACTGCCTTTTTGTGTAGGTACATAAAAGTATAAAAAAATACAGGACACAGACGCCAGTATACCCGTCTGGCCTTATGAATGAGCTTGTAGCCATAGCGCCCTCTATTTTGTTCTGGCAATTGGCTTGAGAGCATTGGGATACTGGCAGTACTGCATGTACGGCGCTCGTTGAAAAACCATGGCCTACGTAGTGTTATCTGGTCGATTTTACATCGTAGAAATGACATGAAATCATCGGTGGAGAAAAAGATTTCTGCGACTTAATTCACATAACCTAATTTGACCTGTCTTTTCTGAGTCTGCATTTTCCGATTTTGAGTATTTATTTTAAGGTCTTCATGCTGGTACTTGCGCCGATAATACATGCTAGTTAAGTGTCTGATTCACTAGTCTAGCTGACTAGTGACAAAAAAAGTTAAGAGCGAACCCTGCTTTGATAGCCTTAGTCTAAGAATCAGGTATGATTTTGTTCCCCTTATCACTAATGCAGCTGGTCACTGACATGTGTAACTTGTTTGAATCGATCATTAGCACTCGAGGAGCGCACCGAGATGTTTGTGATGGTCAAGAACCAAGATGACACCTTCCAGAAACTGTGCGTGGTCCAAGCTAACAAGGTGGGCAAGCTCCGTGACTTGCGTGCAGACGTGGAGAGTGCCCTCCCTGGCAAGCTGCAGGGGAAACCATTCATCCTGACTGACGAATCCCTGGAAGACATCAGTTCGGCTCAGGAAGAGAAGTTGTCACTGACTGAGGTGTATCACTCGGACTGCGTCATGATCCGATGGGTGGAAGAAAGCGGTGAGTGTACAGGCTTGTAATGTTCCCTGACCTGAGATTGGGGGGGGGGGGAGTAGGCAGTGTTTTAGTTGAGACCTGGAAGACCGAGACTGCCATCTCTGAGACTCGCAATTAGACCCAAGACCTGAAGGTCCCAGAGTAAAAATCCTAAACCAACACCTGAAGGTCTGAGACTTATACCTAGCTAAACCAAGACCTAAAGGTCCCAGACTAAGTCTTGAACCTGAACTTAGGTCCAAGACTAAGACTTAGAACAAGACCTGGAGTAGGTCCTAGAGTGAAAAACCTAAACCAGCACCTGAAGGTCTGAGACTAGGACCTACCCAAAGCAAGACTTGAAGGTCCCAGACTAAGACTTAGACCTGAAGGTCCCAGACTAAGACTTAGACCTGAAGGTCCAAGACTTAGACCTAGAACAAGACCTGAATTAGGTCCTAGAGTAAAAAACCTTAACCAACACCGGAAGGTCTGAGACTAAGACCTAGACCAAGACCTAAAGGCCCAAAAGTAAGACATACTAGACCAAGACAAGAACTTGAGGTATAAGACCAAGATCGAACCATGCAGGTCAAGCAAAACTGATCTTGTAACTGATATTGCTTATGAGACGCTCAGCACTGGCCAAAGTAATATCTTTTGTTGATATGAAATGCCATACCATCAACAATGAGACTTTATTTTTGCTTAACTATAATGTATCGCAGGTGAATCCAAGCTGTGCGTGTGCGGCCTGGTCGGTCAATTTGAGTGCTCCCTGTGCCACCAGCAAACGTACTGCAGCCCCAATTGTCAGTCTGATGACTGGGTCAACCACAGCATGTGGTGCTCAAACACCGTCGTAAAAACCGGTGGCCGTGACGACATTTAAAGAGGATTTCGGACCAGTGGTTTGTGTTGGCTAACAGTGCCAGCTCTACTGTTATGTTGGGCAAATCAACAAATCTCATGTTTTGAAGGATAGTTAGTGACAGTACATGCATCTTTGATACCAAAAAAAAATGAACTAGGTCATACTCATGAAAAAAAGTCTTGAATGTGTGCAACGTGAAGGGGTTCAAATTTTGGCTTTATTGATGGCTTCAGAATAATTAGGACAGAAAAATTGTGATTCAGGCCCCAAGGTTCGGGATCTTAAAATTCCTTGAAGTTGAGGCCAGAGAACTTGTTTTCAATGGACATTATTGGCTCTGGATGGGGACAGTACTTTAGGGCATACTAATAGTAACTACTTTATAGGCTACATGCATCTCCATATATACCGACTGGATATAAAAATATAGCTAGCTGAACATTTTACACTAGATTCAGCAAACAAAATGAGACTCAGTGTAACTTCACGTGTTTGTGCTCAGTGTGTGCTGTATCTAGCCTCTCTAGATGTGTTATTTTCTTCAGGCGGAATAATTTCACAAGGTTTTTGGTACCATCCTATCTTCACTTTTAGCAAGATTTCTCTCATAGATCAGTAGGTCCATTTTCTGCAAAATTGGCAATGCTCCTACGTGCCTTTCATATAATACAGGTATAGAGTATAGCCATGTACATCTGTATTGTTCTGTATTTGATCTACTGCTCCGCAGCCGATCGATGGTGATGACGATGATTTGATCTACTGAATATGGATGTACACTCTCACAAGAATAAATTTGCGTAGGTGGTATCTTGAACTAGCACAGGGCAGAATTGTGGTAAAGTCAACCCAGTTAGTAAAGTCACAAGCATAGTAACAGTGAATTGGCAATGCCAAATGAATGCTGTCTGTCACTCTTGATTTGAATAGCTTATGACTTGACGTGGGAATGGATGCCTTGTAATGGACTGGTGAGAACTTGTATAGTCAGCTGAATCTCTGACACTTGACATTTTCAAAATCACACTTTAGTAAGTTACTAGAGGTACCATTTTATCATCTGATGCATTCGAATGTAGAGAAGGTGCTTCTTGCTTCATATTCGTATTGAGCTTTATCTTCAAGTAAACTTGAATCCCCGATACTGATTGGTTGATCCATGGCAACAAGCCATGCTACATATGTAGCACAGCCACGGTCCATACTGCACTCCGCGTATTGCGCTATTCAAAGATGCGCGCGCCAATCCGTACAACGCCAAAAATGTTGTGTGTAGCGTGCATGTACCATCTTTACTGCGTGTCAAGTTTGCTTGAAGATAAATTCATTGTCCCACTTGCGCTCATGGAACATGGAAAATATAGTGTGTCTGCATCCCACATTCGGCCTCGTGGCATGTGGGACACAGACACACCACATTATTTCGTGTTCCACTCGCACTCGCGAGATATAACTGATAGTATCTGGATAAACATTTGTTCTTTTAGTTCTAGGGCGGTCATATAGTTGCTGTGTGTGTTTTTCCACTTAGATTTTTGTTAGCTGTTTGGAATTGATCATTTCCTAAAACCAATAATTTCAATTCTATCCTGTAGAACATACAGTGGAATGCCAACATTTACACTCCCTCATCTCAAAGTAGAAGTGTGCAGGCCTGATCTCTTTTTTGTTTTTTTGTTTTGTTTTTTTGAGGGATGAATATGCACTGATTGTTAGAGCCTTGTATGATAGTTTGGTAGTACTGAACTTCAGCAACGGAAATATATTACAGTGGAATGCTGCTACAGCGAACATCGCAGGATCCTCAGAAATTGTTTCAGTATAGCGATTTAAAGTTGCCAGTGCTCCGGTTTTCAGTAAAATAGTGGCCAGAACTTCACCCTACACACCCGCCGGCCCTGGACGACTTTGAACACAAGGCGACTATTGAATCATGTAATTACCTACAGCAATGGGTTGCTTTCTCCTTCTATTCCTCGGGGAAATAATAGCCACTTGTCACTCGCCTGTTGACATTTTTCAACAACAATGTTTGGTACGTTTTGTAAACAAAAATCAGGAGCCAAGGACAGTGTTCGGTATAGCCTAATATTCGGTATAGTGGTGTTCGGTATAGCGAAATTCCACTGTAATAACTGATTATTGACATTAAGTAAACTGTTGCTATTCCTTTATATTCTGGAGTATTTTACACAAACTCATTAAACAAATGCAGCTGCAGAAAATATTCAAACAAATTTTATCTTTTGCATGCAAATGCAGTAATGACATTGTGCCGATCATTTTTTTAAAGCCTTTTTCAAATTTGATTTGATATAAAATTTTGGCAGTAGAGTGTGTGCTTATTAAAAAAAGGTCCTTTTTGTGTGTGCTTGACATCTGAAACAGACAATCTGTTTTCACTTTTCTTTGTTAGTGATTCTTGCCTGTAAAATCATACTTTCTGTTAAACCTTATCATTTTTATTTAAGATTGCAAGGGTTAACCTTATCTATTTATTAAAAACTAAGAAGGTTAACCTTGCACCTTTTTTTTGAACATTGCAAGGGGTTAACCTTACCTTGTAAAATTGTCAAATTGCAAAGGGTTGATCTTACATTTTGTATTACAAATTACAAGGGGTTAACCTTACGATTTTATTAAATTACATAAAAAGTCAAATTTTACCCATTTACCTTGTAAAATTGTCAGATTGCAAGGGGTTGATCTTATCTTTTGTGTTACAAATTACAAGGGGTAAACCTTACACTTTTGTTACATTCCATAAAAAGTAAAATTTTGCCAAATTTTGATAAAAATGCAAGGCTAACCCCTTACATTTGTTAATTTCCCAAAAACGTCAAATTTTGCCAAATTATGATACAAATGCAAGGCTAACCCCTTACATTTGTTAATTTCTAGAAAAAGTCAAAATTTGCCAAATTTTGATAAAAATGCAAGGCTAACCCCTTACATTTGTTAATTTCCCAAAAACGTCGAATTTTATCAAATTTTGATGAAAATGCAAGGCTAAACCCTTACATTTGTTAAGTTCCAAAAAACGTCAAATTTTGCCAAATTTTGATGAAAATGCAAGGCTTAACCCTTACATTTGTTAATTTCCCAAAAACGTCGAATTTTATCACATTTTGATGAAAATGCAAGGCTAACCCCTTACATTTGTTAATTTCCCAAAAACGTCAAATTTTATCACATTTTGATGAAAATGCAAGGCTAACCCCTTACATTTGTTAATTTCTAGAAAAAGTCAAATTTTGCCAAATTTTGATGAAAATGCAAGGTTAAACCCTTACATTTGTTAATTTCCCAAAAACGTCGAATTTTATCACATTTTGATGAAAATGCAAGGCTAACCCCTTACATTTGTTAATTTCCCAAAAACGTCGAATTTTATCACATTTTGATGAAAATGCAAGGCTAACCCCTTACATTAGTTAATTTCTAGAAAAAGTCCAATTTTGTCAAATTTTGATAAAAATGCAAGGCTAACCCCTTACATTTGTTAATTTCCCAAAAACGTCGAATTTTATCAACTTTTGATGAAAATGCAAGGCTAACCCCTTACATTTGTTAATTTCTAGAAAAAGTCAAATTTTGCCAAATTTTGATGAAAATGCAAGGCTAACCTCTTACATTTGTTAATTTCCCAAAAACGTCGAATTTTATCACATTTTGATGAAAATGCAAGGCTAACCCCTTACATTCGTTAATTTCTAGAAAAAGTCAAATTCTGCCAAATTTTGATAAAAATGCAAGGCTAACCCTTTACATTTGTTAATTTCTAGAAAAAGTCAAATTTCATCAAATTTTGATGAAAATGCAAGGCTTACCCCTTACATTTGTTAATTTCCCAAAAACGTCGAATTTTATCAATTTTTGATGAAAATGCAAGGCTAACCCCTTAAATTTGTTAATTTCTAGAAAAAGTCAAAATTTGCCAAATTTTGATAAAAATGCAAGGCTAACCCCTTACATTTGTTAATTTCCCAAAAACATCAAATTTTGCCAAATTTTGATGAAAATGCAAGGCTAAACCCTTACATTTGTTAATTTCCCAAAAACGTCGAATTTTATCACATTTTGATGAAAATGCAAGGCTAACCCCTTACATTTGTTAATTTCCCAAAAAATTCGAATTTTATCAAATTTTGATGAAAATGCAAGGCTAACCCCTTACATTTGTTAATTTCTAGAAAAAGTCAAATTTTGCCAAATTTTGATGAAAATGCAAGGCTAACCCCTTTCATTTGTTAATTTCCCAAAAACGTCGAATTTTATCACATTTTGATGAAAATGCAAGGCTTACCCCTTACATTTGTTAATTTCTAGAAAAAGTCAAATTTTATCAAATTTTGATGAAAATGCAAGGTTAAACCCTTACATTTGTGAATTTCTAGAAAAATTCGAATTTTATCACATTTTGATGAAAATGCAAGGCTAACCCCTTACATTTGTTAATTTCCCAAAAACGTCGAATTTTATCACATTTTGATGAAAATGCAAGGCTAACCCCTTACATTTGTTAATTTCCCAAAAACGTCAAATTTTATCACATTTTGATGAAAATGCAAGGCTAACCCCTTACATTTGTTAATTTCTAGAAAAAGTAAAATTTTGCCAAATTTTGATGAAAATGCAAGGTTAAACCCTTACATTTGTTAATTTCCCAAAAACGTCGAATTTTATCACATTTTGATGAAAATGCAAGGCTTACCCCTTACATTTGTTAATTTCTAGAAAAAGTCAAATTTTGCCAAATTTTGATGAAAATGCAAGGCTAACCCCTTACATTTGTTAATTTCCCAAAAACGTCAAATTTTGAAATAAATGCAAGGCTAACCCCTTACATTAGTTAATTTCTAGAAAAAGTCCAATTTTGTCAAATTTTGATAAAAATGCAAGGCTAACCCCTTACATTTGTTAATTTCCCAAAAACGTCGAATTTTATCAACTTTTGATGAAAATGCAAGGCTAACCCCTTACATTTGTTAATTTCTAGAAAAAGTCAAATTTTGCCAAATTTTGATGAAAATGCAAGGCTAACCCCTTACATTTGTTAATTTCCCAAAAACGTCGAATTTTATCACATTTTGATGAAAATGCAAGGCTAACCCCTTACATTTGTTAATTTCCCAAAAAATTCGAATTTTATCAAATTTTGATGAAAATGCAAGGCTAACCCCTTACATTTGTTAATTTCTAGAAAAAGTCAAATTTTGCCAAATTTTGATGAAAATGCAAGGCTAACCCCTTTCATTTGTTAATTTCCCCAAAACGTCGAATTTTATCACATTTTGATGAAAATGCAAGGCTAACCCCTTACATTTGTTAATTTCCCAAAAACGTCGAATTTTATCAAATTTTGATGAAAATGCAAGGCCTTACCCCTTACATTTGTTAATTTCTAGAAAAAGTCAAATTTTGCCAAATTTTGATGAAAATGCAAGGCTAACCCCTTACATTTGTTAAATTCCCAAAAACGTCAAATTTTATTACATTTTGATGAAAATGCAAGGCTAACCCCTTACATTTGTTAATTTCCCAAAAACATCAAATTTTGCCAAATTTTGATGAAAATGCAAGGCTAAACCCTTACATTTGTTAATTTCCCAAAAACGTCGAATTTTATCACATTTTGATGAAAATGCAAGGCTAACCCCTTACATTTGTTAATTTCTAGAAAAAGTCAAATTTTGCCAAATTTTGATGAAAATGCAAGGCTAACCCCTTTCATTTGTTAATTTCCCAAAAACGTCGAATTTTATCACATTTTGATGAAAATGCAAGGCTAACCCCTTACATTTGTTAATTTCCCAAAAAATTCGAATTTTATCAAATTTTGATGAAAATGCAAGGCTAACCCCTTACATTTGTTAATTTCTAGAAAAAGTCAAATTTTGCCAAATTTTGATGAAAATGCAAGGCTAACCCCTTTCATTTGTTAATTTCCCAAAAACGTCGAATTTTATCACATTTTGATGAAAATGCAAGGCTAACCCCTTACATTTGTTAATTTCCCAAAAACGTCGAATTTTATCGAATTTTGATGAAAATGCAAGGCTAACCCCTTACATTTGTTAATTTCCCAAAAACGTTGAATTTTATCAAATTTTGATGAAAATGCAAGGCTAACCCCTTACATTTGTTAATTTCCCAAAAACGTCGAATTTTATCAAATTTTGATGAAAATGCAAGGCTAACCCCCTTACATTTGTTAATTTCCCCAAAACGTCAAATTTTATCAAATTTTGATGAAAATGCAAGGCTAACCCCTTACATTTGTTAATTTCCCAAAAACGTCAAATTTTATCAAATTTTTATTAAAATGCAAGGCTAACCCCTTACATTTGTTAATTTCCCAAAAACGTCGAATTTTATCAAATTTAGATAAAAATTCAAGGCTAACCCCTTACATTTGTTAATTTCTAGAAAAAGTCAAATTCTGCCAAATTTTGATAAAAATGCAAGGCTAACCCCTTACATTTGTTAATTTCTAGAAAAAGTCAAATTTTATCAAATTTTGCTGAAAATGCAAGGTTAACCCCTTACATTTGTTAATTTCCCAAAAACGTCGAATTTTATCACATTTTGATGAAAATGCAAGGCTAACCCCTTACATTTGTAAATTTCCCAAAAAAGTCGAATTTTATCACATTTTGATGAAAATGCAAGGCTTACCCCTTACATTTGTTAATTTCTAGAAAAAGTCAAATTTTGCCAAATTTTGATGAAAATGCAAGGCTAACCCTTACATTTGTTAATTTCCCAAAAATGTCAAATTTTATCAAATTTTGATAAAAATTCAAGGCTAACCCCTTACATTTGTTAATTTCTAGAAAAAGTCAAATTCTGCCAAATTTTGATAAAAATGCAAGGCTAACCCCTTACATTTGTTAATTTCTAGAAAAAGTCAAATTTTATCAAATTTTGATGAAAATGCAAGGTTAAACCCTTACATTTGTTAATTTCCCAAAAAAATTCGAATTTTATCAAATTTTTATGAAAATGCTAGGCTAACCCCTTACATTTGTTAATTTCCCAAAAACGTCGAATTTTATCACATTTTGATGAAAATGCAAGGCTAACCCCTTACATTTGTTAATTTCCCAAAAACGTCGAATTTTATCACATTTTGATGAAAATGCAAGGCTAACCCCTTACATTTGTTAATTTCCCAAAAACGTCGAATTTTATCAAATTTTGATGAAAATGCAAGGCTAACCCCTTACATTTGTTAATTTCCCAAAAACGTCGAATTTTATCAAATTTTGATAAAAATTCAAGGCTAACCCCTTACATTTGTTAATTGCTAGAAAAAGTCAAATTCTGCAAAATTTTGATAAAAATGCAAGGCTTACCCCTTACATTTGTTAATTTCTAGAAAAAGTCAAAATTTGCCAAATTTTGATAAAAATGCAAGGCTAACCCCTTACATTTGTTAATTTCCCAAAAACGTCGAATTTTATCAAATTTTGATGAAAATTCAAGGCTTACCCCTTACATTTGATGATTTCCTGAAAACGTCAAATTTTATCACATATTGATGAAAATGCAAGGTTAACCCCTTACATTTGTTTATTTCCCAAAAATTCGAATTTTATCAAATTTTTATGAAAATGCAAGGCTAACCCCTTACATTTGTTAATTTCTAGAAAAAGTCAAATTTTGCCAAATTTTGATGAAAATGCAAGGCTAACCCCTTACATTTGTTAATTTCCCAAAAACGTCGAATTTTATCACATTTTGATGAAAATGCAAGGCTAACCCCTTACATTTGTTAATTTCCCAAAAACGTCAAATTTTATCGAATTTTGATGAAAATGCAAGGCTAACCCCTTACATTTGTTAATTTCCCAAAAACGTTGAATTTTATCAAATTTTGATGAAAATGCAAGGCTAACACCTTACATAGGTTAATTTCCCAAAAACATTGAATTTTATCAAATTTTGATGAAAATGCAAGGCGTTAACCCCTGACATTTGTTAATTTCTAAAAAAAGTCAAATTTTGATAAAAATGCAAGGCTAACCCCTTACATTGTTAATTTCCCAAAAACGTCAAATTTAATCAATTTTTGTTGAAAATGCAAGGCTAACCCCTTACATTTGTTAATTTCCCAAAAACGTCAAATTTTATCCAATTTTTAATAAAAATGCAAGGCTAACCCCTTACATTTGTTCATTTCCATAAAAAGTCTAATTTTGCCAAATTTTTATAAAAATGCAAGGCTAACCCCTTACATTTGAAATTTCTTGGGTAAAAATTGGGTAAAATTAAACTTTTTCTAAAAATTACAAAATTTAAGGGGTTAACCTGGCATTTTTATCAAAATTGGGTAAAATTCGACATTTTCTAGAAATTACAAAATGTAAGGAGTTAGCCTTGCATTTGTATCAAAATTTGGCAAAATTCGAATTTTTCTACAAATAAACAAATGTTAGAGGTAGCCTTGCATTTGTATCAAAATTCGGCAAAATTCGACCTTTTCTAGAAATTACAAAACGTACGGGGTTAACCTTGCATTTGTATCAAAATTTGGCAAAATTTGACTTTTTCTAGAAATTACAAAATGTAAGGGGTTTAGTTGCACTTTTATCGAAATTGGGTAAAATTTGACTTTTATGAAAACGACAAAATGTTAGGGGTTGTTGGCCTTGCATTTTTATCAAAATTAGGCAAAATTCAACTTTTTCATCAGTTCCGCTAAACAAGAGTAACTACCGAACAAACTTCTCGGATCTTGATATAAATTAACACATGAAACAAGAAGGTAGCTTTAGAACACTTTGCCTTATTCAGTTTAATTATCACACATCAATCTCTTACTGCAAGGCCAACACACGACAAATCATGCTGTTTGTGCCATGTACAGTATAACAACCAATAAATTAAGTGGGTTTTTCATTTCGATTATGCTACACTTGATTATTTACAATATAAAACACAAATTATTAACATCAGTTATTTGGGTGATTTAAAAAACGATTACTGTGTATTTTCCGTAGTCTGTGTCACTGAAAATCCGTCGAATTCCCACTAAGCTTCAGACTGGAAAATGAGACGAAATTACCACTTTTCTTGAAAATGTTGCCAGTGTCGGACAAACATTCAAAAATCTTTTCACTTGCTCATATCAGATGTACACCAAAAATCTTCATTTTTGGGGCTCAACCTTCTATCAACTCCATGATGTTTTTCAAAAGCATACTTGGCAAAACAAATTGTGAAAGTTAGAGTTTTATATTAATGGAACAAGTTGTTGACTTTAAAACAAAATGAAATCAGTGCGGTGTAACTCTTGATAAACTGCAGGCTTACCTGCCGGACATGAGATCGAGACCAAGTGTGGTCGGCATGCATTTCATGCAGCTCAGTCGCGTGCGTGCAGGTTCTACACGCGAGTGTGCAAGGCGCATTGTATATGAGGTTTGAGATTGTACATGCATTTTTGAAAATTAGACACGTGGCTGTTCTCGACCAATGAAATTACAGTATCCAAGCACAAGATATAACAATACACGGTAATGCTGATGCCAATAGATCATATTACCTCAGTGTGATGACATACCAAACGGGCAACCAACGGGCAACCAACGGGCAACCAACGGGCAACCCAAATATGTAAGCATCCTTACCATGTTATTTTGCCCACATTAAGCAGTTTACGTCGCCAAGTTTACACCAATCACATAAACCCAATGAATGAATACAAACAAGCTGCCGAGAACAATGGAATGTGACTGGCCGAGTATTCACAGACCAGATATCAATGGAGTCAAAATGTCACCACCCATAACCAATGTGAATTAAACATAGCACCAAATTGCACACAATACAGACACCAGATCATCAATGAACACACTGCGACTCCTTCCCTCAAAATCTGAACTCCACATTTTAGCCACCGATGAAATTACAATTTTCAAATTACAATTTTCAAATTGTAACCAATTGTCTACGTGCTTTGTATCATGTGACTAGCAATTCAGTCACCAAATCAAAAAAGAATTTTTGGTCACATCCATACACCGCCAGAATTGTATGTTGTTTCTTTATCTTCTGAAGAAATAACAGAACATTGTTCCACACAAACTACACACTACCACAATAATAGACACCTCGTTCACAATGAACAATCAACATGTCAAAATAACAGACTACCCAAATTTGTTGTTTAAAAAAAATTTGCTTGAATGAAAAATACAATCACATTTGAATGAGGTCTTGTTCAAGTTGGTAGTTGAATTACTTTGTGGTTGCATAGAATAGTTGTTGCTTTTGCTTCTTTGTGTCCACAAACTAAAAGAAATAAGGGTAAAAAGAATAGTCAACGGATGACGGGTCGTCTGGGGTCCGGTGCGGGTCATCTGGGGTCCAGTGCAGGTCATATGGGGTGACAAGTCATCTGGGGTGACAGATTGTCTAAGGTGACAGGCCATCTGGGGTGACGGGCCATCTGGGGTGACGGGTCATCTGGGGTGACGGGTCATCTGGGGTGACGGGTCATCTGAGGTGACGGGTCATCTAAGGTGACGGGTCATCTGGGGTGACGGGTCATCTGAGGTGACGGGTCATCTGGGGTGACAGGTCATCTGGGTTGACGGGTCATCCGGGTGACAGGTCATCCGGGGTGACAGGTCAACAGGGGTGACGGGTCATCCAGTGTGACGGTCATCCGGGTGACGATCATCATGAGGTCATTAACAGTGGTGATCTAGAATCCGTCCAAAGTCAAGCAAAGCGATGGCGGGAATACTGCTGAAATGTTATGGCGTGAGTTAAAGCAAAAGTTGACAACAGTTCGGATGGACTGTTGCTCACGGGGTCAAGGGTCATTTCTCGGGCGCATCTGGCTTGACGATCTGAAATGTGAGGAGGTACTCTGGATACGCCTGCCAAAACATCAAATTGTCAAACACATCAAGATCATCAACTACATTATGAAAATCATCCATATTTCCATAATAAAATAAAATTCAGATGTGGCCTTTTTACGAAGTGAATGAATTTTAAATTGCGCCCGAAATTAGTATCCGGGCCGATAGCAGCTATGTGAAGTCAGGCACTGAACTGATGAATAATAGCAACCGGGCGCGTATGCAAACGTGTCATTCACTTGCGTACTGCTATTCACTGATTCGCCCAATTACAAACCAACTACTGACGGAAATTTCCAAAAATGCGTCACTTGACTCATCTTTGGAAATGACCTTCTTTTACTGTTTTCTTCAAAATGACAGCATGCCTGAAGGAATAATTTCACAGGGAGTTTAGTGCCATTACTATCTTTAAACCAAGTAAGCTTTTTACAATAATTTGGTCAGTTACTTTTTGGATAGCTGCAAATGATCTACTCTACCTTTAAGCTTCAAAAGATTTTTAAAATTAAATTTCCTTACCTGCTCGCCCCGGTATATGACATACTCTGAGTAAGCTAGACCACCAGAACTGGGTCTTCCAATGACGGAGTGATGACCAGGAGGGGCATGGGCCATCTTCATTGCACTGAACTGTAGGAACGCTTTGCCTAATGTCACTCGACAGTAAACAATTTGCCTGGAGAAACAAAAAACGTCGTCTGATTTTTTATTTGAATTCTTTCTGAAAATGAAACTACAAGTTCTTCAAAAGTAGAGAAGAATGCACTCTAGCTGGGAAGCCTGAAGCAGAGATGCCACAGGTCTGCTTGAAAAAAAAACGGAACTTGGTCTGCTTGAAAAAAACAGAACAGCTGCTTGAAAAAAAAAACGAAACTTTTTTGTGTGTGAAAAAGCCACTCCGAGTCTGACACAAAGTCCCTGTTGTCATCTTTATCTTGTAGTAGCCAAGCCCAGTTCCGTTTATTTTTTAATTTTGCTTCTATGGCCTTTAAGCTGTCAGTTCGTTCAACCACTTTGACTTTTTCCATATTCCTAATATTTATTCTGCCTTCCCGAATTTCCAACGTAATTTTTGACACGAAACGTGCACGATTCCACAACACTGCACTGCTGTCGGAACACACTACCTTTGCACTACACAATGCGCTCGACGAAAACATGGTTGGTGCCCAGCGTTTTTTGTGTTCACATATATATCACTGCCATCGGAAACCACCAATAACTGAAATGCCAGACTTGATTTCCAGGCTGAATGCTGTGTGTGCTTAGCGCACAACACGCCCGCACAAAAAACAGTATTCTGGTTGAAACCAAAAAAGTGGCATCTCTGCTGAAGAAACCTAGAAGAGGGAAGGCGAAAAACAAATGTTCAGGTGTAGAGCCGGATGGAAATAGAATAACTGCACCACTCACCTATGGCAGATATAGCAGGACCGGTCTTTGTGGGCGGGGCATCCTGTACCTCCTCCTATCCCGTAAACGTACTGGTTGCTCTTAGAGGAGTCTTCAGCGAAGTAGATGCCGGCACCAAACATGCCCCCGATGTAGGCGTGGCGCTCGTCAAAACCTTTGTTGACAATGGCGTTGATGAAAGGTGACCCTGTGGTAGTAAGACATGAATATCTCATCAGATGAGCCCCAATCAAACACTCAAACTTTCCCAAATCCTTCCAAATCCATCAGAATTTGGGAGTATTTTGCAAAATTGAGGAAGTATTATTGAGCCATGCTACAAGTACTTAACATAAGGCTTGGACGTTATACAAATATAACGTGGTTTGAGGGTGGACAGTAGATATTCGCTCCCCGAGGTATTGGAAGTTGACAAACTAGTTCACGAGGAAATTTGGCAATTGAACATATTCAGTTGCCAAATTTTCCCGTTGCAGTATAAAATCTTCGGAGGAACTTGTCCAGCTCACCAGAAGAATATTTTTCCTCAATCTCATAAAAAAATCTTTTTGTTTGCAATACAGTAACTCTAATTTGTTTTAGCATGGAAGGCATCTTTATTGTCCACAATATTCTCTAGTTCAGCATCATTGAGCTCGGGAAACCGTTAATTGACATTTATGCGTGCAACCATCTTTTGATGTATTGTGCTAGCTCGGGCCATGTTCGTGTGTGTGTACTACACCCATGCGACTGTTCCATGATTGCTTCGTAAATCGCATGCGTAGTAGACGTCGCACGGGTAACCCATGTGACAGTCTACTACGCATGCATATTCACCCTGTGCGTGAATACTCGCGCGCACTTGTTAAACAGCAAACATAGCATCTGACACGTGATGGTGAATTGACCAGTGCGAATTCGGTTCTCGATCATGAATATGTATAAAGTATATTAATTAGGGATAAATAATTTGTCACTGGTTTCCTGTACAGAGTAGTTTGAGGATCAGACATTCACGTGTGCAGAGCCACACGGACGAACGTCTGATACATCCTAACATGGACATTTTATTATTACATGCACAATTTGGCTGCCATATTTTTGTAAAACAACAACGGGTTCCGGAAGACAGGATAGAAGGCATCAGCTGAATGGTCACAATCCGGATGTCAAGACGGGTTGTAGTTTTGCATAATTAATCAGGAATCTGTGCAAATATCATAGACGCTTGTATGCAAGCAGCTATTCCATAGACTATGCACAGAGAGGGAATTTGAAAGATTCAGAAAAGGCCTGGCAAAAAAAACATGGCTCTGGGAGAATGGAGCTAAAGCAAGCCACAACTATGACTGAAAACCACATCGTAGGGCTCACATGTAGTACAATACTGCTTGATGACTACCACGGTAGGGTCCACATTCTTATGCTCAACACACGGCCCTCTTCGTTAAAATACTTCAAGGATCTTCTAGATTATCCCTAAGAATTACACATCAAAGACTTTCCCTGTCACCCTTTTAAAACACATGGCCCATTTTCAGACGACATCAAAGACCTTCCAAGCTATTCTGAAGGACACACGAGGCTTCCCATTACACTTTCGGGATCTTCCTGACTATCCTAAGGATTCTGTGGCTCTTCTCATTATATTTCAGGACTTTCCAGGTGATCCCATACAACACATGGCCTTTTTAATAATACTTCCAGGCCATTCCGATTTTCCCATCCCTTTTATTAAAACAAACATACAAGCTGATAACCATCCTACCATGGAACAGCATCCTCTCATTGTCGTGGGCGTGGTTCTCATCGGCCACCTCCTTCTTGCGGTGCAGGTAGCGTTCCCACAGCTTCTTGTTCCGGACTTTCTGGATCTTGATGAGGTTGTACCTGCTGAAGATGCCGCCGGCCTGGCCGTTGTCTCGGTGCTCCCGGACCGTGTTCTGCATCTGTCAGTTGGGAAAGGTTTATTGGGGATGTTTAACATCTTGACAACAAGAGACCATTCCTGATTAGGACAAGGTGCATTTCGTCGCGTCAGTGCAACAAGGTCGTAACTCCATTCTGCAAAGTCGTATCTCCCGCGAATACGCTCCCTGCAACAAAGTCGTATCTCGACGTCCACTGACTTTGCGTGTACATCTCGGTTATTTTAAGCGAGATACGACCTTTTGACATTCTGAAACTCGCGTTTTGGATTTATGCCATATCAGGAGATACGACCTTGTGTCACCGACGCGACGATTTTATAAAGCAGGATTGACTGGCTGTGATTGTTATGAAACCTGATACAGCCATGCTTTGACTGAAGGAGATTGACAAGCCAGCTGTACCTACCAATCACCTGCTTTTGTCTGTTGATGGAATTTTACTGTCACAGTGTCTACACGAAATAATATTGACAGTCAAATTCCATCAACAGTCAGATCATCTTACGATCTGACTGTTGGTGACTTGCCTGTGCAAATAGCATGGCAGGGGAACAGGGTTGATTCTTTGACTGTCTTTGACACTGATCAAACAGAAGGAGGGTTAAAGATTTTACCAGGTGCATGTATGAGGTCAGGTCTCCAGTCTAAATGTTCGTTTGTTTGGCATTACTCACCTCCACGGCCACCGACTGGTACTCCTTATCATCCAGTGCCAGGTCAATGAGTATAGATCCCTGGTTGCCGTGGACACTCAGGTGGGGGTTGGGGGTGATGTGACCCCCCATTAGCCTCTCCATGCCTTTGATGACCTTGTGGCGGTGTCCGTAGGCGTTGATGCCAATCTCCTTCAGCTCCTCATGGCCCATGTCCACTAAGACATCCATGGAGATCTGCAGAAATAACCGGGCCCTCGTAAAAAAAATTGATTCTAGGATTCGAACCTAGGACCTCCAGGAAACTAAACCAGTGCTCACCTAACTGAGCTATCTAACCCTATGAGAAGAGGTGTCTCTAACCTCAAATATATTTGTTCGGGGGTGCAAGTCAGGACCCAGCCGAAGAGCTTCGCTGAACGAAGACACTAAAAACTTGAGTCCATCAGCATAGGGCTGCATGGCTCGGTTGGTGGAGCAACATTACATACCCCCAGAGGTTGCAGATTGAATTCCCACTTTTGGCAAGTTAATCTAATCTGTTTCCCCTTGATGTTAAAGGGCCTATTCAATATACTTTTTTTTTTAATGCAATCCTAGAAAATGCACCGTTGTGTCCCATTTAACCATATTTTCAATTTTCATTTTGCCATTTTCAAGGGTATTCTAGTGCCTGTTTGGTTTGATGCTAATTCCCAGTTCAATATTCATGAGCAAAAGTGTGATGTCATTTAAGGTAGAAACCAAAATGTTACAGAAATGTAACCAAAATGTTACAAAATTTTGGATGTTTTGCTGCTGAAAATGTTCTTTTCTTTGACGACTCGTTGTTGTGTCGGTAGATACTAGTAAGTCGGTGAGCAAACTTTTCTTGCAAATGTTTTCAATGAACACCTTTTTGGGTTCACAATTTGAACAGAAAACCTCTAAACTAACCAGTGTCTCCCTGAAATGACATCATAGCAACAGTGATGAAAAAAGCATGGAAAATTAAAAACATGTTTAAAGAAGTGCACTTTTCAATAAAATTAACCAAAAAGGAATGTCAAATAGTTTTATACAGTTTTTGAAGTTTTATAACTTACTTATCAAACAAATAAAAAATTGAAGTCATTCCTATTGATACTTGAACGGCAAATTACTAAGTGCCAAGATCCCTACCTTGGACCCTAAATTTATAGCATGACACACTAATAATCAACTTTTACCGAAATTATCACAATGTTATAAATATTTTGATTAACCCAAAAAGTGGTACACAAATAAGGTCCTGTAGCATTTTTTTTTTTTTTTTTTTTTTTTTAAACCTATGGATAAAATGAATGCTTAAAAGTCAAACAGCTGCCACAACTGAAGTTTATGACACTACTATGATGCATAGTGTAAGGTAATCTTAGTGCCAAGATAAATATTGTATTGTTGCGACCCTTATTATGTTTCTCACCAGCTCCTTCTCAAAGATGTCTCTGAGGTGGTCCAGCTGAATCCCTCTCAAGAAGCTACCAATGCTGATGTCCATGGGGTTCCCTGGTCCTTCCACTGACCCGCTATCTGCCGCCCCGTCCCCAGTCTGCGACGTCGACACCACAGCCTGCTTCACCGGGGCAAACGCGCCCACCCCAACGCCTCCAACTGCCCCCTGGGGACCATCCATGTCATCCGACGCCAGCCCGGTGCCGGGCCTGCGGGTTGACGGGGCGGGAACCAGGGAACTGGTGTTGATGGGCGCCGGTGGGGAGTGGCCCCTGGCGGACGCTGTGAGAGTGGCGCCCTGGGGCATGGCGTCGAGGAGGAGTGAACGGACGTCATCGGCCGTGGCAAGGTCCAGAGGCGTTTGGCCCTCTTGATTGGTCATGGCAGGGTCAGCACCATGGGCAAGCTGGTAAGAATGAGAAGTGAATATGGTGAATTCGGATTATCTTGACGTAAAAACAAGGGTATTAAACCCAAGGCTCTGATTTCTTTAAATAAAAGTTATCCCAGCAAACATCTATCCAACTTGAAAGGCAATAATTAGGCACATAAGTGCATGTTCACATACAAATTGGTACTAGGCCCAAAATACTACTATTACCCCAACTCACTGTGCCCATAATTGTGATGTGATCAAGCTAAACGAGTCGTTTGTCGGCAGTTATGGTTTTAAGATACAGCTTAAAACTTGTCAGTAGGGGTGGAAATTTCAAAATTGACTTTTTTGTAAAATTAGAAGACTACGTATGTCCTCTTTCATGTGAACTATTTTTTTTTCGAAAAACCTCAAGATAAAGCAGGTAAAATGTGACATTTAACTAAGGAGTTAATATTCAATAATCTGAAATAAAGCAAGTTTATTGTTGCTTAATAAACACTCCAATTTTGAATCGTTGATTTCTCTGTTTTCTTCTTTCTGATCTGCCTGTGTATATATAAGTCCAATAACTTCTGAACGGAAGGTCGTATTCACAAGGGGTTTTTACGAAATATAAACGTAAAGATAGCTCTATTCAAAAATGTAAAAAAAAAAAAATTTGATAAGGGCTAACAAATGACTAAGTTAGCTTGATCGCATCACAATTGACTCAATTACAACTGTGGTTAGATGCACCACACCACAAGATATGGTCAGTCAACTAGATAGGCAAGTCACTAACAGTAGCTCGTCATACCAAAAGCGTTCCTCTTACCAATAAAGCACAGAGTTGTGTTCTGCCCTTCTGGGCTGCTTCATGTAGGGGTGTGAAGTTCCACCTATCCACAGCATTAACGCAGGTGTTGTGCTTGATAAGTAACGAGGCAATATCCAAGTGCTGTGTACCCAAACAAATAAACAAACATCAAATTTTGTGTTAAATTCAAACAATAGGAGGAAGAAAGTTTATTTATTTATTTATTTCTTATTTTAACTGGGTAGCCCGTTCAGTTGAATCCACTGGTCTCCCATAGGGCCAAGTAAAGAGAAGACAATGTGAAGAAATTACAGTTTTAGAGGTGGGCGGAAAAGCCCAGAAGAGTATTCTGAGGAAAACCCACGGAATCAGGTAGGGACTGAAAACCCAATCCACATATTGGCCCAGGCGGGATTTGAACCAGGGTCACAGCAGTGGAAGTCTGACAAATTCGCTGGAATGGTCCTGAGTCGTGATGCCACTCACAGTGGCAGAGCTGTCTTATCAATCACCTACAGTCAAAGCCAGTCAATCCTGCTTTATGTAGGCTGGGAGCTCTGGGGCGGATTGCAATAACGCGGTCTAACTCGGCTGGCTAAGCCAGTCCGATTTTAGCCTGCTATTGCTCTTAGACGGTCTTGGTTAAGACACCAAACTTAGCCCATTGCAATAAGCTGGTATTTACAAAGCCCGCTTAGAGTAATGATTCACAAACAAACATTCCATAGTTACGAGCAAATACCGGAGAGACTGCACACATTTTTTTGTAGGTTTGTGTGATTCAAATCAAACGAAATCAAATCTGTCAATTCCAAGATTTTATGTTGAGAGAATATTGCATTTGCAGTACAACTCGGTGTCATTAAAAAAAATTCTAGAAGATTCCTTCTATCCTGGAGAATCCTCCATCCAAGCAGTATTCTCTTCTTTTTTCTTTTTTAAGATTATCACACACTGATCATCAACTGAAAAAAACATGTTAGGAAAGAATAATTCAACACACCAGTGAATTCCAAAAATCCCAACTATAGACCATTTTAAGCCAGCCCTACCCAGGCTAACTATTTTAAGACTGTCTTAATACTTAGACCGTGTCATTGCAATGGTCTAACTTATAGACTGACTGACAGCCAGAACTTTTAGACCGTCTAATGCGCATAGACAGCTTTAAGACCGGTTATTGCAATCCGCCCCAGAACTGTTGAAAACAGTCACTTGAATTGATTTGACCGAAAGGACAACTTGGCACAGAATGTATGTTTGCATAGGAGGGTTAAGCCCTGACCTATGTATATGTGGGCAAATATGTTCGTCTCTTAAATGCCACAATGCTAGTTGCAGATGAACTAGTCATACGTAAAGTGCATGCATGTCAGACTTTTGTGGGGCATTTAGTTGAACTGCTGTGAGTGGTCAGAATATCGTGAGGCAGGGCTTCTTGGCTCAGTGTATCGAAGGTCAGAAAATGTTCAGGTTTAAGCTAGTAACTTACCCCATAGGATGAGGCATTATGCAGTGGTATCAGTCCGCCTTTGTCTCTGGCGTTCACATCAGCACCATGTTCTAATAAGTAGTCTGCAACCTCCACATTGTTGTACCCAGCTGAAAAGAAGTGTTTTAAATCAGCCATTAATAAAAACTCCACGCTACAAAATTGTCCATGGTGTGATACCCTTAATTGTACTTAGACTTTTAACATTATTTGCATTATGCAAAAGGCAAATATGACAAAGTTGGGATTGATTCTGAATCCATCAAAGGGTACCAATTTATTTGGAATCACCAATACAAGAACAAGTCCTAACAGAATCCTCTCATCCTGTTAGTTTTATAAAACTTCAAACCCTTCACTCAATACGAGACTTCGCTGTCTGTCGCCCATTTTGCAGGCAAACACCCATGGAAGATAAACTCGTGCAAACATCCACACTTAATATCTTCTATACCTACGGTGGACAATCCTTTGTTTTTGTGTAGTTCGGAAAGAAACGGAGGAAAAAATACATTTTACTCACACTTTAATCAGTTATAACAGGGAATCAGTTCCTAAACAAATTGTCGCAAATACTGATTCCGAGTTTGGAAGCGATTCTGTTCACGTAAGGCTGGTTTGTCCTTCACGCAAATTTCATGACAATGTAACTTCAACTGTTGACGTTGTGAAATTCACTTTGCTTTTGCTTTTGCGTTGAAGTATGAACAAGCCTTTACAGCACAGTGTTACACTAGTCTACTTGTACTCGGCAGTACAAACAGAATTGTTAGGGGTGGGAACATTCTCGATGACTGCTTTTGGCAAAATTGAACATTTCCACAGAAAATTAGACAGTTCTCAGTTTTTTTTCTTTAGAGACACGCACCTGCCAAGTGTAATGGGGTAGAGTTCCTTCCCTGGGAGTCCCTGCAGTTGATGTTATCAGGAGTGACCAGTTTCTGGACCCTGGCCAGATTGCCCTTCTTGGCAGCCTCCAGCAGGGCAGCGTCCCCCCTCAGCAGGTCCTGAACGTCCTGGTCACCTTCCTTGACCAGGTCTAACGCCGTGTGGCCGTCGCGGTTCTTCTTCTCTGGATCTGCACCGTGCTGTTTGAACAAGTTTTGAAGAGGAAATTCCAGCATCAAGGCTAAACTGTTAATGCAGCAAAAAGGCTGGATCATCAAACATTGTTACAAGGAATACATTTCATTACGTCAACAATTTAGAGGGTTCATACAATGAATTTTTCTTAGGAAGACATTTTTGTGCAACTTTCTACTCCTCTTAAATGTATGAAAACTATTTGACATCCACTTTTGGTTAATTGTTTTAGAAAGTAAGTAAAGTCTGTCACGAGCCAATGTGGCCCATCAGGCCAGCGTTTATCTCCGGTTTCAGTGGCATGAAATGACTGGGGATATTTCTACTCCCCCTGAATGGGATGCTAGTCCATCGCAGGTTACTGCCCAGCTAATGCTGGTATACTCCTGGGTGGAGAGAGGCAAGTGGGGGTATAGTGGCTTGCCCAAGGACACAACATATGGCCAACGGCTGGATTCGAACCCCTGACCCTCTGATTATGAGTCACGAACCCTAACAACTAGGCCACACTACCCCAAAAGTGCACTTCTTTAAACATTTTTTAAAAATCCATGCTTTCCAGAGAACTAAGGGTGCTGTTGCTGTGATGTCATTTCAGGAAGACACTGTTCAGTTAAGGGGTTTTCTGTTCAAATTGTGAACCCAAAATTTGCTTTATTGAAAACGTGTGAGAAAGGTTTGCTCACTGGCTTTCTGCCATGTACTGACACAACGAATCCCCAAAGAAAAAATAAATTATGACAGCAAAGTATCCAAAATTCTAGCAACTTTTGCACTGAAATAACTGTAACATTGACGTTTCCTTTAACCCATGATTTTTTAGTGTAATCTTTTAACCAATGAGCTGGATATGCCAATACCGAAAACAAGGACTGACTTGGAGAATACTCATATGCATACCAGAGTACTGCATTTCCTGTACTGTGCAAGATGGTCAACAATACACAACGCAAAACACGACAGCATTTGAAATTGATTGTAACAAGTTTGATAGTGACATTTCTTAAAAACAAAGACAATGCATTCCATGAACTATGGATGTTAGCTGTTTCGGCAACAAAACAGCATTATCACCATTTAGCCCAACATACGGAAATCAGCAATGCCGACAACTTTAAACTCTAAATTAAGTGTTTACCTTAAGTAGTAGTTTACAGATCTCATATTTGCCCTTGGCGGCTGCCTCATGTAGCGGGGTGAACTTCCAGAGATCGGCCGCGTTGACCACGGCACCATGCTTGATCAGTAGCTCCGATACCTCATAGTGGCCAAAGGAACAGGCATTGTGTAGGGGAACTAGACCACTAGAAATTACAAGAAAGAAAAAAATATTAAGGTTATTTCAGCGTAATGGATGCCTTTCAGGAATCAATGAACCTAGGAAATATCTTAAACAGATAAAAAGCGCCCCAAGAGAATGTCATTAAGGTTCTCCTTCCTATAAAAATTTACGTGCAGGCAGTACGTTGTTTCAGTTTCTGGCCTTTTCTGGCATAAAAAATTCCTTCAGAAGTGACGGAATAAATGAGGTTTTGATATGTTTTAAAAAAAGAAAACTTGTCGTGCCCAGGGCCTGGTAGCAGAATGTTTAGTTACATTTCTGCAACTCACTTCAAAAAAGAGAATTTTTAGGCATGTCCGACTTTTGTCGGACATGGCAGTGGTCAGTCAAAACATAGTGACAGGCAAACAACAGTTTGGTATATTAACCCTCCGATGCAAAATACATTTTATGCCCCGTAGTCCTTTCAGTCAAAATCAAACAAGTGACTGTTTTCAACAGTTAAGAATTCCCAGCCTACATAAAGCAGGATTGACTGGCTGGGACCGTTTAAGTAACTTGATACAGCTATTTTTTGAGTCCGGGTGAGTGATAAAATAGCTGTGACCACAACTTGCCTGCTTTGTCTGTTGACCCAGTTTGACTAGTCACAGTGCTTGCCTGACATTATGATCTGACTGTTGGTGACTAGCTTTTCATGAAAGTATAGAAGTGGAAGTGAATTTTGACTGTCTGTGACTTTTTAAATAGCAGGAGGCTTAACGGGACACACACATTTTGGGGATACTCAAAAGTCCTGTACTTGGTCCAAATATTCAATCAACCCTAACCGAACTCAACCCATCAAAGTTCAACAGCAGGTTTTGTTTAAATCTGTTGGGATAGGTACAGTACCCCTAAACTGATGGTCTTTTACACTGGGGTTGGCATGCCTCCAGAAGCTAAGTCCAACAGCTTGTGTCTCCAATTTCCCATGTGGATGTTGGAATTTGCCTGAATGGGTATGGTTCCTAGTAAATTATGCTGGGGAGTTAGGGTTAAAGTATACACCAATCCGGGCGCATTGTTAATTCTGTAACGACGGCCCCCTTCAATGGCGAAAACACTGTGCTAGCTATTGTTCAGATAATCCATTACAGAACAGCAGCTTTGCACAATAGCTTGCATAATGCTTTCGCCATTGAATAGGGCCTCATGTGTGTATAGTCATCACGTTCCCCCGATTAGTAATCTTCTCCAAGAAGCAGCCCTTGCTAGGAAACAATTGAGAGGCTCACCCTTTGTCTTTGGCGTGGACGTAAGCCCCATGCTGCAGTAAGTAATCCACCACGGCGACCCGGTTGTAGCCTGCTGCAAAATGCAGGGGCGTGGAGTGCCTTCCCTCCTTGTCTCGACAGTTCACAATATGTGGGTTTCTGGACACGAGTGACTGAATGGAAGAGAGTAAATGATGGAGTAATCATTACCAGAACTGCACACAGTTTGGAAGTAGAGTAGATGGCACTGAATCACATACTAATGAGAGTTTGAGTGTGTGGGTAGGCATTACATTCACTGTGTGGACTTCCGAACGAAAGAGGTCCACATAAACCAGGTAGCAGCGACATTGTGCGGACTTCCCCACGTCTACACAGTGTTCCCCCTCTCTGGAAAACAGGTTTAGAGGCATTTTGGGTTAGGTTTATCGGTGGCAAAATGAGAAACACTAAAGGGAATCATAGAAAAAAAATTGGATTGAAAGTGTTTTCACAGTGAGAGTAAAATCAGTTTTTTTCAGAGGTTTTTCTTAACTACACGAAACCAAGGGAATGTCCACACTAGGTATGTAACGTAAACATGCGTGGGTTTGCGTGCTAATGGTGCATAGTACCTGCATTTATGAGCAATTTCGTCCAAATATACACAAAACCCACAGCATCTTATCATCAGAGATGAAACTGGCCTATGAGGAAAAACTCGGAAAATAGGCCGAACAAAAATCTACCTGTTCATGGTAGCTGCTTGTACAATGTGCCTAAAAATGATGATTCTCACCTGTATGTTATCCAAGTCGCCTGCCTTGGAGAATTCCAAAAACTCAGTGCTCTCATCCACCGCATTCAACCTTTGTTCAACTGCAAACGGCAAAAGAAACTACAGTTACGAAAACAGCAGATGTGTAAAAGATAACGCAGTGTTTCAAAGGTAGAGTAGATCATTTGCAGCTGTCCAAAAATTAACTGGCAAAATTATTCCTTCTGGCATGCTGTCACTTTGAAAAAAACAATGAAAGTTGTTGACACGAAGCACAAGCGCGCAGTTGCTTTTATTCCTCGGTTCAGTGCGTGACACCGCGTCACTGTAATCGGCTGAATGAGAACGTGTTCCAGATGCTGATTTGGGGCGCAATTCAAAATATGACACACAGCCATTCCATGGTGACTCGCGTGACATTTGAACAAAATGTAAAGTTTTAATGCATTACTGTTGTTAACCTGGCATTTATTCAACTCAAATTAGCATGTATTTGAGTCAGGGCATTGTGAATTTATGGTTTAGTCTTTATATGATTACTTTAAAATCGCTATTTTTTCATGTATCACAGTTTCTTTGACGTGACTCGCGTGACAGGATAGAAAAAGGGATTTTTGACATCCCTTGATTCAAATAGCTTTTCCTATGGATCTACCAGTGTTCTAAAAATTATTCTTACAGAACTTAGAACTTAATACCCTCACCCAATACATGCATAAGTTGTATTGTGCCAAATATCCCTTGTTGTAAGAAATGGCCTGAAGAAAATGTGACTCGCGTGACACAAATGCGTGACTCGCGTGACACAGTAGCTTTTCACTTTCACATTATAACTGTAATTTTAGTATAACGAATCAAATCATAATATTATATTAATAAAAATGATTTACCTGTGATTACCTTATGAAAGAGTGTGAAAACTGCTATTTATCCCTTTACTTTGGCAAATGTTGGGGGTGGAAATCTGGTTTAAACACAATATCCTTAACAATGACATAGAGAGAAAAAAATGTTTTGGAATTTTAGTTAAGAAGTGATGTCATCAATCCACGGGTGATTATTTCAGGAAAACAGTTGTAATTCTTGGTCATGTAGAGTCACAGTTTCCTTAAATGGTAAGATCGAGCTGCAATTAATGATGCAGTTGTATCGGAATGTATACAGTACAGTCGAATCTCGTTTGTACAAACTCTGTTAATACAAAATTCTGGTTATAACAAACATAAAGCCTTAGTCCCGACTGTGCATTTATGTGCACAATGAATGGGACTTATGTTCCTCTTAGTACAAAATTCTGATTTAACAAACAATTTGGCTAGGTCCGAACGAGTTTGTATTAACGAGACTCAACTGTATATACATTTGTAAAAAACTGATTCAATTTCTTGTTACATAACTAATGCTTTTAAAGACTTAATTCGAATTCTATAATTTAATAGGGCCTATGGCATTGTTTCTTTGTATTACATGTAAATGAAACATTCCTGGCTTGTGACCAGGCGCGGATCCAGAGGTTTTTTTGGGAGGGTCAACCCCCTCCCCCCCAGCTCTGTCAAAAAAAAAATTCTCATACAAATTCCTGAAGAATAAGTCGAACCCCCCCCCCCCCCCCCCCCCCCCTCACCGCGACACCCCCAAAAACATTATACTGGTCTAATGTCCGCCTGTTCAAAATACGGTACACCATTCTGTAATGTGTTAATAATCGTCGAATTTGAACAGCGCCCCCCGATTGAAATTGGTACCAGCCCCCCCCCCACCCCCCGTCCCCCGCCTCCCCCCCCCCCCTCCCAGTTTTTTATTTTACGGAAGTGAGTGTCCAGAGAAAAAAACGTGTGTACATTTTCAAATTTTTTGGCTGATGAAACCCCCCCCCCCCTGCGAAAATTCCTGAATCCACCCCTGGTGACTCGCGTGACATACATCATGCGTGACTCGCGTGACATTCTTGAGATTTTTTCTACAAGGAATGTAGAGCAAATAAGAATATTCATACTTTTATTGATAGACCACCACTATTTCATTTACAAATATCAAACACTAGCTGAATCCCTCTCTAGTTATTAAGTTATCTGAAAAAAAGTCCTTTTTTGTGACTAGCGTGACATATTTTTGAGGGTGTTTTCACGATGAAATAGTGGGAAAATACTGAAGACATTTCGAAAAATTCTCAATGTTTTATCAAATAGACTGGAATAGCTACCAAATGTATGCAGATAAAGCACAATCTTATGAATGAGCTTCAATTACTTCCTCAGTTTGTGATTTATACCCCTGACCCTCCGTTTTGCCCACAAAATTCATCCATGTTCAGGAGGCTGAAATTTTAATTCAAATGATTTATTTTAAAAAATCTTTTGAGATTTAGATGGTTTCAATATTCCTCTTATCAAATATAACTGACAAAAATTTATTCCTTTCACTTCAATTTTTGAGTTTGGTGATGACCCTTACATGGAATGGCTGCACAGCAACTTTTGAAATATAAATTGAGATCCTAGAATATTGTTTTCTTGGAATATACAGCATTCACAGAGCTAAAACTTCACCAGGTTAGTTGTTCAGCACCCTTCTTTAGATTTTGAGTGCTTCTGTTGCTTGAAACGAAACAAAAATGCACAAATGACAAATGATCTATTCAACCTTTAATGCACTTTGTAAATCTTATGATAAATTATGAAGAATCTAGACAGTCTTAATGAAAATCATAAGAGTAAGAGTGCCCTAAAGTTTAGGTCCTAGCAGGATCTTTCTAAAGCCCGCTGCACATCTTTCCGATTTTACCAGTTCACCAGATCATCAGGCCATGGGACGTATAGATCCGAGAGGAGTGTGCTGAAAAAATCGGACCGATTTAACCCTACACCGGGCGACCAATGAAATCAAACATGTTGATTTTTTTTCGCATCCGATATATCCGGACGCGATATTTAAAGTTAACCAATCAGATTCACGAAGGAAGCCCAGATTCAAAATTGACAGCTGCCATTTTGTCATCATGTGACTGGTCATTGTGTGACTGGTCATCATGTGACTGGTCATCATGTTAACGTTGCGGTATAAGCAACGGTGGAAAAAACGTACCAGTGATCTGGTGAACTGGTAGAATCGGAAAGGCGTGCAGCGAGCTTAAGTGGCCAAAAGACCCTCAAACTTATAGGATTTGTAAAAATTACATCAATCTAGTCAGTAAGCAGTTTGCAGTGGCTATTTATTTCTCAAAAATGTGTCCAGTTCAAACATGTCCAACTTTTGTGAATTTGCAGCACCAATGCTTGCCATGATGTCCGTGGTGTTGCAATTCAAAAACACACTTTTTAAAGATAACCTAAAGATATGTTTAGGAATGGAAAAGATTTACCCTGTATGATTTTCTGCACGCCCTCGGAAGCCAGTTGTACCGGGGTGAACCCTTGCAACGATAACACCGTGGTGTCTGCACCGTAGGACAGCAAGAGACGACAGGCTTCTGGGATATCCTCCCGGGCAGCTCGATGGAGTGGTGTCTGGCCCATGTTGTCCGTTGAATTCACCTACGGTGGAAAAAAAAAAGGAATTAGAAGTGGCATAGCTGCCAACTTTTCAAAATCCCAATTAGTAATCAACCCGCGCGGTCATTTTCAACTGCTCGTTTTATCAAAAGCTTTACCAACATCAAGTACAGGTACATGGTTTACATGTACACATACATGTGCATACCCTTCTTGTTGTGAATGATAATGTACTGTAGGCCAAAAGATAATTTAAAAAAAAAAAAAAAAAACAATTTAAATTAATTTTGTTTCAATGTCTGTATTTGTTTGTTGAAGTCAAATAAATAATAACAATAATAACGTGCGCATATTTTTTTTGAGATGCATGCTATCGATGTGGAGTTTCAAGTTCGTATCAATGTTTTTACACACAATGATTTAGGGCCACCGTATGCAATAGAAACATCCCGCCAACATACCTTGCAAACGCACGCTGATTTATCTTTTCTGGACGTTGTGACAAACTCAAACTCTATTACCAATTATTCCAACCATACTGTTATTAAATTCCATGATTAAAATATCGCACTGATGGGTCTCATCCCGGCAATAAGCGACCAAATGTGCTCACGATTGTCACTGGAAAGTACTCAGATACAGTACACACAACCACACATCCACGAGATGCACACAAATGACACACCATTGAAAAATAGTTTTAGTCTGGTCCTCAAGTACTCCACTGCGCACACTGCATTGATGTCTATCAGGTGCTTGACTGCATTCTTATTAGACTTGTCACCAGTCCATCCATTATCGCGACATTTCGCCAGAAGTTTTCGGTCAAAAATGATACTTTACAAGTATATTTTTTTTCGTTAGGTAGAAAATGGGAAATTCGTAATGTTTTAGTGGCAAATCGTACTTTCGTAATTTAACAAACAATTCGTAATAATTACGAAAAAATTCTTAACAGTTGGCAGCTATGAAGTGGTGTCAAAGTAGAGCCTTCTCCTGAGTCCCCCAAGTATGTTGATATAGTCCTAGATTAGGCTCCAGAGTTACGTCTTTGACATCTCCGACGTTCACCGCTTCCAGTTCTCCTACAATAACCACCCATCACCTAATTGATTTCTTGGGCTTCCGACGACGGGCAGAGCACTATGTCCGAAACGTGGAGTTTTCTGCTGGTTCTATTCAGAGCCACGTCTGAAGGGCTTTATAGCTTTACAGCGTAAACTGTCATCTGTCACACATTAAAATGCACTTAAGGGTCGTTCTTTGGTCACTGTGTGACATAAAATTAGGCTCGTCTGATTTTTGAAGCCTTACCCCTTGTTAACTACATCTGACATAGTACTTTCACTGATTCATTAGGTCAGTACTTTTTATTCCCTACCTCAGAGTATAGTTTCTTCTTTCACAAATTGTGTCAAAGTTTGGTCACGTGTGACATCAGACGTAAAAATGTTATCCGGCCCATACCGGAAATACACGCTTTTCTCTCCAAGGACACACACACCGATACTTATTTTGGAGTAAGACTAGTCTTTGGTGATTTACAGAATGCATAAACAATGTACATCCTCTGCTTTAGTTTTACTACATGAGAATTGTTCTGTGGTCGCGTGTGTGACATTTTGATTGGTCACATGTGTGACATTTTGTAATTAAAGTTAGCCTAATTTATGCACGGAAAGACCAACTTATGAAACTTCTTATGAAAGTTGCATTTTTACTTTATACTAACAACACTTTAATCATTTTTATTATATCACATAAAAAAAACTTTTTTCCCAAAACACTAGTTTAAGGTTCAATTTCTGAAGAATCGCCCTTAAATATGAAATCTGTTTTGGTTTTCCATGTAGCCTGGTTTTCATTTTGAAAATTCCCCACAAAAGGCATTCAAATTCTTCACTTTTTCATTTTCTTAGAAGTTACTGAGTAATTTGCAAAGTTTGTTATGTGTCCCCAATCCCATAACGTGGAACCGGTCCTGACATCGGCGGTTGGGTACTCTGCTATCCGGTTCCAATGCACAGCCCTATTAAGTACCTCAATATCTACCTACCTTGGCACTATTTTCGAGTAAGAGTTCCATGACATCCACATAGCCCTTCTCTGTTGCAACATGCAATGGTGTCAGACCTCTGTAGAGAACAAAATTGACAAGAACTTATGAACAACTACTAGCGCTACTCATCATTCAAATCCTTCAAAATTTTGAGGATTTTGAAGAGTTGAGGAAGGTAGAGCCTAGCCTCTTTACTAAATTTGAGAAAACAAAACTTTACTTCAAGTTCCTGCAGAGAGGTGGATATTTGAGGATTCAGATTTCCTTCCAGATTTATTTCTTACTTCTCTTATTTTAACTGGGTAGTCAATTCAGTTGAATCCACTGGTCTCCCACAGGGCTCAGTAAAGAGAAGATAATGTGAGGATAGTACAGTTTTAGATGTGGGAGGAAAATCCCAGACGAATATTCTGAGGAAAACCCACTGAGTCAAGTAGGGACTGAAAACCTGATCCACATATTGGCCCAGGCAGGAATCGAACCCGGGTCACAGCGGTGGAAGGCAAGGAAAGTACAGCTACGCCATGCCGACTTGGAAATCAATTTAGTATTTTGCTGTCAGTGTAGTTTTCATCACTTGGGGCAAAAATGTTTGGGGTTCTGTACAAAGTGGTAACTGAAAACATCTACACAACCAATCATATTTTTTTAAGGCAGCGACCTTTTGTTGTTTATGCTCAGCCGTGCATAAATGTAGGCCTAGATTATACTTGAAATCCTCCGCACGGCTCAATGATGTCACTGGCTCTGCCTCAACATATTGACAGTGATTGCTGGAGGATTTTGCAGGATTGAGGCTGTATGCTATTTTTACATGGAGGCAGTTGGAGAATTTTTCAGGATTGAGGTGGCATCATAGCAAAATGCCTAGGGAATTAGGGTTAATTAACCTTGTCGTTTCCTCTGCACTTTTGACTACGAAATTATTGACACAATGTGAATATTATTTTGTATTGACTTATTTCTGTCTTAGACAACTTACTCATTGTTCTTATGCTGTATGTTAGCACCTTTCTTGATGAGTAATTCCGCAACTTGTCTTCTCTTGGGAAAGACAGACCCTGCTGTACAGTGCTGAAGGACAGGGGAAACAATTATACATTTTGTACAGTAACTAGAAAGTGAAATATCAAATTTAAAAAAAATGAGATTTTCTTTCCAATACTTTCATTTCAAAACTCAGTGCTGATGCGCTTCTAATGCATATGTACGTGTACATCTACTTTCTCTGTAGGCATGAATACTTTCATTCGGTGACAAACGGAATATTGAGCTGAAATTATTCTTACCATTGTACTCATGATATTTCATTATATGTATACTATAGGCTGGCCCCTAGGACCAGCGAAAATACCTGAAGAATTTAGTACAAAGTAAAACCACAAGACGGGTTTTTCCTGATACACGTAAAAGTCAATTTTACACACAATCACAGCTGATAGACTTACCAGGGGACTGTCTAGAGTCTGAGGGTTCTTGAAGTTGACCAAGTCGGGGGCAATTTGTTTCTTGACTCGCGTCATGTCGGCTTGCCTGCAAGCCTCTAGGATTGCATTGCCTCGAAATTCATCTGAAATGCACATGTTAACTGGCTGTTAATACACACAGTCTATGTTTCTTTGTGTGTAAATTTGTAGGAGTAAACCACTGCATTAAACTTAATATAAGTGTGATGTGCCAAGTGTATATTTGGCATTAAAAGCATGACTGTTTCATGTATTCACTGTTAGGGCTGTCCCGTTAGGGCTGTCCCGAATATTTGAATATTCGAATATTGGATCATCAACCGAATGTTGGAATACCATTTTGCCGATTCGAATAGCTTTTTGCCAGTTCAAACAAGTGGTCCGAACAAACAATTTCGAATAATCAAATACTGAAATTATTCAAAAATAGACAGCTCTATTTAATGTGCAAACAATGAAAGGTTTAGGATATTGTGCTAAAGAATTGTCAGATTTTCAAAATCACAAAACATAAAAGCAGAAAATTTTGTGACCTGACCGGAAAATGAGCTCCCATTTGAATTATTTAGTTCATGATACATCATTATGCAAGGTACATCACATCTCCGTTTGTGTACCTCCAAGTTCACATTTTTTTAAATAACCCCTTTATTTGTGTCTTTTTTCTTTAATTTTATGTCATAAAACTGGCTCTGAAACAAACTAAGAAGACCCAATGACTCATTGTAACATAATGTGTTGCCAGGAAAGTTACAGTGCATTCAACCATCAGTCAATGTGTAAGTTTCTTGAAATTGGTTATAGCAGCCAACATAAGTTACGATGCATCATCTATCATATCCCCAGATATGACCAAAATCTTAACTTGAACTCACATTGCAACATCTCCTTGAGTTCCTTCGTCGGCGTGACATCGATTGCACTCTTGGAATGACAGTTGACAATGTTGGGATCTGCCCCATGGCTCATCAGGAGGGAACACACCTCCAGCCTAGGGATATTCAAGGATTCAAGTTATCGTGCTGACAAGAGTTAACCTAACCAAAACATAACACAAACACAGACACAAACTCTTGTTTTACTGTACTCGCGAGGACAATGCTTTGTGTTTCCCTTTGTCCCTGTAATATAAACTCTCCGATAGACTAAGCACACAAACTTACTACAGAGGACCGTTTCCAACAAAAGACACAACTCCCAAGGACTGAAAGGATCTGTTGTTCTCCCTTTGTGTGTGGGTCCTCGTGGGTCATGAAGAACATGTACACCCACACACCCTTACACAGGCATAGAAGTGGGGTACTTCCTTTGTTCTCGTGTACTAAAATTTTGCAATGTCCCACACTAATGTCAAAATGCTCTTATTTTAACCAGAATTAATTTCCTGGGCTGAAATTCAGACTTAATATCCCTTTTCTAAAACTCTTCCATTTGCGACAGATCAACCCACCTTGGAAATCCTAGTTTTTGAGTAAAATGCATATATCTATTTCATAAAAAACTTGTGGGGTACCAAAACGGTACCCCGCAAGTCGGTGGGCATTCCTTGTGGGGTACCTCCCATTGTTCCGGTACCCCTTTAGGCAGTGTTTATACGTTCCAACAAACAGACAAACACACAGAAGGAATACGCTATCGCAACACTATGATTTACAACCTGACCAGAAATATATTTGTATCGTTTACATCAAAAATTAGGATGAACTAGTTAAAAACCTTAAGTTGAGTTCATCAGCATAGATTCAGTTAAATAGAAAAAAAATACGCCAAAAGAAGAATATACAATTGAAAAAAAAATAGTACAATATACAAATGTTTTACACATGGAAGTGGCACTTGGAACACATATTCATGACACAAGACCATCAACTACCATGATACTGAAAGTCCCGTTCGCCAAAAAGGAATGCTAAGCCACAAGCTTCGCTGTGAGCGGTGCAAATATATGGGCTGATTTGCATGAACAATTGAGAGTGATCTTACCTTGTTTTGGAGGCAGCCTCGTGCAGTGGTGTAAACTTCCACAAGTCCATTGCGTTGACATTAGCACCATGCTTAATAAGTAACTCTGTCACCTCAAAGTGGCCATAGGAGCATGCGTTGTGCAACGGCACCAGACCGCTACAAGAAAGTTGGATGAAAAAAAAGTCACTTGTAATTTGTTCACCATTACTCTAAAAACAGGAGTCAAACTTCAGATCAAAATCTAATAGATTACATGCAAAGATAATCAATAAGTCATAAATACTTCAGATAGTTTACAAATTCCTATTGGTCGGGTCACGTGGGTGCTTTTAAACCTCTGATAAAACACCGCTGCATTCTGCGCCACATCACGCAGTACGCGCTGCGCGCCAATTTCCAAATAAGGAGTTAGTACTACTCGCGCAAAGCACATACCATAGATATGGCCAGAGGGGTGTTTCACAAAACCTGAAGTCAAATTGTTAAACAAAATCGTTGGAAATGTGTCAATTTCCGACTTGTTTTGACTTTTTGACTGAAAGGTATTTATGAATGGAAATCAATATGTGCTAGGCCGGTATTAAACAAGTACATTTAAAACCGGCTGGGGGCTTAGTCCCTGATAACGTCCCTGTCACTCCCTCACCTTCGGTTCGGCCATTACCCGCGTCCAGGCCCGTAGCCGACTTTAAACGTACTTGTTTAAAAACAGCCAAGCACACATTTATTCCCTTAATGCTAACTCCCTAGCATGATTTACTAGGAACCATACCCACCCTGGCAAATTCCAACACCATATGGGAAACTGCACACACTTATTTCCGACTTTGTTTCTGAAGTGTGCCAATCCAATGTAAAAGACTGTCAGTTCAGGGGTACTGTACCCATCCTGACAGATTCCAACAAGACATGCCATTGGGGTTTGATGGGTTGAATTCTGTTAGGGTTAACTAATATCAGCACTTTAGTTTCATCACATTGAAATTGGGCCCAGGTGATACCATGCTTCATTTGTGTGGAAATTGTGGTCAGATATTTTAAGACAATTTCTGACAATTTACCATATTTGCCTCAATTAATAATTTGGCACTCTGCATCTGGAGGCTCATAATTGATCATGCTATTTCATTTTATCCGAGCACTTAAGTGTATAATCACACCCCCTTGCAACAAGTATGGATGGAAGTTTAATAATAATAATTTGCTTGCAGTGAAATGCAACTCACCCTTTGTCTTTGGCATGGACGTCAGCACCATGCTGCAGTAGCAGCTGGACAATGGAGACACGATTATAGCCAGCAGCAAGATGAAGAGGAGTAGACTGAAAAAAAAAACCAAACAATGAAAGTCAAGACTCCAAGCCCAATTTCTGCTTGTTTTCCTTTATAAACTGCATTATACGTCCATCATTTTGTTTTATGTTTTAAAAACTTTTCGAGAGGAGTTCCGAAACTCTTTGCTGAATATCAGACAACTATTTACTGTACATTGAATAAATACATTTAACAGTCACCGTGTTGTGCTATAAATACACCTACAATGCGTCGCTCTTACGAAGTGTTTTGTGAAATGGATCGCAGGATACGTCACAGCTGCAAAGCATCGTAGGGATACGACGCGTCGCAGCGCGGCGATGCATCGTAGGTTACGATGAGTTTCATGAAATCGGGTGCTGGTCGCTGGTAACGGCTCATGTTGCCTGAATATGTGTGTTCAAGACTTTGTGTATATAAACACAAAGACCTCAGGTTTTTTGCTGGTCCCAGAGGGCCAGCCAAGTGTCCTCTTTGAACCTATCTCACTAACTAATTGACTGACTGACAATGTCAGTCGTGAGGCAGGCAGTGCTATCGAATTGGATTACCCCATAACGCCAATGAATGGGCTAAATCCGGCCCATTATGTAGCCCACATGCATGAAAAGACTTCCAGCATAAATGGCCATTTTGAATTAAATCAATTGAATAGAATTTTGTGCACTCTGGGACCAACTTGCCTCGTCTTGTTTCTCCAAAGACATCATTTTGAACAAAACCTTAAATTCTTAAATTGACTGAATAAATACAAAAATGAATAAAAAATAAATGTTAATGCTTTTATAGCACTTTCCATCATATCAATGTTGGGCATGGTCAATGAGCGCCATCGGTCGATTGTTTGCGCTTTCGGTCGATCATGATGCTATTGATCGATTGCGCTGCCACCAGTCGCACACCTTTTCTTTCTAATTCACAACTCTGTAGGATTTTTTTTTTTAAAGGTAAGTAAAGACCGAGATATCCTACAGAATCGACCCATCGCACCCAACATCAACAATCTCAAAGCGCTTTACAATCATTATTCCCCCGTTCATTTGGGCCATGGGACCACATGGCAGCCAATATCAGCGCACATTCGGTGCTCTACCCTCACAGGTACCCATTCATACTCCTGGGTGGAGAGAGGCAATTTTAGTTAACCAGCTCATGCCAGGATTATTTTGACAAGAACGGAATAAGGCGCAGAATAAGTTTTCATTCGACCTCAAGCCAGGCGGGTTGAAGCCATCACCCTCGGACAGCACACTCATATTTCCAGCCTAGCTTGCTGCGAGAGGGTCGCCGACAGATATTTCTGGCCTCGCTCTGTGCGTGTTTATCCGTCATCTGTTCCGAATACCACAAAACCTTTGCATGTTTACACGTCATCCGGCGCAAACTGGTTAAGTCTCTTGCCCAAGGGCACAAACACCACGTTCCTGGAATAGCATAAGGTTAAGCATACTTACCCTTCTGCCGTCACTAGCATGACCGTTGACATTGAGAGGGGTAATAAGCCCCATGAGTTTCTCCTCATTGCCGCTGCGTGAGGCTTCCAGTAGCTCGTCTTTCTTGTATTCCCCAGTCAGGACCTGTTTGGCAGGCGGGTCGGCAAGGTCCAGAGCCGTCTTGCCATCTGTGTTCCTGATGTTGGGGTCAGCACCATTTTGAAGCAAAACTGTTCAGCCAAATAAATACATTTTTTTGTTACAGTACTCAAAATGATACTGACAGCACTTACATACTTGTACTTACATGTAACGTTATGCATAATTTTTACATGATTAACCCTAACCCTCCTCAACCCTCCACAATCGTCCTGCCGGTTTGGGATGATTTAAGAGGATTGAGGACGAATGGCAAAGATGTATCGCTTTTTTGTGGAGGATGCATTACGTCAAGCCAGTAGGCCATATCTTGCATTGGTTACGTTCAGGCATGCATAAATCAGCCCTGTGTTTTTCTCGTATTTCATCCGCACGGCACGCCATTCGCACTGCCTCAAACCATAGCAGTAATGGGCGGAGAATTTTGGAGGATTGAGGCAGTGGTCACCCTCCACAGACAAAATTCAAGAAATAACGGATGATTTTGGAGGATTGAGGCTGAATCCAACTTTTTTCTTGGTGGCAATTGGAGGATTTTGCAGGATTTTTGCCGAGTCCATAATGATACCCACCAATGCAGACGTCAATCTTGCCCTTGATGGCCGCCTCGTGAAGGGGGGTATAGTTCCAGTTATCCCTCGCATTGGCATCGGCTCCGTGCCTGAGCAGTAGGGTCACGACCTCTGCATGGCCAAAGGAGCAGGCATTGTGGAGGGGGATCAGTCCGCCATCGTCTCGTGAATGCACGTTGGCCCCATTCTGCAGAAGGAACTCCACTACATCCTTGCGACCAAATCCTACACAGAGCAAGATGGTACACAATTTTGTGATTTACTTTTATGTATTTTTCTTTTTTGAAAGCAGCTAGCAGAGTGTTCAACCAAATAATTAGTTCACAAAATTCATTTTTTTTTTATCAGCTGTGTTTACCAAACTGTAGTAATTTACACATCATTTGATAATCCGCGGAGAAAAACAAGTTGATTTTACGTGTAAAAATGCAGCAGTGCTGTACCACTGAAGTTAAATTTTTACATTGTTAAGACGTAAAAAAAATACTTCTAAATCTAAAGTTCTATTGCAAAATGAATTTAACATTAAACAGATTCAAATATTTTGGGAAATTTGCCTCAATTTCTAATCAGTCGGTAAAACAGTAAAATAGTGAGATTAGAGATTTAGCAAGGGGCCGGGTGTTCGATAAATAAGCACTTTCACGGTAATGCGCCATCTTGCTTAGGTGGCAAATTTACACGCGTTGCTTGGTACGAATCGTCAATCGAAAACTTTTGGGCTTCCAAGTTATCATGCGTTCATTCCGAAATGCGCCTGCGTTTAGCAACACGCGTTCTTTTTGCCCGTGAACAAGATGGCACATTAGTGAAACTAATAATAATATTATTCATTGACAAAAACAAACCTTTTTTTAATACGAAAACCAAATGAACAGAACAGATGAAAACATGCAAGAGAAAGTCAAATCAAAACATGGTTCATTATTTCCTTTCATATTTTGCATTTATGAACAAAATACAATAGGCCCTATGCCTAAATTGAATAGAAAATATGAAAATGATAAGACAAACATGACAATGAATGATTGATGACGAATGAGTCAGGATGACTGCACCACAGAAATGAATGAGCATGAACAACCTGCTGCAAAATGGAGAGGAGAACTCTTCCTTCCTGCCGTATCCCTCGCATTTACGTTGGTGGGATTCGCCAGCTTTTTCACCCTTGTGATATCTCCGTTTCTACAGGCTTCAAATAACTCCCTGTGTGGTTCATTTGCGCCAGTACTTATCGGTAAAAATGAGGATAGCGCACTGCGCCGAGACGCCATAATGACATTTTCCTCGTCTGGATATGGATCGATCTCGTGTAGTCTCGCATAAATTCGTATAATCTCGGGTCGACTTACCGAAACAATAAATCGTAACGAGAGTGAATGAGAATTATTTTTAGAATTCTTTTGATCATTCCATTATTGGCATTAATTGAACGAATGGCCTATCAAGCAAACTGTGTTGGGAAAAATGTTGAAAAGTCGTAATTATCGTGTGGTCCAGCATTTATCCGATTGTTAATTCATTAATCACGTGTTTTACAAACAAGATGGCGTCAACCGCGGGAAGTTTGTCTACTGCACAGCAGCCACAGAACACCGGTTCATGATTTCTTTGCTATTCAAGTTAATAAGTTAAGCTAAACTTTCATTGAATTAAAATGGCGAGTGGTGATGATGATATCACTGAAGAATGGAGCGATGATGAAGTGGAAATGACGGCAGCAGATGTACAGCAGAAAATAGAAGAGGTATAATTTCTACCTGAGGCTGATCATGACATCATACATTGCTGATCATGCATGTCATGCAGGACCGTTTTGTACACAAGCACAAGATCGATCGACAAGCCAACGATCGCGATGGGAACTAAATTATATCATGGAGGATTAAGCAGGGTGACCGTAAGGTCATGCCCAAATTCTGCTAAATGCACTTTAAAATCTGTCAGATTAATCAAAAATCTGCCAGAATCACTCGAAATAGACTGTAGTGTAAACACTTTGAATCACATGCAGACATGGCAGATGTAGTATTGCCTTAATTAAGGTTCAAATTACATTATAAAGAATCTGCAGTCGCATAAAGATGTCATGAAGGTGCGTAGATTTCAGGCAAAATGTGGTTGCTTCATGACGGAGATCCGGTTCCAAGTGAACCTCAGCAGCTAGACCTCAGCAGGCAACCTGTCCCATTGAATAGATTTAACCTATTTTAAACAAATTACCATTTTTTTCAAATTTGCTATTTTTTTCTGTTAAATAATTGTTTTTGGAGAATTTTGAAAAAAAAATCCATTCTGTCAAATTTTCTGTCAAACTCATTTTTTAACAAAAAATCTGTCAAAGTTAGCCGAAAATCAGCCAAAAAGTGTCAAGTTCATAAACGTTGTACACACTCTAAACGTTAAAAGTGGAACTTCAGATCATGGAATCTGCAGATCTGACGACATTTTCTTTTAATTTGAAATCCAGTGACTGTGCATTTAACATGTTTTAATATGACGTCCATCATGTCTATGCAAATGTTGAACAAATTGAAATTAAAGGTTTTGTTAATGTTATCAACAATAGCTTTGTCAAGTGGATTTTTTTCCCTTCCTGGATATAATGGATATTTTGTGAAGCAGATATGTCCTCCGAATCCGATATTTCAAAAGTTCCACAAGACGGCAAAAAAACATTTACTAGTTTAGCCTACTGCCAACTAGGCCTACTGGTCAATGAATCTTGAATCAGTCCTACATACATGTAACATATAGTTGGGCTTATTTTGATTGTTGTTTGCAGATTTTCATGATCTTGTTTGTTTTTATCTTCACAACTGACATATATATGTTTTCAGTTTGGCCATTTGTCCTACATTGTAAATGTTTACTTCAATGCCCCCTTATACATCCCTTTAATTGCAGGCGTGGCTGAATGAGAAGTTTGCTCCAGATCTCTTGGAGAGTAAATCCGAGCTGGTAGACTGCATGCTGGAACAGATCCAACAGATGGAGAGCAACATTAGCCGCTGCAAGAAGGGAGACTTCCGCATCAGTGTTCATAAGATGGAGGTAAAACAACTGACAGATCAGAGCAAAACTAGCTGAATAGGTTAATCAATAATCTAAGGCAATTCTCTTTGGATTTTGTTGATGTCGGTATTCCAACAAAAGCAGGTCAGTTTCTGTAGCTGTTGAATTTCGTTGAATTCAGCCATGATAAAATAAAGGGGACAATGATTAAAGGGCCATGCAATGTAATTTTTTTAAGCTGTCCTTGAAAATGCACCTTTGTATCCCACTTAACCTCATTTTCAATTTTCGTTTTGCCATTTTCAAGGGTATTTTGGTGCCTCAGAAACCTCAATATTACAGCTATTTCAGCACAAAAAGTTTCTGGAATTTCGGATATTTTGCTGTTATAAATATTCTTTTCTCGGATGACTCGTTGCTGTGCACGTACGTGGCAGTGAGCTAATGAGCAACCCTTTCTCACAAATGTTTTCAGTGAGAAAAGTTTGGTTTCACAATTTGAACAGAAAACCCCAAAACTGAACTGTGTCTTCCTGATATGACATCATACCAACAGCGTCCTCAATTGTCCAGAAAAGCATGGAAAATTTTAAATGTTAAAGAAGCGCACTGTTCAATAAAATTAAACAAAAAGGGATGTCAGATAGTTTTTTATTAATTTAAGAGGACTGGAGTAGAAAGTTGCATAAACTGTGTTCCTAAGAAAAATTCATCAAATTCTTGGACCCTTTAATTAAATTATATAAAAAATTAAAGTCAGTGTTTTCTTTTTCTTCTTGGTTCTACTCAATTCTGTAGTATTGTTGGAAGTTTTGGGACTTCCATTTGAACTGTTTCTGTTAAGGCTGCAGTGCATTTGTTCTTCCAAAATAAAAATACATTTGATAAAATGATTTTTGATGTCCCTTTGTTTGTTTTTCAGATCGACAGGATAAGGTACATTTTAAACAGCTACTTGAGGATACGATTGGGAAAGGTATGTCGTTAGGCTTGTTAGCAAAATTTAAAATTGGGTTTTATACCGTTATCAGACGGTAATTTCAAGCATCATCTTTCAATTTCAATGAAGTTGACTCTTTGTTTTGAAAGTTTAATGTTAGCTTGATCTCAGCAGAATAAGTAATACTACATGTACTGGCTGTTTCTTTCTTGTTACAGATTGAGAAGTATTTTCACAATATTTTAAAGAAAGAAGCAGCGAGGAAGGACGATGAACCATCCAGGTTATCACTAGAGGAATTTGCCTTCGCTAAAGAGTGAGTTACATCCGGACCTTGAAAAGAAATTAATAAAAAACACAGTTGTTGAAAAATCTGTTTTGACACAGTGTAGGCAACAGACTTCAGTACCCTTGTTTTTAAGGTAGAGTAGTTCAGTTGCAGCTATCCAAAAATTAACTGACCAAATTATTGTTGAAAAGCTTACTTGGTTTGAAAATAGTAAGGACACTAAACTCCCTGTGAAATTATTCCTTCTGGCATGCTGTCATTTTGAAGAAAACAATGAAAGAAGGCCATTTCCAAAGATGAGTCAAGTGACACATTTTTAGAAATTTCCTTTAGTAGTTGGTTTGTAATTGGGCGAATAAATTTTCACATTTGACAAGCTATTTCTTACTAATAAGACCCTAACCAGTTTTCTTTGATGTTTCCTGAATCTTCCAAAATATGGCAATATGCAGTAAACTAATAGCAGTAAAAAAGCAACGTTGAGACACCAAAACTGAGTTTGAGATGGGCAGATGTAGGGTCACTGGGATTAAAGAGATTGGATTTAATCCGGACCTCCTGTATCCCTCAAAACCCATCTGGACTCTCTTTTTTTTTTCCAGGAAATTCGTAGGATTGAGGAAGTTACGTCTAAGTTGCTGTAACTTTACATGAGGCTTGATGGGCCCATTAAACTTTAAACACAATTTTCCCGTGTATTCTTGCATAGTGGAGGATTTTGGAAAAGTAAGGCACAAGTTGAAAATTTAAAAAACCCTGTTTGATTGCAGATTTGCAGAGAACACAGAAAACCATTTCAAATCAGTTGCCCTGAGGCACATGCCACCTAACCTGCAAGCGCTGGAACAAGACAAAAGAGGTGGGCAACATATCAGAATTTCTAATTTAGATTTAAATTTGATTTCCCAGATCTTAAGTCTTCGAGAAGAGGCTGCTTAGAACATTTAATGACCACCTTCAAATTTTTGGACGGAAACCACTTCGCCCTGTCTCCACTTCGCCCCATCGCCACCTCGCCCCATCGCCACTTCAACCTATTGTCACTTCCCCCGTAATAGGTCAAAGTGGCAATGGGGCAAAGTAGTTAGGGGCGAAGTGACATGTTGCGAACTGGAAATTTGGTGAAGTGACCGACACCCCTGCTGGCGCTCCGAATGTACCCTGCTAAATTTCAGTCACCAACAACTTCTGAAGAGAGTTCTCTATTTCATATTGACAGCTCCAAAGCCCAACCTAGATGCTTACGTGTTCCTGAGAGCCAACCAGAAGCAGGAACAAGTTCTCATCGAGCCAGAGTTGGAGGATGACCAAAAGTAAGTCTCTATCTTATACACCCGCTCTTAACCGACACGGAAATCTTTGTGTCATTCTAAAGATAGTTTCACACATCTGTGAATGTTCCTGTTCCATGTAGCATGCTTTAGAAGATTTGTTCACAGCGTGTGCCTTCAATTTGAACTAGCCATGCATGAGACAGCTTATTTGCTTAACTGTGCTGTGGTCCAATGGTTATGGCGTTGGACTCATGTGCTGTAGTACATGGTTCCAACCCTGAAGGGGAACATGGTGCTTGTGTTCTTTGGCAAGACACTTTACTACAATAGCCTCTCTCCACCCAGGAGTATAAATTGGTACCTAAGAAGGGAGAAACATCAAATAATAATGGTGTTTGTGTCCGTTTTCCTGTGCAAATTTCCGTTCATTCATGAAGGCAGGAAAATGCCCTTGTTTCCTTGTATTTGAACAGTAAATGATAATTGGTGGACAGCTGAATTTGCGATGATTGTATTAAACTAGACATAACTAAACTTGTGAACATAGTACGCGAAGTACGGAAATTTTTCACAGTTACTAGTCAATAAGTCAACAAGTCAATTTTTGAAAATATTTGTTCTCATTGGGTCACTTTCTTTTCGACTCACCCTGTAGTAGTTTCAGAACATGAGTTGACTTGGTTAATTCTTTGGTCTCTCTTTTCAGTGCCGAGGTCATCGACCTTGAGGAAGGTGCCCAGTACATCATGAGATACCAGCCAATCGCATCGCTTGTAACTGACGCGGCGGTCTCATTAATTTGAACATCATGTCATTTTACCGTTTGATTTTTGATTCTTCATACATGTATTCCTGGAACTCTTATTGTGCCCAAGGATTGCTTCAAAAGTGTTGACAGGGTTGGAGTTTATGGGTCGTCTCACCTACTACACAGGCATGCAACTGGAATTAAGAAAAAACGAGGAAACTCCAAACCACACCAGACTTTGTACAGTGCTTTTTAGTTTGTAATGGCATTCATGAGAAGTAAACAACGAGGAAATCAGCGGATCCGAGGAAAAGTTGCATGCCTGACTACAGGAAAGCTGTACATAATTTTACACACATCCTCATTTTCAAAATATTATTGAGTCATGTAACGAACCTCAAACATGTTTTATATTTTTTATAACTCAGGGTTTAACCCTCCTATGCAAACATGCACTCTGTGCCAAGTAGTCCTTCCTGTCAAAATCAATCAAGTGACTGTTTTCAACAGTTAAGAATTCCCAGCCTACATAAAGCAGGATTGACTGGCCATGACTGTTTATGTAACTTGATACAGCTTTGCTTTGACTGTGGGTAATTGATAAGCCAGCTGTGCCCACAACTTGCCTGCTTTGTCTGTTCATGGTCTGTTGACTGACTTTGATTAGTCACAGTGCTTGCTTGACACATGATCCGACTGTTGGTGACGAGCCTGTGTTAAAAGTATAGCAGGGGGAGTGGATGAAAAGTTTGACTGTCTGTGACTGCTTAAATAGCAGGAGGATTAATGACTATCCTAGCAGACCAAAAAGCAGTGCCCTATAAGATGTCTGCCTTGACCGTTACCCACCAAGATGGCTGCTATGCAGAAGCCCAATCAAAATATCAGTACTTATACATGATGTATAAGAATAGACAATCAAAGTGTTGAAGGTACATTCCCTTGGACGGGCTCAGTTATAACCATTCTTTGATTCCTTTGGAAAGTATATAAGGCCCGCTATAATTGGCATGTGACTTGAATTTTCCAGCGACGAGGCTATTGTATTCAATTATTTTCGAAAGTTGAAAAGTGAATCAGGGCCTTAACGTGGCCGAAAAACCCACATGATCCATGCTTTCCACTAGAATGCAAATCAGATTTACAAACCCACTTTAACAAAACTCATGCAAAAACAAATATACAATTGCTTTCATTTTTGCGTACTCAATCATCTTAACTATAAAATCTTCTGAATCTGTTCCCACCCCCCCCCCCCCAAAAAAAGAAATTAATTATGTCCCTAGTTTAGACTACCTTTGATTTTGAGTTTTTTGATAACTTGTAAATAAAGTAAAAGTACTTAAACTGAACTTACTGTGTCATTGTTTACATTTTGTAGCATATTTGGGTAAACTGCCGAAAGTTGGCATGAGATGAAGTTTTCTTAGGAACACATTTTGTACAACTTTTAACTCTTACACGTTTGAAGACTATTTGACATCCCTTTTGATTTATTTTTATTGAAAAGTACCCTTCTTTAAACACTTTAATTTTTCCATGTTTTTCCGGACAACTGAGGGCGCTGTTGCAGTGATGTCATTTCAGGAATACACTGTTCAGTTGAGGAATTTTCTGTTCAAATTGTGAACCCCCAAAAATTGCTAAATTGAAACCATTTATGAGAAAAAGTTTGCTCATTGGCTTACTACCATATCCCGACCTAATGAATCACCAAAGAAAAAAGAAACTCATGACGGCAAAATATCCAAGATTCTGGCAACTTTTGGTGCTGAAATGAGGTTTCTGCCTGAAATGACATCACACTTTTGCTCATGAATATGGAATTGTTTTGGGGGGATGAATTCAAAATTATAGCATGGACCGGGGAGAGCAAGCGTCCATCTATTTAAGAGTTTATCTACCTAGATAAGGATTAGCACTGTTTTTTTAATCGTTATTATTATTTTATAATGGGCAGCAATGATGAATAAAACCTTTCTTTTCCTTTCCGGAACAGATCATAAAGCAATGAACCTACCGCATGGAGTTGTGCAACAGCGCCCTCTATTATTGCTGAACGTTTGGCCAGCGCTTACCTCAATACAATGTAGTTTGCCAGTGGCGTACGTCGCACGGTAGCTGGGGGCCGGGGGGGGGGGGGGGGGGACACGTGCCTTCCATACATTCATTACCCTTCAGGTAGTCCCTCCGTACCCCGTAGTCCCTGGAGTCCCTCAAGCCCCACACTTGTTGCCTCCCTAGTCAGCTAAACATCTGGAAAACACATTTTTTAAGGATGGGCAAATTAACTAGCTTTAAACTGAGGAGGAAAAAACACATCCTCTTCCCATTTCTATATTGTGTAATTTTAGAAGTTTTAATACTACCCAAGCTACAGCCACCCGCCCTATACCACTTGCACAGTTGTAAGAATCGTCATATGAACTGTTTCCTTTGAGGTATATAAAAAAGAAGTACGGGTATGCCTATATATACTCAAACAGCCGCATCACAATTTCCCATTTTTAATGCGATAAAAAAGTTGAATATTAAATAAAACTCGAATGTTTTAAGAAACTGGGGGTAGGATAAAATGAGGTCAACGCATGGGAATCACGACCATTATACCAGTTTAAAAAATAACGGGGTACCAGCAAAAAAAAAAAAAGGCCTACTGCAGCAACTTGGTCTGCAATTTTGCATAAAAATAGCTCAAAGGTATTTCCTGATCGCCATGCTGTCTTTCTTACGTAACCTGTGTGCGATGAAAATGCGCTCGTCTGATCTAGTCTGCAGTCAGACGGATCACCTGTGTACACAAAGGACCAGAGATGGCCCACATTTGTGGACGGTTCACGCGCGCGTGTTTACAACATGATCACTCCGTGAAAGCATGGGGATGGGTGGGTGAGGCATGGGCAATGTGCCACGCAGACCTTTTAACTTGAATGGGAAAAAAGTGTAATCATAAATAATCTTGATCTGATTTGCATAAAGATGCAACGGTATTCCTTGGCCACCATCGTGCCTTCTTTGTGGTGCCTATGATAGCGCGGTTCGTGGGTGTTTTAAGATGACTTTCCCCGTGCTTTAGTTTATCATTTAGTTCACCTCGGATGGATTTTTTTCCAATTGATATTTTCTTGGCAATATATTCACTTTTGAATGAGACATTGAACAAAAAAATCCCACCAACGTTGAGCTATAAATTGAATTATTTCTTCACAAGTAAATATAGTATTGACTGCCATGCATCGGCTGTCGCAGGTTTGTGTACAAATTGAAAGCCTTTTTTGCAAGAGGGTTGCAGACACCCAAAATCGGAATAACGTGCATGTGTAGTTTTTTTTTCTTTGTTAAAACATAACATACAAATGGAAAATTCGTAAAAAAATAATATTCTTTGGAAGAGCATATGGGGTATACTAGACATCTTAATACTAATAATATTTTGACTGATTATTATGCCTCGTGATTAATGTGCGGGTTTTTTCCTTACTAAAGTAAAACAAAGCAAACTATTTTGTCATTAAAATATGGTTAGACATCAATTCAAATAATAGGTGGTGGCAAACAACTGCTGTATCGGAATAAACTAAAATAAATGATTGTCAGTCAAAACAGGTCAAGCAGAACATTCAGGGGAACTAGTCTAATTTGTGGATTTTGCATGGATCGCCACGAGTCTTTTAATAAAGACATATTTTTTTAAATTAAATATCAAAGTGTCAACATTATTTTCAATATTTTTAAGGGTAATTTTGACGAACTATAATTTTGTAGAAATTTCGTCGGCCGCGTGGTGAGTGTTGCAATAAAGCATGCTTTTCTCCAACATCAAAGGTTGACCCAAGGTGCGTGTACGCCGACTCACACGACTAGACAGTAGCTCATCGGCCACTGTGATTGGTCTTTGCCTCGGTGAGCAGGTCGTATCCCTCACAGGCCAACGTCTCTGATTGGCTGCTAAAAACAGCTTCACGTGAAACGGCGACCCAGCCGGGGTAACCCCTTTAGAGGAAGTGTCAAGACCATTATGTTATAGGTAATCATGTTATTTAGGAAATTACATATTACTCCAAAAAGTCGAATGTTTAAACATCAAGTTATAGTTTTACACCAAATATATCACCGGTAATACAAAAATTAGGGTGTAAATCTCCTTTAAGTTTTGATTTGTTTTCAAAATATAGGGGATAAACAATCACTGGCAAACGGTACCTACCTTTCAGGAAAAATGGTTGTATCTAGAAGGGTGACCTTTTAAAATCATGCGTGAGGACTACGTGCTTCGCCGGTTTGTCATTTTCTGAATATTTACGAAATCTTGTGTTGTGGACTTTGCTGAAATGGTACCCGTGGTTCGAATGTGTTTTCTTTGGATATGTTCAGTTTGACGGTTTTCATCGAATGATCATGATGGTTAACTGCTTTCACATCAGCTGATATTCGGTTCGCACGGCTGAAGCATTATTACAGCGGCTGACGGAAATTCTGGAGTCATTTCTTCCGAGAAGGCGTGACAGATTGCCGGCCTATGCTTAATTACGTGTGAGTAAACATGGTAAACATGATTTAAAATAAAATTTAAAAAATGAACTAGGGTATTATGCAAAATAAATCAATTTAAACATGTTAAAAAAAGTAAAACAAAAATTTTGCTCCTCACAAAGTACCATTTAAAAAAAAAGTTTATTTAGTTTTTTCCTTAGAGTTGGAGAAAGGCGATGAAAAACTGTCAAGTGTCATACTGAGTCATTGGTCAGTTGGTGAAATTGAACTATCATCGAGCTCTTAATATCTAAATCTAAATACGGCGATCGTGTAGTGTAGGGCCCAGTTCCTATAATTTATAAGGGAACAAAATCCCAAATCCACTTTAGAATTAATATTGGACCTACCATTCCAAACTAGTTCTTAGTTGGCCACATTCTCAATAAACAGGTAGGCCTATGTCATAGATAGAGGGCATGGTTTTGATTTTTTAAAGGAAATTTGGGGGTAAAATGACGATGACAGCGCGGCGACAGCACACGACCCAAAAATAAAGATGGCGATCACCGCGCGATGTAACGTGAGCACGTACGGCGCGCTGAATCTCAAGGCACAAACCGCGCAGGAAAATCATGATACCCCATGAATCTGTTCACAGTTGCAAAATGGGTGTCATTACAATTGAGAAAAGTCTGCTTTTGATTGTAAAGGTGATTTTTGAGCAATAAAAAACATTTTTGACTCTAATTTGATCAAAACAAAACAGGGGCCCTACACTTCACGATCGCCCTAAATACTCCCGTCATAATGAACTTTGATTATATAGTTTACATACCCGTAGACATTGTGCACAGCATATTTGAATCATGCAATACAATTCTTTCAAATAGTTGTTGCCAGGATTTTGAGATTGACTTTTTACCTTGTTTCTGTGTTCACAGGTTGAACAAATCCTTCAGGACCTTTCGGATTTGACCACACACGTGGGGGTACTTGAAGTTCCTTTTTGCCTTTCGGGACATGGCATGTGGGCTACTATCAACCTCAAGAATGCCGATTGATACCCTCCTCCCCTTGGGCACCAGCCCACCCCTACCTTCGCTCTTCCTGCCGCCGAGGTACACGGCCAGCTCCTTCATGTACATTTCTGATATGTCAGTGGCTGGTAGGGCCAGATTGGCTGACCGCCACAAGAAATTGAGGCCCTGCCTCCGGGACGGACAGCAAAATGGCAAGGTGACGGACACAGTGAATGACCACGTCAAAACGGACGGGTCAACCGAAATCGACACAACTCCGGACCTTTGTGATGATATCCCCATGGGTAATCTCACTGTGAACGGTGATGAGGTCAGCAATGAGGATGAGGACACGAAAACCGAATCGCAACCAAAATGCAGAAAGCGTGTCTGCTTCGCCGACAGCAAAGGCCTCGCCCTGGAGACGGTCCGAGTGATGGATGGTCCCAGCTATGCCCCACCTCTTCTCAAATCGCGGATAATCGAAGAGATTGTCCAAGATGAGAAGCCAGAGCTCTTTCACACGTACACCTATGTCGCGGACTTTGAGCAGCCTGCGGCCAACTACCTCGAATTCAGGGACAAGCTCGAAAAGAATTACGTCAGCTTGGAGAATATGATCATCAAGGATAACGAGGTGGTCATGGGAACCATAAAAGTGAAGAACATCGCCTTTGAAAAGTCTGTTTCGGTTCGTGTCACCTTCGACAAGTGGAAGAACTACCAGGAGATACCGGCCACCTATGTTCAGCGGAGCCAGCCGGGACAGACCGACCGCTATGACAGTTTCTCGTTCAGTTTTGACATCCCTCCCAACATGGAGGGTGAGACTATCCAGTTTTGCCTCCGCTACGACTGCAGGGGACAGTCTTACTGGGACAGTAAGGATGGCGCAAACTACAAGATCATCTCGCAGCACGAGAAGAGTCTAACGGAGCAGCAGAAGCTTGCATGCTACTACAGTCTCAGTAGTCAGGGGAACTGGGGAGACTTCTCCTTCTGGAAGGTAAAGGCCGATGAAAGGCCTTACTGGTGACGCCCTGCGAGTCTGGATTCTTTGCATTGCTGTTATCGGTAAGGATTTCAATCCACTTGCCATGACAATGCCACAGAGAGGAAAAAAAGTATATGCTCGGCACATTCAACTCAGGACATGAGAGCAGAGGTGTATGCACATCTATATAGAGGTCATGATGTTGTTTCAGTATGTATACAGACATTTTAAAGCATTATTATATTTTTGTGTGTACCACAAAGCTCAGTTGAAATGGGCCTTGATTCATATGCTGTGGATTACCAAGATTAGGAACATTGAGAGCAATACCGGTATGATAAGACAAAGTATATTTTGGAAGAAGAATTTTTAAAGAGTTTTCTGGACTGTGAACTTGCTGACCGCAAGTCCTCAATGAACAAGATTAAGGCATGTGGTTTACAAAGGCAACAACAAAACAACATTGATGCAACTCGGGTGATTCACAATGCAGTTTGCCACTGAGAGTTCATTTTTCCCAGGGCATTGTGGGAGATGGTCGACAAATTCGCAGCGCGGGACATTTGAAATTGTTAGTTTTTCCAGTCAGTAATTTTGTAAGCATATGATTTGAGTATCTGTTTGCCCTTTTCTTTTTATCAATATGGTGTTTTTTGTATTAGGCGGCAGAACGCCATGCCCCAATCTATAACAAATTAGCTCAAGTTGTCTACTGACACTCATTCAAATTGACCATGTTTTGTTGACCGTAAAGTTGAAAAAAAATTGAATCGCCCGAATTGTAATGACAAGTTGATATTTTACAGGAGACTGCACAATACTTGGCTCGGAGGGAGATACAAGAATATATTGCACAAGCTATAACAATATTTTCGACTCATGCAATATTCTTGTAAACCCCTGGGGAAAAAAAGCCATCCAATATATTATTATTATTTATATCGGGCTGACTTGATGCGCAAGAAATCTATTTCAGGACACTGTCTTTATTTTTCAAATTTCATCAAATATTGTTAACCCTGCTGCGTGCTACACTGTGTTCATTTGTTGACAACTGTGAGTTTGTTTACTCTTGATTGAGCACCAGCAAACTTTGTTAAAATGCCAAGATGAGGACAATATCGAAAATAATATTGTCGTCATCCAGGTACTTTTAGTTTACTGACATAATGCAGTCATCTGGGTACTTTTAACAAAAGCATACACGCTGACTTGTTTTTAGCACTGGAAGCCTGATATATATAAATAATAATCATGAATAACCTTAAGCAGTTCTGGAGTCGAGGTGTGTAAAAGACCATGAATTGTCAATAATTTAAAAAAAAACTACAAGTCTGGTATATTTATATCTTTACTTACGTCACTATTGTGTTGCTGCAAGTAAGAAAATGCTTGACAAAAATGTTCATGCATTTAAGGGGAAAAAAATTGCACGCTTAAGATTCAGCTTCAGCTTTCTATATTTTATTATTATTTTTTTCAACTCGTAACAAAAATAGAGCATCATTCAAATTCATGTAAATGTTGTAAAACTTATAGGCCTAAAAGTCTAAATTTAAGGGACAGTATTATAGGTATGTTTCTTCCGTGCACATCATGAGTTGAACCCAAACACTTGTTGCAGTTAACCCTAGCATTAAGGCCAATTCACACGAGGCAATTTTCACCACACAGTACATTTTCACAAAAATTCTAGAGGATTTCTTCGGAGCATAAAACAGTTTTTGACATGTTAATGTTGCAAATACACATACAATTTTGTGGTGGAGATAATCTTTGGAATTTTTATTTTATTTTTGTAATTTGTATTTATTCTCAAAGAGTCGGACAGCCCTAATTAAAAATCCGTAGATGTAATTGCGTTTGTGCGTATCATGCGCAACACTGTCAAAAGTGATCAGCTGTTTACCCACAGAAGACAATGAAACTTAAAAAAGCACTCACAAGTGTTTTAAGTTGTGTACTTTGAAGACCCATTTTTATCCTCAGAATCGATGTGCACACACCCAGCCCTAGTCATGGCCTGATAGTGCCAGATATATATTGCACAACGGTGACAGGTATTGAATATTTTCAACAATAGATGGCACAGTTCTGGTTATTGAATATTCTGAACAATACCTGGTGTGACTATTCTGTTGTTATTGTGGGGGCTCTGCGAGTATTAACTACATGTACGGTTAAGGTACATGTATGTAATTATGCGTTGGGGTTGGTCTACATGCATTGTACATGCACTGTGCACATGCACATAGGTAATTTGCAGTTACCCGAAATCATACCTACCAATTTAATGAGAAAATCCTTGCTGAAAGTGAAGATAGGACTGGCACCAAATACCCTGTGACTTTAGTCCACCTGAAATAGTATTATTCAGAGGAAAACAATCATTGAAGGTGGTTTTTAAAAAAATGTGCCTGCAGGCACACTGTTTTGTAAATAACTTACCAATTGAATAGTTACAAGAACCCAAAAATTGTCTCAAAATGTGTGGTATCCGCTGAGCTTAAATGTCAACAAGTTAGTTGATAGTTGTTTTCCTTCTTAAGGTTTTGTGCAATTCTGTTGCTTCAGACGTAAAAAAAAAATACACAAAAAGCAAATGGTCCTCGTAATTACATGTGTATCGTACCCTATTATCTCATCAATGCAGATGCCTACATGTCCAAATGATATGCATAATGTATCAATTGACATATGATTACACAATACTCATGTACCGGTATTTGATGGTACCAAAACAAAGCCAGTGAAATATATTTTGGTGTTCTGGGACTTTTTTTTTCTAAAAAAAAAGAAAAGGCTAAAAAGCCGCTGTCTTAAAATTGATCCTTTCTTTAAGCTTGTGCAATGTTGTAAAAGTATGCAGAAAATGTGGTTGTAGCCTTTTGCTGAATAGCTGTGCATGCATGCCGTACACATGAAAAAGGAAAGCAGTTGTACATGTTTTAAGTGGTTCCTTGCTTTGTATTGAGGTAAACGTTTTACTGAAACAACTCTTAAAACGGATTGTTATTTTGTTTGGAATTTTACATACTGAACCTTTTTTGTCCCCCCAAGCCAAATGTACCATAAATAGACCTGATTTGTAAATACTCTTGAAAGCAGATAGCGTGTAATTTGTATGGTTATTTATTACCTAAAATAATGTGTTGTAATTTTATGTTTTGTTTTCTTAAAATACATGTAGAATTTCATTTGAATGATTGCTATCATCAGAGTGATGTTTGCAGAAAAATATATATATTTTGTTGCAAGAATTCCTTGCAAGTAATACCTGCTTCAAAGCAATTCTTGATGAAATATAAGTACATTTTAAAATGTAACTACAGCTCTATCATGTGTTCTACCCTCCCTAAAAAGCAACTAATGTTTTTAAGCCTTTACATATTATTGTACTTCTTAACAAAATCTGCCTGTTCGTGGCCATGCATTGAACTCGTGAACAGTGTTTACGTGAACAGTGTTTACCACATGGGCTTTTTTTTTTCTTTTTTCTTTGTTATTTAACCCTTTTTTTCACAATTGTTTGGCCCTGTGACTGCACTTTGAAGGTCACACTTCATTGAATATGAATAAGTGTAACTGTCAAAAGTGATTTTACGAGCAATTTCATCTGGGTGAAAGTTTGAACGAAATAAATTAACTGGGGGACCTTTCCCCCATACAAAACCACGTTCGATATCGTTCAAGATGGACCATTCATTTCCAGTGCATTTTATTTACATGTACCCTAGATATTTTACTCTTATGGAGTTTTGGGCCAAGCCAGATACTTCGAAGACTTATTAAACTCCCTACTTAGTTTGACTAAGTAGAGGACCAAGTCCGTCAAAATCCATCAATGACTTTGCTTTACATAATGCTTCAGGACCAAATCCATTGAAATCCACCACTGGTACAGACTGGTGGATTTTTATTGACTTGGTACACATGGCTTAGCTGCCAAAAACCCTCAAAATTGGGGATGGATTTTGATAGAGTTGGGAAGGTTAGGTGGATTAGCCTCTTAATGTGTTGTTTGTTTGAAAAACGTTAAAAGATATGTGCTTAAATGCATTTAGTTCTAGAGCATGTCAATGCAAATACATGTATAGCTAATTCTATCGAGTTGCTAGAACTTAGAATCCCCAACGAAGTCTGTTGACTTTAAACCATTCCCAAATCCAAACTTAATAAGTACATGTACATTTGCTGTGTAAATGTAGGTCTATAAAATGTACGAGATTTGCTTAATCCCTGATTTTTGAAGGGATGTTGCTTGAAATGACTTAACAAACAGGGTCGGGATTGATTGTGAAAATCAAAACTATATTTCTAACTAATAATTCACACAGTATGTTCATAGAGTGAATAAGTGTGTAATAAATAGCAGAGTTGCTATCAAATTCAAAAATGTCTTTTTTTGTTTGGTTACAATTTATTTCTGTTCTGTGGTAAAATTCTCGGTGACGTTCAGTGGTAGATCTTCAGTATTAGATCATTATAGGTTAAAAAATTAAATGAAGTAAAATATGTCTCTTTAAAGGTAATATATACAACGTTTGCAATGTCCAAAAAAAAAAAACTAACAAATTTTTATGAAAAAAAAATCTTACTTGACTGCAAGTGAATAATAGTCCCAAGAATCCTGTAAAATCATGGCACCTGGTGTGCTGTCATTTTCAAGAAAAGTGAAATTTTTGTATCAATTTCCAACAATGGTCAACTGACCATCATTGGAAAAAACCTGACTTTTTTCAAATACTGCCCCCAATTTCACCAAGTTTAGTTAGTCCTCATTTTGTTTCCCTTTCGTTTGGTTACACATCCGTGAACGGGTGCAAGGCAGCTACTCCGGTTCCCTGGCCTGACAATTCCCCGACGACTATAAATTGCTCCGTTATGTCTGAAGTACATGTAGGTTTAAAGAACCAGACTATAACATTTTTTTCAGGGTTCTTCCAGCATTTATGAACACAAAACTTTAAACAGGTCATTGTAACAATGTATTTTGCTATAAAATATTACCCCCAAATCCATCCATTTCTGAAAATTACAGCAACAGCAAATGTATACATATTACCTTTCAAGGGAACGTACAACATTTGCTCTTGCTGCAATTTTCAGTAGAAAATGGATTTGGGGGATTAGAATGTTATAGCAAATATTGTTAAACTGACCTATTTCAAGTTTTAGGCTTGAAGATGCTGGAAAAACCAAGAAAAACATCGTGTTCTTCTAGTCTGGTTCCCGGACCCCACTTACGAATTTGTAAGGTCAGAGAATCAGTCCGGCAGGCTTGTACCCCTTCACAAGTGTGTAATCAATTGCAAATAAAATGCGGAAAAAAACTAGTAATGAAAAATAAGGAGCACTTTTTGAAAACGGCCAGTTTTCTCCAACGCTGGTCGACCGACCAGTGCTGGAAAAATACCAGTTTTCTTGAAAATGTCAGCACACATGGAGCCCTGATCTTACAGGGTGCTTTAGAATGTCATTCCCTTACAATCCAGTAAGATAC